ATTGCTTCATTTTGGTCAGAAATTATTATTACAATTGTCTTTAATAATATTAACTACATGATCAACGACGTATTTTTCATATGTTCGGTGTACCATATTGAACATTATGGTACGTTCACACCAACGGCGCTTTGATGGCGCTTTAAAGCGGCTTGTAAAGCGGCACCAAAGCGTAACAAAGCTTAATTAAAGCGTCGGGGTCGTAATAGGTCGTAGAAAAGCTCGGGAGTAAAGCGGGATATTCGGCAAGAGCGCTAAAAAATTTAAACTGTTTAAGCGTTCGCACCAACGGCGCTTTGATGGCGCTTTAAAGCGGATTGTAAAGCGGCACCAAAGCGTAACAAAGCTTGATTAAAGCGTCGGGATCGTAATAGGTCGTAGAGAAGTTCGGAGTAAAGCGGGATATTCGGCAAGAGCGCCAAAAAATGTTAAACTGTTTAAAAATTTTGGGCGCTCTGTTACGAATCGATTAAGCGCCGAGAGCGTATCAAAGCTTAACAAACCGTAACAAAGCTCAACAAAGCTTGACTCAAAGCGTAGGAAAGCTTAACACAGCTTGGTTCAAAGCGGGGACCCCAGTCTATTCACGGTTTGTTACCACTTGACACGCTTCGTTAAGATGTCTCAAGATTTGCTACGATCTGGCATGAAGATCTGACACGAGGTCAGACGCTTTCATCAATATCTGACACTCTTTGTTACACTTTCCTGAGGGACTCTCAAGCTTTCCAACGAATTGAGACGCTTTAATCAAGGATTGAAACGCTTTGCTAGGCTTTGTTACGCTTGAAAGTTTTCACACGCTATATCACGCCGTGCGACAAACGTCATGTCTTCTTCAGATAGGTCATGCTCTGGTCCATCTCGAATTTCTGGATCTCGTTGTTCTGCCATCGTGTTCTCGAGTCAAAGATGCAATGGTTTTATGGATCTACTGCATCTTTATATAGTCATTGGATCAAAAGCGGCATGGAATCGGCGATCTCGACATTTTCCAATGCGTGACAGAGCTTAACAGAGCGTAACAATGCACAACAGAGTTTTGCAATCGTATCAGAGCCTGATTTAAAGCGTCATAATCGCATCAAAGCGTAATAATGCTTATCAAAGCTTTTCAAAGCGTGATTTCAAGCGTAACAAAGCCTGATCAAAGTGGGATCAAAGCGTGAGGAACCTTTTAGAGCTATGTTAAGCTTTCCTACGCTTTGGATCAAGTTTTTCTGAGCTTTGTTACGGTTTGTTAAGCTTTGATACGCTCTCGGCGCTTAATCGATTCGTAACAGAGCGCCCAAATTTTTTAAGAGTTTAAAATTTTTTGGCGCTCTTGCCGAATATCCCGTTTTACTCTGAGCTTTTCTACGACCTATTACGACCCCGACGCTTTAATCAAACTTTGTTACGCTTTGGTGCCGCTTTACAAGCCGCTTTAAAGCGCCATCAAAGCGCCGTTGGTATGAAGAAAAATGACAAAAATGACGGCGCTTTGCTCGCCGATTTAAAGCGTGGCATTCGCCGTTGGTGTGAACGTACCTTTAACAATAAAACATACATAATTCATATGTTATGCATATAATCCAACACATGTTTCTGTTTGATCATACGGGTGATATTTCATTTCATGCAGTAATGTTGAAATAAGTGAATTCTGTTAACTAATAGTATCAATATTATTGAACAGAGAGCATGTACAATTATCGCATCACAAACAGAAATATACCTCGACCTTCAAGTGAGGTCATTTCCGTGTTTGTGATGTGATAATCCTACATGTTCTCTGTTTGATATGATATTGATAAAATTAGTAATAGAAATGGAAATTATCAATTATTTGATACTTTTCTTATTTCTATTAGTGGAGAACATTACACGTTATTAGTTTAGCTACATGCGTTTAAGAGAACTAGTGCGTGGATTTGGAATATGGTCCTTTTAGTTCTTCTCTTCGTATCACGTACATGCCCATTAGAGTATAAAATTACCTGTAAAAATACCTGTAAAAAGCTCCACGAAAAATGGGGGGAGAGAGACAGTAGACCTTTAAATTCAGATTTGACCTTTCCCTTTAACATTTCAGAGGTCAAGGTTATTGATCTAGGTCAGCTAAAATGGGCGCAATAAGATTGATTGCAAATTGAAATGTCTATTTATGACTTGCAATACCATTCTTTAGTGAACGTAAAGCAAAAAATACCCCCAGTGTCAATGCCAGGACGGTAGCATATTGAAACTGAATTACATGGCCTATATATTATGAAATTATGGTTATGTTGGCCACCTCTTAAATAAAGGAGTGGTATCGATATGGTGAACTTTTTGAAAACACGTTTCTCTTAAACCAGTCATAAAAAAATCTAAAAATTTAACACATCGTCAATTTAATGGTCATCTTTTGAATGGTAACAATATAATTTGAAAAATATATGTATACTTTCATCTTTGTTGTTTTAGAAAACACATCAAACACTTGTTTTGTTCTTGGTATCATGTTTCCAGACAAAATGAAACATTTTTCGAACCTAATTGGAACAAAACGACATAACAATAAACACAACATGTTTAGGTCTCTCAATATTGTAATTGTACAAAGGAAATTTGTTTTGATTTTAAAAAAGTATCTTGTTAATGAAATTGATTTTTATCTATTTTTTTTGGGGGGGGGGTTGCTTTAATGTTTTGAATACTTTTTTAAAATCAACCTAAAATTCCTTTGTATAACTATAATATTGAGAGGTCTAAAACATGCTGTATATGCTATTTTGTTCCAACAAGGTTCGGAAAGACATTTTATTTCATCCTCAAGAATTGGTAGAATGGAACAAAAAACAATTGCACTAAAACAAAAAATGTTAACAAAAACAGTTATATAAAATATTTCTCAATAATTTTCGCATTAAATTGTTGTCAATCAGTCAACAATAAATAAAATACCGTGTTATTTACAGAATGTTTTCAATAAATGGTTTAAGAGAAAAAACATTGTTGAATTCAGTTCACCATATCGATACCTATCCTTTAGTCTTAAAATCATAATAAAAATAAGCGTTTTGTTTTAATAACAAATTCTCCCTATTTTTCTGATGCTGCTTCGCAAAATTCCAAATACTACCCTTTTGTGCTGTTTCAAAATTATTATATGTAAGCTACTCAATATGTTGTAACTCTTAATGAGAACCATCACTCTTGCTTTCTAAAATTGATTTAATTAACTGCATCAAAGATTAAAAACATCATTTTACTTTATTAATGCCCTACCCAAATGATCTAATTGAGAAGCGGCATTAACATTGATCAATGCTTATTCCGCGCAATGATCGTCATTTCGAGTCATAGAGAGAGAATATTACTCCCAAACCACTATCTGTTCTATCTGTTCTCAATTTCTGCATATCAAGTTCACTAAATAAGCCTCATGAAAAATGTACAGAATGGGGATCAATTTTGAAAGCATCCTTTAACTGTATTATATACACAGTTAAACATGTATATCCGAACACCTTACTAATCCGAACACCTCTCAATGTGAACACTTTTTTCCACCTCAGTCCCAAACTTGTTATCTCCCATCTGCCCACATTAGTATAATGCTCTTAGCATTATGCTAATATGTTTAACAGAGTAGCTTTGTAAAGAAAATGCGTTGTAATAATTACTTGGATACGATGATGACAGAATCAATGAGCAATGTTTCTCAACTAAGAACTAAGCAATATGTCTCTGGTTCTGTAATTAAAACGAATTTCTCATCTTAATTGCCATTTGAATTTTACAAAGCACAGGTAATACAGGTATAATATTTGTAATCTACTTATAATTACCCTCAATTAGAATTTAATAAAGATATGCTTTGGAGATTTCTCAAAATTATTTATCACTAAACATGTATCCAGCCAAAAATCGCTAGTATTTGAGCTATTGTGCGGATAGACAGACGGAAGGACTGTTTGATGGATGGCTTTACTATATCCCTTATGACATTCGTTTGTTAGGATAATAAAACAAATAAGCTCCATGAATTATATATGTTTTGGTGAGTGATCAGCACAAAATACACAATATATTTTTTGCTCATTCTGCATTTGCTCTGCTACATCGATGGAACACGGTTAAACCGAATTTTTTTCTTGAGCATACTTAGCTCTCAGTTAATAGTTTCCCACAAATGGGTAACTCAGATGTGCCATGTGCCAAGAATAAAACGTTATTGAGTGCTAGTAAATATGGAGCTTGACTCCACTATGTCTGTCAAACAGTAAGAAAGCACATCAGATGTCCATTGTAATAATATCGAGGATGTATATTCTGATATTATACTATCTTAGAGGCTCATTCAGGCCTCATAGCATCAGCAATGAGATTCTTAATGCCACTTTCACAAATTGACTCTCCCTTTCATTAGGAAAATATTAATCAAGGTTTTGTTTTGACAATATAGACTACGGTCATATCTAGTTATCTGTGTCTAAATTCGTTAAAAATAATGCTTTTGTGTCTAAAAATCAAGCTGCTATCACCCCCAAAATGCAATCTGATTTTCATCACAAATAATTGCATTGTGTGGTTCAAATCATTATCATCATCTCTCCGGAGAATTAACACATACAAAACAAGCCAAGTACCACAATTCAGTTGTGTATGCAATATGTCATTTCCCATAATTCTGTATGGTTAATGCATTTTCAATACAAAGTAGGCTTCAGCTAACATTCCAGAATTCTGCATGGTGCAAGCCTTGTCAAAGATTGATTGTTTGCCATAATTCTGTATTGTTAATTTATTTTGAATACAAATTAAAAATTAGACAACATCTCAGAATTCAGCATGACAGGTGCCATGTCATATACACATAAAGTAGGTCATTTCCCATAATTCTGTATGGTCAATTCATTTTCAATACAAAGTAGGTTTAAGCCCACATCCAGCAAATCAACATGAGAGCCATGTCATATACACACGAAGTAGGTCATTTCCCATAATTTTGAATGGTCAATTCACTTTCAATACAAATCAACATGAGAGCCATGTCATATACACACAAAGTAGGTCATTTCCCATAATTTTGTATGGTCAATTCATTTTCAATACAAAGTAGACTATAGCCCACATCCTGCAAATCAACATGATGAGAGCCATGTCATCTCCATACAAAGTATGCCATAATCTACAGAGCATTGATCTTTACATCCGCAGCCACCCAATAAAATCTTTGACAAATTAGGAATTCCTTCAACATTGGTATAACTTCCTCATAATCAATAGTCTATTAAGCATCCTCTAAAGAGAGTAAGATGTGATTTTTGCCATCATAAAGAATAAGGAAAATCTGGAAATTTTTGAGATTCCTCAGTTTTATTACATTTTGAACATGCATGATTCAAGACAGAACATCTTTGTTTTTTATGGCAAAGGAACTATACATAAAAATAAACCGCATTTTAAACTCTCATAATGTTGCCTTCTTGTCATAAAAGTCACTATTGGATCGGCCATATCCGACACTATACCGTATGCTCGTCAATCTGCTAAGTAAGCGTCTAACTTAGAAGTCAGTGAGCAAATACAATTATAGCTATTTTGAGAATATCATAGATTTTCTTATTAGTATGCCTCTGTAATGTTATAAATCCATCAGGTTGACTTTGTCAGATCTTTGAATAGGCCTCCATGGATGGAAACCACAGATAAAGACATTAATCTCCATTCTCCAAACTACTGACATAATCCAAGTTCCGATCAATAATTTGAAAATTGAGGCACCTCTATCCATATAAAGAAGATTTCACACAGCTATAGAAATCTTCCTTATTTGCACCTGTATGTGTGATTAAGATGCATTTTAAGCTTGGATTTCAGATAAATAAATATCCTAGGAAAGTTTATGTTTGTTCAGTCTATAGTGAACACTCCACTGTCTATGTCATCAAGCTCTAGGCCAGTTCCAAAGAATCGGTCTCCAAAGTTACCTGAAACAACGAGAAAAATATGGGTCAATATGGGCATAAATGCAACAAACAGAGTGCATTACAAGCAAAACTGACTGGTTTAAATTGAATTACAGAACAGTTACCATGTTTTTTAATGTAACTTTTGCAGCTACTCCAGAATAGGGATGACCTGCTTAGGGGTACTAATTGTGAAACATGGGCTACGCTACGCAGGTGTGTACACAAACTAACTATTGGCTTGCTTTGTTCCATCATAACATTGATTACCTCAATGCATTAGGCTACATTGTCTCACTAATTCAGACCATGTCGGGAAGTATTGAATTTTCATTTTTCTACATAAATGTACATGTATGTCATGTATTTGTGGCAGTTTAATTATGGATGTGAATAAAATGACATACAACAGCTCCAATTAATAGATGTCTACTGTATTGTAAGAAAAGCAAGATGCTACATGCTTTGTTTTATGTGATAACTGATATGCTTTTTATGATGAATCTTTTATTTAAAATCAAAAATAGAAGTTTTGTTATAAAAAGAACTAGAACTAGAAGATGAACAGATCGCTAACATAATTTGACGGACATGTATATTTCAACTCAAACACTGAAACAAGACTTTCTTGAATTCCTTTTGTTATTTGTAAGAGACATGAAATTATCTCAAAGATTAGTCCTTGATCACACTGGGCATCAGGATGTTTAATTTAAGCACAAACATTGAATACAATTGAACGCATAGAGATTATAGAGAGAAATCCGAAATGGGAAAACTGCATCTCAAAACGATAAAATAATATTGGCAATTTAACCAACAGATGAATGTGGAGTCGCAAGAAAATTGCAAATCGACCAAATATCATTATTCTCTTGTAAACATATCAGGTTTTTCAATACAGATTTGTAATTGTAAAAAGAAACTGATATTTCTATTGATTATATATGAGGTTAATTCACGTAAGTATATTACCATGACCCTAATATTGGTTTCACCATGTACCTCTGTAGTCCTAGCAAACACAATTAAAATAGAAAACACATTTCAAATTCATGTTATTAATTTTTCGATAATCATTATTCAAATCTCACTCGACAAGCTAGATGAATAAAGAATTGATTAAGGATTTATAAATTCAGTTGAGTATGGAGGTCTGATTATTATCTATCCCTTCAAGTCAGTTTCAAAATGACCTAAGTGTCCATTAATAAGTTTAGAGTATTGCCCCAGTGTATCATACTGGAATATCCCAGATATGAGATCATATGATAAAATTGTAAAAACCTTACCCTGAATCTCAATTAGTTAACTGCATCGCCCTCTGATTTTAGAGATGAGTTTATAGTGTTGATTCTGACCTCAAATGATATTTTTATTGAAATTTGATATAAATGTTAGCTAATAGGACGATAATGGAGATTGGTGTAGATTTTGATTTCCTTATATGCACTTACTCTGGTTATATAAAGAGTAGATCAAAGCATTGTCTCTCTTTAAGAGTGGATGTGAAGATCAACTCTTGCAAAGAGTAAAGGAACCTGTTCCCTTGAGAAAATGTGATGTGTGGAGACTTGACATTGATACATTAACCCATTTAATCCATACAAAAGCCCACAGAATGCTCAGTATAGCTTCCAACTAAGCCCCAATTATCTACATTTCCCAGTTGACTGATATTGATAAAGTATTCTAAAGATAGATTTTGGGAGTATTTTACAATATCAGAATTCAGGCCCATATAGCCAAATGCTTTATTTTGCAGGATTTTATTTGGAAATAAATAAATTTGTGATCAGAATTTTTACCCTAAAATGGTAAAATGAATGAGAATGAATGAATGAATGCTGCAGATGGTAGATGGTAAGATATCTATATTTCCCTCAAGATATACCCCATATTCAAAACCTACCATAACATAATCCTCATATATCTTTGGTTTCCTTAGTCAGAAAATGTAAGCAATAAGTAAATGACCTGATAGAGAACAGATCCTGACAAGAATAGCTCTTTCAGTACCTCTTTAAGTATAAGCCATATACTTGTTGAAGCTAATGTGAATGGTGACATGAATAACTCTGATATCAAAGCTGAATGGTTTAACTAACTTGCCTATTATATGACAAGAGCCACACTGACAATTTAAAGTGGCAGCAAAAGATATAGAATGTAATATGTTAAAAGCAATCATCAATTCACATGTCAATGTGTCCAGTGCCATCCAAAATTAAATATCTGAACAAAGATATCCGAAATGGAAATAACTGAAGATTAAGGATGTAAATATGTTCCAATTTAGAATTAATAAATTGCAAAAATTCCTTTTTAAGAATCATTCCCAATCATTCCGTAAAACAGTTTTCTTGATTTTGGTAATTAAAAAAATCAATATCCCAAGTAATCCAATTCATTTCAGGTATGCAAATTCAATATGTTTTTCAATCATTTCACAACTTTCAAAACAAGATGCCAAAGATTTCAGTATGCAGAAAAAGTTCACCCTCAATCATCTCTATCACTTATTGCCCCTTTAATAGTACATCCAATAAATCCAATGCAAACAAAAACCTTGACTCAATTCATAAATTAACAGAACAATGAGACAAAACATTGATAAAGCTGACCATTACTCCATCTCACTTTCAATCTCCCGCACACAACTGAAAATTACTTTGAATTTGTAAGACTGTTCCCAGATATAGCACTGATACAATTTGCATTATTGACGGCTTTGATAAATGACTCTGATACGGCACAGTGATGGGCTTTAAAGGGACAGATATAAAGATTCCTGCTGATACAGAAAACTCATTTGATGGAGTAGATAATGAATTGGTATTAAGAAGTTAGGCAGTGGTTCTTTTAGTAATTCCCCATCAGTCAAAGATAATAGCCTATGACATCTATCAATAGTGCAATTTGTGAAATTGCTAGTTTATCTATTGTAATACACAATACAGCTGGAGTGGTATGAATAAACAAAGTACAATTGTGCTATCAGGAAGTAAAAGAAAGAAGATTTATTTGTTTGATTTTTGATATGGATGCTTACAGGTGATGAGGATACACTTTGATGATACACTACAATGAAAACATACTATGATGATGATACACTATACACTATATACACCCTATTATGATGATGCACAATGATGAAGACACACGATGATGACAATACACTATGATGATGATACACTATACACTATATACACCCTATTATGATGATGCACAATGATGAAGACACACGATGATGACAATACACTATGATGATGATACACTATATATGAGGATACACCCTATTATGATGATACACAATGATGAAGACACACTATGATGACAATACACTATGATGATGATACACTATATATGAGGATACACCCTATTATGATGATACACAATGATGAAGACACACTATGATGACAATACACTATGATGATGATACACTATATATGAGGATACACCCTATTATGATGATACACAATGATGAAGACACACTATGATGACAATACACTATGATGATGATACACTATATATGAGGATACACCCTATTATGATGATACACAATGATGAAGACACACTATGATGACAATACACTATGATGATGATACACTATATATGAGGATACACCCTATTATGATGATACACAATAATGAAGACACACTATGATGACAATACACTTTGATGATGATACACAATATATGAGGATACACCCTATTATGATGATAAACAATGATGAAGACACACTATGATGACAATACACTATGATGATGATACACTATATATGAGGATACACCCTATTATGATGATGCACAATGATGAAGACACACTATGATGACAATACACTATGATGATGATAAATTACTATGAGAATACACACTATAATGGTGAAACACTACAATGAAGACACACCATGATGATACACAATGATGACACACTATGGTGAAGACACACTATGATGACAGATTGGCAGTACATTACGATGATGACAAACGTTTATGATAACATATGCCAGGATTCCATCAACTATTTACAAATTCTAGATATTGCAATCATTTACTTCACTTACCAATATCTAGCAGTATATGGTAGCAATATTTAACTTCACTTACCAATACCTGGTAGTATATGGTAGCAATATTTAACTTCACTTACCAATACCTGGTAGTATATATGGTAGCAATCATTAACTTCACTTACCAATACCTGGTAGTATATGGTAGCAATCATTAACTTCACTTACCAATGCCTGGTAGTATATGGTAGCAAACATTAACTTCACTTACCAATGCCTGGTAGTATATAATAGCAATCATTAACTTCACTTACCAATGCCTGGTAGTATATGGTACCAATCATTTACTTCACTTACCAATGCCTGGTAGTATATGGTAGCAATCATTAACTTCACTTACCAATACCTGGTAGTATATGGCAGCAATCATTAACTTCACTTACCAATGCCTGGTAGTATATGGTAGCAATCATTTACTTCACTTACCAATGCCTGGTAGTATATGGTAGCAATCATTAACTTCACTTACCAATACCTGGTTGTATATGGTAGCAATCATTAACTTCACTTACCAATACCTGGTAGTATATATGGTAGCAATCATTAACTTCACTTACCAATGCCTGATAGTATATGGTAGCAATCATTAACTTCACTTACAATGCCTGATAGTATATGGTAGCAATCATTAACTTCACTTACAATGCCTGGTAGTATATGGTAGCAATCATTAACTGCACTTACCAATGCCTGGTAGTATATGGTAGCAATCATTAACTTCACTATCCACCATTGTTGTTACAATTTTCACCTTGGGGAATGCATAGGCAACAGAATGCACACCTGAAAGTGGATAAATGCACATGATAGAATGCACACCTGAAAATGGATAAATACATTTGAATAGAATGCACACCTGAAAATTTAAAAATGCACACGAAACACACAGATTATGGAGTAGTGAAGTGACTATAATGTTTTTTGCTCAAAGTTGTTGATTAATTTATCATGACCAGTCAATCATGTATTAAGCCCTTGTGCAACCCCCTCCCAACTTAACTCACAAACACAGGGGCCAAGTAGTTGATGCAAGAGTACATCATAAATGAAAATGTAAGACAATTGTTGTGTGCATCACTGCTTCATCCATTGTGATTCACAGTCATATTCACTGTGATGACATCTTTTTTATATGACATACAATGTTTATACTAACGAAACAGCTGAATTAATTTAAATCATGTTTTCATATAGCATGGACCGTCAATACTTTTTACATGAATGTTATATCTCCTATATTTACTAAATATAAAATATCTTGTGAAAACGAAAGATTACTATAAAAAGCAACAAAAAAATTCAATTCAATTACCTGACTCCGCCATCAGCAAACAAAGCAGCATAATATTTTCCTCAGGCACATCATGGTCTAAAAGAACACGAATTGCCATCATAGCAGCTGCTCCCGTGGCAACTGTCGCATCCATCAACATCACATGGTGGTCCTTGATATCCTTGGGCAAGCGCAAATAGTGCAACTCTGGCTCTCCAGTATCAAAGTTGGTCTGAATAAGAATTTTTCCGAGTCTGATGTCCTTGATGACCTCAGTTAAAGCAGGTTCCATGGTCTCCCCAGCCCTCAAGATAGACACTCCAGACAGCTGAAAATGGAAATGTATGCACACCTTGGATCATAGCATGAGTTTATTAAGTGTACAACAGTCCCCTGATGAAACTTGTCCTATTTTAAATAAAAAAGATGGTATTTGAGGTCATTATAGTTGATGGAGCACATTAACCTTACTTAATATTTCATTCTGGACATCAAAACAATTATAGACCGTCCTGTCTACTGGTTGAGTCTCAAAATCATATGCCTCCGTTGTAAACCTCAAACTGCCTCTTGGTTTACAGTTTGGAGATATAAAGAGTCAAAACTAGAATTCCGCAACTCCACGGAGTAGCAAATCCCAACGAACACTATATAAATCATGAATCTTTAGTCAAAATGTAATATTTAGCATCTACTCTTCCCTTCAATAAATACTTGAGATCATTATAGTATCATGTAAACCATTCTTTAAAGTTTAAAGATATCTCTAAGTAATGGCAAATTCCTGCTCTAGGCAGCCATTTTGAATTTTCTGAGGCACAAATCAGGAAAACAATACCAATCAAATTTGTCCGAAGCAGGGATAATGCTCATTTAGATTGATGAACTTTGTTCTCCAAACCGAGAATCGTCCTTTGATTTTTTTACATAATATAGATTTGAATGTCTTCTTTTGAATAGTCATAATTTAATTTGGGTAATATTTCTAGATTTTTCGCAAAAAAATATCAGCGCAGTACACTGATGAACTTCTTTCCCCAAATTGAGACTTGTATTCAGACCAATTTGTTATTTTTACATCTTGTAGATCTAAATGTCCTCTTTTGAATATTCATAGCTTAATTTGGGTAATACTTCTATATTTTTCATGAAAAAAATTATTAGCCCAGGAGACTGTTCTCCAAACCGAGAATTGTCCTTTATGCATATTTCTGTTTTCCCAACACCCCAAAAACAAGTAATATATGCGAAATAGATGGATGTTGTGAATATACTACCAAAATTTCAAATAATAATATTTATTACTTTGGTTTAAGATGAAAAGCATAGGATTTTTTCGAAAAATTCCCGCCATCTTGAAAATTCATTTTTGCGTAAAACTATTCACCAATATCGACTTTCCACCAAATATGAAGAAAATTCATCCACTAGTATTCGCGTTATCTTCCTAAAGCACGGATGGTCAGACTGACTGACTGACGGACAGAGGGCTTCACTATATCCCTACCGAACTTCATTGGGATAATAAGGTTCAAGCACCCTGTTGGGAAATAACCTTGAGAGCTCACTAACAGGTCTATTCTATTGTACTGACCTTTTTACAATTTAGTCTCTTCCCTTCATATGAGATGCCTTGAGGAGTGTCAACAGTGACTGGCTGAAATTACAAATGATCAAAACATGATTTAGATCAATCATCCCAAATATGTATTATAAGTACAAAAGCACAGTATTAATAATCATATATCAAACCTATGTACCATATTTTCTCTAATAGACTCAAATAGCCCCTTAATATGATTTAGATCATACATTTCCCATATATTAGTAGGCTATATGTACAAAATCACAGTATTAATAATCATATATCTAACCTATGTACCATATTTTCTCTAATAGACTCAAATAGCCCCTTAATATGATTTAGATCATACATTTCTCATATATTAATAGGCTATATGTACAAAATCACAGTATTAATAATCATATACTGTAAAACGGGTAATTTTGACACCGGGAAATTTTAGCGATTTTTCAATTTTAGGGGGTTTTAGCGCGGGAAATTTTAGCGAAATGAAGATTAATCTTTAAAAAATCAAATTAGCGAAATGCATTAGAAATTTTATCATTTATGGCAGAAGAATGAATAACGGACATGACAGAGGAATTATCAAAATGTAAGACTTCTAACGCACATGGTATTGGTCCAAACTACTGTAATCTCATCAGACAAATCACAAAATCACCGAAGCATTTAAAATCGTTGATTTTTCGGTCCAAACTAATCTCAAATTACAAACCGGAAGTCGAGCACTGAACGAAAAGCTCCTTAAATACTAGTATTCATGTAGTTTACCGGGAATTTTAGCGCCCGGTTTATTTTAACCCCGGTTTATTTTAGCGAATTGAATTTTTAGCGAAACTATAGCGATCGCTAACAATCGCTAACAATTACCCCTCGCTAACAATACCCGTTTTACAGTATCTAACCTATGTACCATATTTTCTCTAATAGACTCAAATAGCCCCTTAATATGATTTAGATCATACATTTCTCATATATTAATAGGCTATATGTACAAAATCACAGTATTAATAATCATATATCTAACCTATGTACCATATTTTCTCTAATAGACTCAAATAGCCCCTTAATATGATTTAGATCATACATTTCCCATATATTAGTAGGCTATATGTACAAAATCACAGTATTAATAATCATATATCTAACCTATGTACCATATTTTCTCTAATAGACTCAAATAGCCCCTTAATATGATTTAGATCATACATTTCTCATATATTAATAGGCTATATGTACAAAATCACAGTATTAATAATCATATATCTAACCTATGTACCATATTTTCTCTAATAGACTCAAATAGCCCCTTAATATGATTTAGATCATACATTTCCCATATATTAGTAGGCTATATGTACAAAATCACAGTATTAATAATCATATATCTAACCTATGTACCATATTTTCTCTAATAGACTCAAATAGCCCCTTAATATGATTTAGATCATACATTTCTCATATATTAATAGGCTATATGTACAAAATCACAGTATTAATAATCATATATCTAACTCACATATTGATACGATCATACAATGACTCTAGACTCATCTGATTTTAATCTGTACAAATATCTCTTTGACTTTGAATAATATAGGAAATTTATCAAAATTCTGCATTTAATCAAAACTCATAAATTCCATCAATGCTTCATTGAAACAAAAACATGGGATGACTGGGCTTACTTTATGAGGAAGTAACGACAGGGCATATTCTATAAGCAGCCTCATCAGCCTTTGAGAGTAGAAGACAAATTCATCACGAGATGTGTCCCTGTTTCTGTAATAGAATTCAAATTTATATTCGTTTGAGCAAAGCGATTTAAGAATATAAATACTTTCTATATATGTGCAGTGAAGTGAAGAAAAGGCATGAATCATGATTAGGGGATGTAGCATGCTGTTCGAATTGAGCAAAGATTCTCATAAATAAATAAATATGTTAGGCCTTGTTTAGTGAGTGAGTTTTATGAATAGAGAAGTCATTCTGGGCTTGGTTTCCTAACAGTCAACTCCAAAAGTTTTAAGCAAATTTTTTTAAAGCTATTTCTGCATTCAAACGGATTTTACTTGTGACTGGGTCCGATAGGTTGAGAGGTGGGGTTATACCTTTCCATTGGGCATCGACATCAGTCGAATAGCGTCTTTGGTTTTAATGGTGATCAACCACCTCAATATCAATCGGGCAACAATTAAACTTTGCATACAAACTATTTTACTAATTGTACAATATACCTGGCACAGTTTCTGCCATATGTACATGTATTATAAGATTTACAAATAAGCAGGGCATGCAAACAGTCTTACAAAACGATATCAATCACAAGTATTGTAAACAGCTTGTCAAATGAGTTAAGTTTGCCAAGCAACAACATTGCTACAGTCTTAGCATAACATTTTCCTGAGTTTTTTACTCTTTACAATAGTTTGATTTTGCAGATCTGCCCCCTATGATCTCGCAAACCAAGAATCATAGGAGGTTGTATTAGATATCATTGGAAAGGTTATTCAATTCACAGTATTTTGGAAGAATTTGGGGTTTATCGTTTCAAGTCAAAATTACTGACAATTTGGGTATTTCGGTAACTTTCACCAGCTCACAATTTTTTGCTAAAACATGCTTTATTCAATTCTAAAAAAAGCCAGAAAGTTTCAGATCAAAAGACGTGAAAATATGATCTACAGTTGCCCAATCAAAAAGCATTCACCAGAGAACTACCTGACAAATGTGTGTAAACCCTGTATCTGTGGGGTGCACTCTAGTACATGCAAGGAGTTTGGAGGAGGTTGACCTATATGTGACTCGGCAAGTTTATTTCTGAGTTGATGCCCTCTCTGAAACATACATTCAGAATATATAGATTCATACTACATGTGCAAGATATAGGCTTTGCCCTTGATGGTAGATCCAATAGCAGTGGAATAAAACTAAGTGAATGAAAATATGATAGATAATTAATTACAATTTTAATAGCTTTGAACAAAATGAATAGATAAAATACTGTCACTAATTAAAAAATAATTATTTGCCACAGCACATTTAGATTTATAAATCAATGAGGATTAGAACAATCTAATGTAGCACTCTATCGCTGCCTGCCATTGTTAATTTTGTCATAGGCATTTAACTCATGAATTCTATTCCACTTAATAAATTAGAGGATTATCAAAAAACATGCTTAATATATATTTCTACCTTCTGTAACTGTGTGTGGACATGTTGGACTATGAGATTTATGGCAACTTCATTTTCACCACCTAGAAATAAACGCCTTATTCTTCATGAAACTATACAACATAACAGACATAAATCTGACCCTATTTTTCTGACAACTAGCACGGACACTGACTGGTGATCCACTCGATAACGCTGGTTACCAAAACGAACCGTTTTGGTAACAAAATGTCGGAACGTCGAAGGCACGATTTTTCTTTTTTCCTAATTTCACGCGTTGTAGGCAGAATCCCCACAACGTATTTTCTCACAACGTGCATCAGTATCATATGTTTTAGAAAATGTACATGTTTGCGAAAAAAATAGCTCAGAGGACAACAGAATCGTCGATTTACTTCCTCACTTAAGTTACATAAACGCAGGGATCTCGCCAGGCTTTTAGAGTCCGGCGCCCCGCCGATCTCTCTCATGTTCAGACCTGATAGCGCCAGTGTCTAATGCTAAAAATGAATGCCGCCGGTCTCTAATTTTTGGGATTTTTTTTTCATTGCCACTTTTCATCCTCTTTAACTTCAGTTTTTGAGTTACAACTTCTCAAAACATAAGATAAAGTGTTCACTTACCGTACAGATTCTAATTTTCCAATATAAGGTCTTAAAAACAGGTGATTTTCAATTGAAATCATCATATCATCAAGAACATTTTTGTTTCTTTCATGTGGTATGAAGGGAGACATCTATTGAGAAAATAGTAGTAATTGATTCCAATATACATACTCCCTCCGATAAAATTTGGCAATTTCCAATTTTAAATAATTAAATCACGGGGAGGAACCTCTTAAACAAAACAGTAACTACATTAGGTTCATTTAGGAATGTGTTTAGTGGGAAATTTAAATTTGAATGTTTATGACAACATGATTGGTCAATTCATAACTTGATCTCATCACATGACTCATCATATATATCTTTTATCGACTCTTTAGATGTCATATCATGACATATTAGTCACTTAGGTAGAGCAGTTCTTCCCATTGTCGAGTTGAAGAACTGGTATCTTTATCCTGGCTAGAACCATAGACAATTCTAGCCAGCGCCAGCCTTTTATCGAGTTAGCAGCACTCTAGTAATCGCCAGTATAGGTCAGCAGTCATAGGTCAAAGACAAATAAATAGGTCAGAAGTTAGGATGTAAATATTGAACCACATGGTCTGGTACAGAAATGATAATGTTTATACTCTCATAAAAACAGCAATTTTTCTCTGAAATGTTTGGCTTGAAAACATATTTTAAGATCTTCTAAAGCTGATTCTGTTTACTTTTGAGTAATAAACATACTATTTTTGGAGGCAATTTTGCAACCTCTCCTGGCCCAGTGTTACATATATATAGGTTATTTACTGGGAGGGATTGAATATGGGTTTTATTCCGAGGGACAATATGATATTGACCTTGGGTAATATGATATTGACCGAGGGAGCGCAGCGACCGAGTGTCAATATCATATTTCCCAAGGTCAATATCATATTTTCCGAGGAATAAAACCCATATTCAATCCCGACCAGAAATAACCTATTTATTCCATAATACATTCTTCCTTAAAATGTTACATTTGGATAATGCTTTTATCAATTAGTCAAGGTTAAAAATAACCGGGAAAACCAAAAATAGGTTAATACGTTCCAATACGATTTTTGTCCCGGGGACAATACGATTTTTCCATGTAATACGCTCCAATACGATTTTTTCCCGGGGACAATACGATTTTTTCATGTAATACAATTTAATACGATTTTTATTCCTTCATATTTCCCTGGGAAAACAGTAGTATTATGGAATAAACTGGTATACCACATGAAATGGTCAAGAAGGGGGGTCACTTTTTAAAAAATTCTACGGGGGGTTCAATTGGTGTCATTGGTGACAGGTCATCTCAACCCCAAGTCATCTCAACCCAGTCCAACTCAACCCCAAGTCAACTCAACCCCAAGTCAAGTCAACCCCAGTAAAAATCAACCCCAAGTCAACTCAACCCTGTAAAACTCAACCCCAGTAAAACTCAACCCTATTCATTTGTGCAATGTCTAATTTTATTTTTCTATGATGAATAATTTTAGCCATTTATTTCTGAAAATCTAGCATTTTGCATGATACTTTGAATAGAAAGTTGTGAAAGTATTCAAAAAAAAAAACGATAATTCATCAAGTCGTCACTATTAATTAATTCAAGACATCTTTTAAAATCAAACTTTAGATAATTTAGAAATAATTAACAATGTAATATAACTTTTTATTTATATGAACATGCTTTAACAAAATCATTAACATTTAGTAATTAATAGACTGAAAGCATAGATGTAGCCAGGAGGGGTGCGCACACACCCTCCCCCCAATTTTGAAGGAAGTTGCATCATTTTTTGTCAAAACATATCTTTTTTGGCTCGCTTATGCCACGATCGGCACCCCCTGACTGAAAACCTGATTTTTTGGGTGATCGCATCCCTCCTGACTGAAAGCTGGCTATGCCCCTGGAAAGCAATGGTCATGTTCCAGTTTTTCAAATAATCAAGAGTGTCAACCTCATAGGGATTACAACAAAACAAACGTATTAGCAAGATTAATAAAATGACCCATATTTTAATCCTTAATACCATATTGACATTTTGGAGATAAACTCATTATTAACTATAATCTAAAAAGGCAGTGGTCTAATAATGAAAATCACAAACTGAATCATCAGAATTGTTTTTATGAAATAAACTTTCTTATAAGTTTATCAATATATAGAAATATAGGGGTTGAGTTTTACTGGGGTTGAGTTTTACAGGGTTGAGTTGACTTGGGGTTGAGTTTTACTGGGGTTGACTTGACTTGGGGTTGAGTTGACTTGGGGTTGAGTTTTACTGGGTTGAGTTGACTTGGGGTTGAGATGACCAGGAAGCGTTCAATTTTGGTCCAAAAATGGCAAGATTTTGAACTTTTGGCTGGGGGAGTTTGGCTGGGGCTCGAACGTTGAATTTTTTTCCGGGTTCTAAAAATTTGCTGGTGAGAACCCTGAAACGGTTTTTGGAAAAACAGTTAAAGTGCCCGATAAACGATAAAATGCGCATGCGTCCAGGTGTTGATAAACTATAAATAGCGAAAATCCAGGGTTTGTCACCACAAGGTAAGCCAGGACGTGTTGAGAGAACAGCTAGTGTTGATATTGAATTTATATGTAGCCAGATAAGTTTCCTTATTGAAATTACATATGGTTATTAGCAATACTTTGTAGGTGCTAAATAATAAAATATTTAGAGTATATATGAGAGAAATTGGTCATTTCGAACCTGTTGAAAAGTTTGTGGCTCTCGGCTACACCGGGGAATTTACTTCCATGAGTACACACATAAATGTGGGGTTCCCCAAGAGGTACGCGACAAGGTGACCTGGCATCAAATGTGCGACTAAATGCTACTATCGAGAAGATAAAATAACGAATACGACAATAAGTTATTGCATGTGACAATTCCGAGCCTTCATCTCACTGAAGTATTTTGAAGTGAAAATAGGATTTTTGTTTTGATACATGGATTCAGATGAACGTAACATTATTCTGACAACTAATCAAAACTGAACAAAATTGATTGTACGTAACAGACAATTTATTGTTTTACAATGTTTTGATTGGCTAAACGAATGAAACCAACAAATTATGACATGTAAAATGACAATTTTGAAATGTAAAATTTAAAAGTGACAAACACAACCTCCCTATCCACTCTTTGGGAGCCCTAGTAAATTAGTAATATGTACATGCAGCAGTGGTAGTGTACAGCTTATTATCACACTACGCTTTGTATTCTAAAGCCTGTTGTTTGTAATAACACTGTTCACTCAACGTATGTTTTGTGTGTGGGCAGTCAACGATAATTATTGTTTTATCCCGGTTATATGACCTCGGCAATTATAACAGAACCATACTAAACGAAAAAAACGCAAATAAGAGAAAGCTTTCACACACATATAAAAAATGAACTAGTCTAATCCGCCAGTATAAACTCTGTGCTATACGTAGCCGGGTCAGGCGCACACTTTAAGATCTGCACTTTTAACCCAAACCTTTATGTAACTAAGTGAGGAAGTAAATCGACGATTCTGTTGTCTTCCGAACTATTTGTTCGCAAATGTGTACACTTTCTTAAACATATGATACTGATACTGTTAAAAATGTCATGGGAATTCTGCCTACAACGTGTAAAACCAGAACAACGGCAACGCCAAAGCGTAGTGAATCCCATCGAACAGAAATGGCTGGCATTTTTACAAACGAAATATATAGCAAATATCATAAAACAACACACCAGAAAGGCCACCATTTTCAAAATGGTTGCTCACTAGCCAAGTTGTCATCAGAAGAAATAATATGCTTTTTAGTAGCCACCTATAAATTTTTTGAAAAATCGCACACATGTACTTGTAAAATAACATACATAAAAATGGTTGCCATTTTTCAAAATGGCCGACTACTCCCCAAAATTTTATTAGACAATGTGCCATGCTTAGAGTATTCACATTTCAAATATGAACAAAATCGCTCCACTACTTTTCGACTTATACTAAAATACGTTAAATTGGCGGCCATTTTTCAAAATTCTTTTCAAAATGGCCACCTTCTACCAAAAGTGTCATAGGACAGTGTGCCATGCTTATAGTATTCACATACCAAATATGAACAAATTCGCTCTACTACTTTTCGAGTTATAGTAAAATATGTTAAAATGGCGGCCATTTTTCAAAATGGCCACCTTCTACCAAAAGTGTCATTAGACAGTGTGCCATGCTTATAGTATTCACATACCAAATATGAACAAAATCGCTCTACTACTTTTCGAGTTATAGTAAAATACGTTAAAATGGCGGCCATTTTTCAAAATGGCCGCCTTCTACCAAAAGTGTCTTTAGACAGTGTGCAATGTTTATAGTATTCACATACCAAATATGAACAAAATCGCTCCACTACTTTTCGAGTTACAGCAAAAATCGTAAAATAACAAGTAAAGGCTGCCATGTGCTTTTTTAATATCTACATTGTAGCTTTATTAATGTCCTTTATAATTTTTTTACATTTAAAACATATTGCTATTACAGTTTTACATATTATACCTAAATTACTGTAAAATCGGCACTAAAATGGCCGCCATTTTGAAATGAGCGGCCATTTTGAAAATCGGCTTTCGAGCAGAACTTCTACCCCTATAGTGTATATGTGTACATAATATGAACAAAATCGGGCCAACGGTATTTGAGTTATTGCCCGGACGGACGGACGGACGGACGGACATACGGACGGATGGAGGCGTTCCCTATATCCCTCCGAACTTCGTTCGATGGGATAATAAGGAAACGAGAAAAATCGTACCTTCCGGATGTTCCGACATTTTGTTACCAAAATGAATCGTTTTGGTAACCAGCGTAATCGAGTGGATCACCAGTGACAGAACTGATAGTACAATGGGAACCATGGTCAATGTTTTTCTTTGAACAAAATTGTTGTTTTACTATCCATGAAAATTAGCTTTACCATAAAAGTAGTCACTTGCACACCCCCTCAAAGTTAGACTGTATAATAGAAATAATAATTAATAATAATAAAAAGATTTAAACAATACTACACCTCTTGGCACTATTATGTCTGCATAAGTCATGGTAGGCTCGATATAGTGTTCAAAGGCAGGTTTCACAAACTGTGTATATTGCTTGAGGACACCTTCTATTTCCCGACCTCGTTCTGTGATGTCACGCTTAAGACGACGAGCAAGTCGTATGTCAGAGTCTGTTTCTACAAAAATCTTCATGTCCATCATCTGGAACAAAGATTTTAGATCTCAAGAACCCTTATTGAGAAAAATATATTACCGGATTTTCTCGCATATAAGCCCTGGGCGTATAACTGAAAGAAGGGGTAATTTCGTCTGATATTTTACCTCTTATTTTTCGCCCATTGGCGTATAAGTGTACTACTTTCGATTTTTGGCACAGTGGGCGTAAAGGTGAGAAGAGCTGATCTTCCTCAAAGACTACAGTACCTACTGTTGTAGTCCTACCGCATGTTTTGTAAGAATTATGAAGGAAATGTCACCTACAACCTTGGACTTAATGTTGAAACAAAGTAACAGAACGATCCACCACTGTCACTTACGGCACAGCGTTGAACTTAATGTTGAAACAAAGTAACGACAGAACGATCTGCCAGTGACAAAATACTCTTGAATTTATTGAAAAAATCAATAAATAGTCATTTTTATAGGCCCATGGGCGTATAAGCGTACTACATTCGATTTTTGGCCCATGGGCCTAAATTTAGGGGGGCGTATATGCGAGAAAATCCGGTAACATTTAATATTTCAGGCCCTTTTATAGGACAGAAAATAATATTCTGGGTCATGTTATTTCAAATTGTCATCTGGTTGATAAAGTGGGATACTTTGATGTCTTGATGAGAGCTTGGGAGATTTATGTTGCATATAATATTTTAGCCTTTCATATACAAACATAGTAGTACTTACGTCTCTCAATGAAGCTGTATTAAATGACATGATTCCTTCAAATATCACCACATTAGCACCATAAATAGTTTTCTGCAAATTCAAAATTGAACATTACATGACATTTGGATATTCAAGACATATACTATTTACAGCTGACACACGTAGTAGAGTTCACGACCTCTGTCAGTCAGTCCCATGATGTTGACATGGCCACATCATGTTGTGAATCTATGATATTATTTGAAAAGTGTCAACAATCTGATGTGAATACACTTTGTTTTAACCTTAAGTAATTATCGACGCATAGAGGAAAGTTTAGAGGTTAATGTCATGGATGAAGTAATCATATTCCCAAATTAGGAAATTAATTAAGGATTAACAAATATGCGAATTTACAAAGGCCGTCGATCCCACATGTGCGAGTTAGCAGTAATGTAGTTTTGAATAGATCTTTCTGAAAACACGGTTGGTAAGTAGAACATATTATTTTGTTCCTAGTTTTCCTTGGGATGTGGAAGGCATGCATGTAAGAAGAATGTTTGTGAACGCTAAAAGTTGTTATGACAGACTATGACTGAGAAAGGTAGTTCAACAGTTCACCAATTTCGAGGATCCGATGTGTAGGCTCATAATGATTATTCTGGTGCTAGGACCCTTAATGTCAGTCTATAATGATTCTAAATCATGACAGACTTAACTTTACATTAACTTTACCTAATTTCCAATCTGACGCCAAAGAGAAATGAAGACCCATTATTATAACACTCATTAAGCAATCTGGCGAAACAATAATATTATATAACATTAGTCAGACAGTTATTGGGGAGATAGCAGTTTTAGTAGACCTCAGTGCTTTTGCCTGCAAGATACCTGAGGGGGGGCAAGGGATAGACAGGACCCTATAGTTAGTTGCAAGGTACCTCACTACTGGTAGCTCATGCATATACACGTAAGACCCCATGTTTGTTTATAAGGCAGCTAGATGCCATAGTTTTACAAGGCACCCAGAGAACGGTGGTATTGAGACTGTAGATCTCCAGTTTTCTTTGGGAGACATCTGACAAGTGGTGGCCAGAGAGTTTGCAGACCCCGTAGTGTTATTTTTTATTTTTTTGAGGCACCTGATGAGTGGTTTTTTTTGAGGCCCCTGATGAGTGGTGGCCTGATAGTTTGTAGATGTTTTTTTGTGAGGCACCTGATGAGTGGTGGCCTGAGAGTTTGTGGACCCCCTAGTTTTTGTGAGGCACCTGATGAGTGGTGGCCTGAGAACTTGTAGATCCATAGTTTTTTGTGAGGAACCTGACGATTGGTGGCCTGAGAATCTGTAGATCCCCTAGTTTCTTTTGTGAGGGACCTGACGAGTGGTGGCCTGAGAATTTGTAGATCCCCTAGTTTTTTTGTGAGGCACCTGATGAGTGGTGGCCTGAGAGCGTGTAGATCCTGTAGTTTTTGTGAGGCACCTGAGAAGTGGTGTGAAATTATAGAATCATTTGACTTACCAAATTCATAACCATACTAGCATGTTTTCAGTGGCATCCGTGTCGATCTTAAATGCTGAAAACTGACCAAGGGCCAGGCCGCTAGCGTTGCGATGCTAGTAAATCCATTACTCCCATACCCTTTGCATGGAAATTACCTCACTTACACCTAACCATATGAAAGTGCAGCTGAGGCTAGAAACAAACTTTGAGAATCAAGTAAAATCAATATAAACCAAATAAGGGTCAAAACTATTTGTTAATCTTTTTCTTCACGCAGTCATTCATTTCAACCCTGTTTGGCCACCCGGATTGTTGATAAGATATTTTTGATTTCTCTCTGAAGTAATATAATTAGAACCATAGAAACAATATAGTGAAAGAAATATATTCTATATTTTCCCCGGCTGTAATTTTCAATCAGGGCATGCCTAACATTATTAACACAATTAGCCGACAATACATTTTTTGAAATCAGGATGTCAGTATATATGGATAGAAGTGACACCATATATTTTTTTTCTCTTAGCCCACTGTTGCAACACAGAATTGCCACCACAGACCACACAGTAAGCTCAGGAGCTCATTTTCCAAAATTTGAGTCACTGGAAAGTTCAGATAAACCTAAAACTCAATCCATAAGTTATGGGAATCACCACATATTTACATTTTCTATCTCACTTTCCCTCCTAATCACCAATACCATTGTATACTTGAATTGGAACGGGTTCTTTGATACATAGCAGCAGGAGTAGACAATAAAGGACATTGATAATTCAGGGATCATCAGACAGCCCTATGTTTCCCTAATGAGGCTATATACTAATCCCGGTGGCTTAGATCTCTCCATGGGTACTTAATGCTATTCACATACCATTGTCTGCCAAGGGGTGTAAATCAGATAATTTTTTCCCATCAGTTGGCTTCAGTTGTCTTGTTCCATGTGCCGACACACAAAATTATCATTAGCATTTCCCAGTTGATGCCGGGAAAGTACACATTACCTATCTCCTCTGGAAGAAAAGATCTCCAAGTCAACAACACTTGAAAAAATATGTCAACAAAGGAAGTAAAAGAAAGGAAAATGTTTCAGATAATGAAGCATCTCTCAAACCTGGACAGTCACTTGGATGATGACGAATTATTATCATTTGAAAATGGGGATAATCTAACAGGTCTGTCCGTCGAGGAATTGAAGGAGGGGACGTTATCCCTAGGTTTTACCAAGGAAGAACTTGAGGAACTTTGCAAAATGTCAAGAACAGATCAAAACAACCAGTGCGAAATGGTTAGATTGGCCCACTCTGCCTTATCTATCCACAAGGACGCTCAAGTTGAGAAACCAAAAGCCAAAAAGCCTAAGTTGGACTCAGTTGAAGAACAGGTCAGTCTTAAATGTTTGCTAGTCATAAGGTTTATTACCCTCGCATTTTTATTTTAATTCAGTTCTATGCCGCCTCTTTAAAATAAAAACGAACAATAAATTAACAAAATAAATGAATAAATGTAATTAATTAATTGATGATTTAATAAACAAAATTAGATAAACCACCTTGTAAATAATGGGAAGTTTTCAATCGCGCTTATAATTCTTAATATTCAACTCTATCATCAATCACAACCTAATATGCTTACCCCTAAATCACATATCATTCATCCCTTCTTAATATGTTTACTCAAATGCCTCAGAGGAGAGACTAATAGATAGTGTTTCATTCATTCAGCCATAATGAAGTTAAGATGTCGATAAACTGGTAATTCATATATACCCCTTTATCTCATAAATCCCAAGCGTTATTATCCTCAATCCTTTTTATTCGCCCTAACATCAACAATAAACAAATGAATAAATTGTTGCGATATAAGTCCCACTCGCAAACTGTTTTCATTCTTAAGGTAGTTAAGAGGTAATGGAGTGTTTTATTAGTTATAGTTGTAGTTATTCACTGCTAGGTCATTCTGAGATTCAATTTTAAAACAAACAAACATTGAGCATGGTTAAGCATAGACCCCCTTAATTGACCGAATACATGACTACCTCAAAGCTCTGTAGTCATATCTTGTAGGTTGGTTCTCCCATAATTTGGCTTAATCCGAGTTCCAACAATATCACTTGATTAAATAAATCAAATAAAATTGCTTCAATCTATCATTCCAGGATATACCTGGTAAATCACTTATTCGAGCAAGAATGGAACATTTAGACTCCCTCCTCCTTGACTCCAGATACGAAAAACAAAAAAGTTCCCTACAAATAGAACTCGAAAATTTTTTACTAAAATTCCACCCTCCAAAAGACCTTCAATCAGCCACACCCATGGATGTGAGGGTTTTCATAGTCAGCAAAGACCACAAGGGTAAAACTGTTACCCATCTACCATCGTGTAACAATGAATCAGACTGTAATTGCCCCAAATCCCTGTCAGCGGGTTCCGTGGATAGTTTAATTGGTAAAATTCGAGCTATCTTCCGAGATAATGGTAGAGACATTGACAATCCAGCTGCATCCCCTATAATCAAATCACACCTTAAGGCAGTGAGGTTAGAACAATCAAAAGCAGGAGTGTTACCTAAAAAGGCAATTCAAGTTCAATTCCACAAATTAAACAAGATAGTGCATCATATTAGATACAAATTGAATAACCCCAGGCTCTCTACCTTACAAAAATACGTCCTTTTGAGAGATGTGACTTTCTTCATAATTATTGCTCAGTCAGGCGACAGGGCTGGGGATCTGGGACAGTTAAGACTTAACAACATCATAGTGGCTCCAGATGAATCGATAATTCAAATTACTCTTACAATGGGCAAAACCACCAAAGTAAATTCTCCAAGAGTCATGATCTTACCTAAATCAGATGGCCCTTTCTGCCCAGTAAGCGCATTTAAAACATACAATTCATTTCTCAATGAAAAAAACTTACAACAAACCGGATATTGCTTCAAACCACTCCTACCAGATAATAAATCATTATCGCTTGACCGTCCATTCTCATCTTCCTTGGCCAACGACAGATTAAAGTCTTACCTCACGCACTTAAAACTATGGCAAGGGGAATCATCACATGGAATCCGGCGCAACGTAGCATCCACCTTGATGCTTTTGGGGGTTTCCAATGAGGGAATAAAAGCACACATAGGCATCAACATGGACAGTGTATTAAGAACTTATATAGCTCCAGCCCATTCCAAACTACAATTATCCACCTCAAAAAGTTTATCTGATAACATGGCGAAACTAAGTAAATAATCAATCCCCCTTGCCAGTACTTTACCCAGGTTCAAAACATAATTTAAAAACACACACTTCATCCTGCATTTTTCAGTTAAGAGCTCTCAAATCAGAGTTACAAAGTGTGCAAAAAGCCCAGGGCTCCGACTCCGTTGCTTCAATTTTACGAGAGGTAAAGGAGTATGCAGCTAGGCGCGACCCAGACACAGAGGTCCTCCATAACAAGCTCTCTGCCCTGGACCAGAGAGCGCGCTTAGCAGGTCACAAAGATGCAGACACCTATACCCACGTATTTGCGAGATTCATGGCAAACAAATCAAGTCGGAAAATCGGGGCTTTAGTTTCCAGCCTGCTGGCTACCAAAGCTGAGGCCGCTGTCATTGACAGGGAGCTCAAGTTTTTCAAAGCGCACCCCTCCTCCTCAACTAAAACACCCACCACCTCAGATCGCTGGAACACAACCAACAAGGGGGAGGGTTTTGGAAGAAATCGTCTTTCAATAGTATGCTGGATCTGTAACAAATCGGGTCACAGGTCATTTGAGTGCACTTCAAGAAAGCAAGATAATTAGGCAAACAGCTATGGAGAACAGTTTCATATCCAGCCATAAAACAATTTCAATCTCTTTGCACAAAGGTGATAACCAACACTCTTGTTTCAGGACTATCCCTTGCAGTTGGCCAATACAAACATCAGAAGCTCTACACAAATTCCCTATGTAAACATTGGTGGAAAACCACTAGACTTAAACTCAGGTCATGTGCCAATGGAAGAGGCCCCCCTTTCAGGACACGTGAACATATTATCTATACCACTACCAGATCCCAACTACTTTGTGGCTGGTAATGTACACAACTATTTACATAATTGGGATACTATAATACCAAAGGACTCAGGTAATAGAGACAGTATATTAGACTGGATAACCAACTGTGTCAATATTCATGATTTCATGGTTCCATTTAAAGGAGAATTTCAAGGTCAGCAACTTAACCATTCATTCCCACCTACAAGGGCATTTAGTAACACAAGTAAATGTGATGGTTTTGAGGAATTTATTGATGAGGAGATCCTATCAAGAGTGCAATCAGGGGCAATCACTTTCCTAGGTAAGGTTGGAGAAGTTTTACCCCCTCATATAATTAGTCCCCTTACAGTGGAGCCTAACAAGCCACGCTTATGCATTAGTCTCAGGTATTTAAATTGCTTCATGAGAGATACACCATTTACTTTAGACACTTTAAACGAAGTACCTAGAATTTTATCTGAAACCTCAAAAATGACAATTTTAGATGATCGTAAAGCCTATGATAATATCTTTATTCATGAATCATGTAGAACTTTGACTGGATTTAGGTGGAGAGATTGTTATTTTGTCTGCAACACTCTGCCATTTGGCTGGAAAAACTCAGCGTATGTGTATCACTCTATCAATTTAATAGGTATATCATATCTTAGGAAAATGTCAGTCTCTGCTTTGTTGTACATCGACGATAGGTTAGTTGAACACTACAATGGAAAACTGACGAGCGAATCTGACAACAACCAAAGAGCCACCTTAGCTATCTACATGGCAACAGAATTGTTCTCCAGGCTCGGATATTTCATTGGCATCAGCAAGTCAGTTTTCCAACCAGTGGACTCCATTGTGTTTTTAGGTCTTATTTGTGATGCAAAGAAACTAGCTTTCTTTATTCCCCAAAACAAAAAAGAAAAGTTTGCTACCTTAAGGGAATATATTTTAAGTCAAACTCATATCGAACTAGAAACACTTCAAAGTTTTGTGGGCCTAATAATTAGTTTCACACCCGCTATTCCAGCTGCAAAGTTGTATACCTCCTCCTGCAACATAGCTATTGCAAAGTCGTCTGGCTCTTCCATTCCTATACAGGGCTCATTAGAACAAGAAATAAAATATTGGAGGTACCTAGATGAATGGAACAGTCACATGTCCTGGCAAAGTGAAAAACATGAAGTAATTCAGATTTTTACAGATGCAAGTAATCTTAAATGGGCAGGTTTGACTAAATCCAGTGAGGTTTCAGATTATTGGCTTGAGTCAGAACAGGGACAAGATATCATGGTGAAAGAAGCCATGGCACTGCTAAAAACCTTGGAATCCATGAGCAATCAATTAGATAACAAGCGCATTGACGCAAAAGTAGATAGTCAAGTACTCATTTATAGTTGGAAAAAACAAGGGTCCAGGTCCCCCGAATTGAATGAAGTCATGAAACAGATTTTTCATTTCCTGCTAAACCACAATGCCTCCTTGAAACTCGAATATGTTCCCTCAGCCGAAAACTTAGCAGATTTTCCATCAAGAAAGCTAAACAAGACAGACACAATGCTGTCTAAGGCCAGTTGGCTAAGAGTGCAACAAGCATTTGGTGGAAAATCTGGACACACATTTGACGCAATGTCTCTTGACAGCAATGTAATGACAGGATCTAGCAATTTACCCCTCCCCCATTTCACGCCCTCTGCCACACCTTTATCAAACGGAGTTAATTTCTTTTGCCAAAATCTGTCTCCTGATCAAAATTATTACATCTTTCCACCTTTTGGCCAAATTGCAACAGTTCTACATCACGTCCTTAAAGAAAAAGTAAGTGCCACCATTATCGTACCTGCTTTAGAACCAGCTCCAACGTGGTTAAATTCGCTATCTTCACATTCAGTGGGATGTGTGGTCCTAGGTTTCAAAGGTGATAAACATGCTCTTAAATTCCCAACCAAAAAAGGTTTCCAACCTGACTCTAAAGGCCTCGTAACCAATCTTATTGCAGTCCGAGTCCATCCTGATTTCCAACCAAACAGCAATGAAACCCTTTCTGCTATGTATTCCAATCAAATATCTGACTGCAGAGTGTTGTTGTTAGGGGACTCTATGCTAAGATTTGTGAAATTAGATAACCCTATGGTACAGGTATCATCCTTCTCTGGAGCTAAGATTCAAGATATAAACAATGTATTACAATCCACATTAAACCGCTTGCAACCATTGTTCTTATTATTGCATATTGGTACAAATAACCTTAACAAACACTACAGCCAAGTACATAAAGCATGTAAACACTTTGAAGAACTAGCAGAAGTCATTACCTCAAATGTAAACATCACGGTAATTATCTCAAGTGCAATCTCAACCAGTTCAGAGAGTGTAAATTTGAAAGTACAAGCATTTAATCATTTTATAGCATCATTATGTGCAAACAAGACATGGTCATTCTTATCTCACAGTAATGTATTGTTGGAAGATTTAGCAGATGGTCTGCACCTAAATAGGAGAGGGCAGATTAAATTCATGAACAATATAAATGAGGTTATTAATCTATCTTAAGTCTACCAGCCACTCAGTGTCCCCATCATTCCAGTGCACCAACTTACTATATTAAAAATGTAAAAGACAGAAAGGTAGTTATATCATTGCGCTTTACAATGTATGTAGTGCAAGACATTTAGTTTAAACAAGGACTTTGAGACTCTAACTTTTGACAGGCTGTGAAATTGTTTACGTAGAATTTGTATTTGTGTTATCACCATTTGACTTGTTGTAATAAACATTTTGGCTGATGACAATAGACCAGAACCATCATTTTTATGTTAACTTTAATGTCTGTTACAAGAAAGAAATAACAGTTCATTCTGATGTTGGATGAGTATGATGAGGTTTGAATGTTAAATGTGTATTGGAATCAGGATAGCAGATATAGTATGTATCGCAGATATGGGTATGTAAGTGAGTGTAGTTCATGAATGTTGGGTATATGAACGGTGTGCGCATTTTCTCCATATCTTACATAATAAGTGAACTCTATTAGGGAAGCTGTTAATAGAATACTATTTACAGCTGACACACGTAGTAGAGTTCACGACCTCTGTCAGTCAGTCCCATGATGTTGTGTTGGTAGACTTTGTGTTGGGAGGTCCTATCCACATCTCAATGACAGTATGCTGGGCCCCGTAGCCAATCATTTGATCTGAAGTATAGCCAATTCTGGCCCCGTTGCCAATTATTTGACCTGAAGTATAGCTAAAAAAAATTAAAAAAAAATAAAATAAAAAAAATAGTTGAATAAAATAACTGGAGGGGGGGGGTCCAAATCCGACAATTTTTACCCACACTCACAATAAGCACTGAAACTGTAGAACAACTGCATAATCGTGAAAGAACACCCTCTAGATACGGGCCCAGTATCCTTTGTTCTCACCATAACCAGAACCTGTAGTATGTGAGAAATGCACGTCACGAGGTTTAGTGTAGCAGTAGCTAGTTCGTTCATAGCCATTTTCAGCCCCTGCCATTCACAAGAGTACCCACAACAAAAAGTCTATGCCATGTCGACGATAACTCAAGTAGCGGCACACAATACGGTAAAGTATAGCGATACCTCCAGATACACAAGGTGACAGCAGCACAACCAGATAACCTTACATGAAACAACTCCGCCTGGGAATATGGTGAGTACAGAGCATTTACAACCTTTTCAGATGAGCCCCTCTGCACTCCTGCTTATGGAAGGACCTGCAAAGTAAGTCTAACAGCTCTCCTCAAAAGGGTACCCATCACTATTCGGGCAAAATACTTGGGGTGAGTATCTCTCTTCATTCAGATAGAAGCAGATAAAAACGCGACAGTTCAAGGTGAATATATCAAATAAAAATTTAAAAATGAAGAAAATAAATAAATCAAACATCATAACATAACAGAAAAATAGCACAAGTAGCTGGTAGCTTATAGCATTAAGAACACAAAGTGTGTAAACAATCATGAAAGTAAAATTAACGAACTCAGACAAATAAAGAGTCAAAGGTGGTTGACACTTTTCTAGAACAAGGTTATTCTTAGGGTTTCACTTATTCGCGCATTTTCTCCATATCTTACATAATAAGTGAACTCTATTAGGGAAGCTGTTAATAGAATACTATCACCTGTAAATATAATACATGTAAATAGAAAAACTAGTAAAATTGCTGTGTGAGACTCTTGTGAATATGATTAAATAAAAAGAAACTACCCCTGTGATGATTAAAATAAAGATGAATTAACCATCTATTATGGCCGTATAGTTGTAACAGCATTTTATTTTGGGCGCCAAAACATGTATTTAAAGATAATCGAAACTTAAAATGGAAAAATTTAATTACTACATATGTCAGCACATTACAATGCACATGTTTATTTACCTTTTCTTTCTCTCTTGCATGTGTGGTGAAATTATACACAGGAACTTCAATAATTTTCCCATCCTTCATTCGTTGTAATGTTGCTTCTAGTAGGTCAAAGTCAAAGGCATCTGGGTGGTCAAAATTGTACTCATTCCTGGCAGCTGCTTCATGCTGTTCTTGGGTCAACACCTTTTAATTTGTATAATTCTTACAATATGAATGCTCATGTACAGTTCTCACTATATGGGTTAACATGACCAATTCTCACATGATGGGTTAACACGTCTCAAAATATAAAATCCCTACAATTTTCCACATGCACACTTCTTAACTATTTATATGTACATTTTTCCAATGTTAACATGTCCGGCTTTCACAACATGGGTCAACATGAGTAATTCTCATAATATTGGTCAACATGCACAACTTGACAACATGGGATACATTTACTAGAGGCTAGTACTTATAGTATCACAATTGAGTAACATGATTGAAATCCATTATTTTCAAGTAACTGTACTCACCTTATAGAAAGAATCCATGCTAAGTAAACTGACCCACTGCACATCAAGAGCTTCAATTATTTTTCTGGCAACAGTTGTTTTACCAGATGCACTTCCACCACAAAGACCTGTAAATGGAAAATGTTTAAAAAATTCTGATCAGTTAATCCCATGGGAAATACTAGGGGTGGGTCGGGCGGCCCGTTGCCCGAGTGCCCGCGGGTATTAGCTCCACGGGCATCAGAACCTCGGGCATCGAACTAAACGGGCCACTTAAATCCCCGGGGATTATGCTCGTTTCGTTCCGTTTATAATTAAAATTTGTTTCCTCCACATTGAAGAGCTAATAATGGCTGAAAGTAAACGTGAAAACGCTGAGCTAGAAATCAAAGATGCGCCATCAGGGCTTAGGAGCCCTGTTTGGAAAGTGTTTGGGTTTCAGAGAAACGATCCTAAAAAAACTATTTGCCGGATCTGCAAGGTGTCATTTACATATTCTACCGGTACGTAAGCATTTTGAGAAAATATCAGCGATTTTTTTTAAAGTTTTTTTCATTTCAATAAATAATTTTATAAAATTAAGTTTAGTAGCCTCTTGTTTTATACTTGTAATTTAACTTAATAATGACTCCATAGTAATTGATAATCATTAATTTTGATAAAGGTTGATATGATAACATTGCAAAGATAGCAAGTAGGGGTCTCAGCTATTATTTATCCTAATTCATTAAATAATTTTGAATTTGTCATGAAACATTGACTCAATGTAGGGTGCTGTATTTTTTCAGGGAATACAACTTCTATGAAGAGGCATATTGCCAAATACCATCCATTACATTTGTGTTTATCATTATATTTGAGTAATGTTTGCTAGCTTTCCCCTGGTGTTGATAGATTGATGAGCTAATGGCTAATTTCTAATCATTAGTCATTGAAGTAAAATCATCAGAACATGGTTAAACAATATTAACAAAAAACATAAGACACTTGATTCAGTATTATATGTTTATTTATTCATTTGTACTTATGGTGTCATTCAAACTAGAGGACTGACTATACAGCCCGGCCCGGCCCGTAGCCCGAAGCAGTTAAGCCCGGCCCGAAGGTGCCCGACCCGAGGGCCGCCCGACCCACCCCTAGGAAATACAGCTCTATACATTTCAAACATGTCTGACACTCAAAATATCCATCATACATCATGTACTGACTGAATTTGATTGAATGAGGTTTGCATGTTAGTGGCTTTGTATAAAAACCTCCTACCTCATACCCACCTACCCACGTATGTTGGACGCTCTCCCCTAAAATTAATTATTTGGACACTACTGCTTTCATCAAATCAAAAGTCAATGACATACCAATAACAAATGCATTTCCAAGCTGACCACTTGAGTCATACCAAGGTGGTCTCCCAGCTGTATAGATTGTTCTGGCACCAGATCGAACAACATGTTGTTCATGACCTCCTGAGCTCGTGGCTCGGCTCCTCCGCTTGTTGGGTGTTGTTCTTTGAGGACTGCGTGGAGGGATCTTTCTTGATGGAGACAAAGGAGGTGTCATGTAACCATTTGGTTCCCTTGGACTTGACCTATCTGTGTCCAATGCATCATCACCATCCCCACTTCCACTAATAAAATCAACAAAACACATTGTGAATTTCATAATTAGAAAATAAGCAGAGTTAAAATAACAGGCATGTACTAAACACCCTTCAACCTGCACCTTCGACCTACAACCTTCAATGTACTGGGTGTCAAGAATTTTTGGAATGTATTTTAATACAAGAACACAAACGTGTACAACATGTCCCCCCCCCAATTGGCGATCCTAGATACTGCAAATTTTTCATCCTAAATGCCGAACACTATCAGTTCAAAAGACAATATTTTAGGACAAAAACCAGTGTGACCGCCTTAAAATTTACCCAGACTGCCCAAAAACTAAGTAGTTTGAGATTTTCATACAAAGAATCACTCCTGAAAATTTGAAATCTAGCTGTTAACTGGTTTGTAGACAAGACAGAGAAGATTTTAGGATGGAAAATCCAAAATGGCCACCTTAAAATCTACCCAGAATGTCAAAAAACTAATCATTTCTAGATTTTCATATTAAGAATCATGTAGCCTTGCCCAAGTCTGTATTTTCTACTTATCTGATCTTGATTTATTACCGACTTGTACAATCAAACAAACAACAAACAACTCATTCAGCGGTTTCGAGATTTCCATAATTCATACGCTGTCAGCAGTATCGTGAAACCATATTGATTGACAAGATCGTGTGGACACGACGTGTGACTTCAGGCTGATAGACCAATCAAAACACTGTCAGGCGCATGAACAAAGCAAACTACCCATCTACAACTTAAAATTTTTAATGCTCTGATCCCGGAATCTGATCGAGTATTTCTTCAGAGTTACAATATATTATGAAATTATATGTACATTGCAATGTAAGCAGTCATTAATATAAATTAGATCATGCGATTCAATGTTGATTTAAAACTGAATTCGCAATGAAAATGCACGAAGACCTCGTCCATGTAGTCGTGATTGATCTGAATCTCAGCCTAGATCTGGCTATCATGTTCGATCATTTCCGCAAACTTTTCAACGTTTCTTCTCACCTCTGGGTATTTGTTCGATGCTCCAGCATCCACTTTGCTCTGATTGATATTTATCTGATAAAATATTTGTATTTTCATGAATTTGTGCAAGATTTGTTCGTGAAAAGTGTACTTGTTTTGACCGTGCATAATAATGAGCTAACACTGCAGGGCTGTTCTTGATTGGTCAAATAAACATTGAGCAATTAAGAACATGGCTTTCTCATTGGTACAAGCGGTCATAATTAGAGGTGTTACGGATACCCGATTTTGTTCCGATCCGCGGAATTATAGCCTGGGAACAGAACACGGAACAAAAATTAAGAATTTCGGTTCGGTTACGGAACAAGAATATTTTATCCTTTCACAACTTCTGGCCCTTGAATCTCCACAAAACAGCATTTTTCTTTCAATATTTTGTATCAAAAGAGGCTCATTCTGTTTACTCCTTCTCTTTGAAGAGTTGTGAAGAGCTTTTCACTACCAAATATACCTTGATGACCAAATTATTTTAATCTAATACACGCAGTCACTCTGTTCTGAACCGATCCGAAATTGTTCCGTTCCATAGCAAAATGCTCCGAACCGAACTGTTCCGATTTTTTTTGTTCTGTGACATCTCTAGTCATAATACAAATCAAAATACCAATACAAAGTAAGTAAAAGAGACCGACTTGGGCAAGGCTATCTCTAACGGTTAACCTGAAAATGCGGAGACAACACTTTACAGACAATATTTTAGGATAGAAAATCCAAAATGGCTGCCTTAACATTTACCCATAATGCCGAAAAACTAATTAGTAAGTTTTAGATTTTCTAATCATTCCTGAAAATAAATTTGAAATGGATCTGTCAAATGGCTATCCTGAAAATGAGCAGACAAGACTTTACAGACCAATTGTAGGACGGAAAAATCCAAAATGGCTGCCTTATTAACATTTACCCATAATACCGAAAATGGTTCAAAACATCCGAATAGTTATCCGCTATTCAAACCAATCACAGATACCTTCAATTGAAATCCAATTGGTATTCATGTTATTTAATATATCATTAAAATCTAGTGGCATTGATCCCAGATAGTTAGGTATAATGTGCATTAAAGCTGTGGCCTTTTGTAATTAAGGGAGTTTCAGCCATGTTAACATTTTCGAAAATAACATGGTAGAGAAGCATCAAAATATAAAAGGCCACACATATGATAGCCAAACTACAAAACAAATTAAAATAAACAAAAGGAGCTAGGTACGAAATATTTCGAGGAAAATGCCTGACGTATACGGTATCCATGTGAAAAGTCGGAACAAAATGCGTTCATTTTTGGCGTTCGGTTTTGTGCTGTATCGGCGATCACTTTTTGAAGTTTTTCTTCAGGAATATTTTTGCTTGACAATAATCAGGTAAAATGCGAATTTGCATGACATATTCTGTTACGCAAAAAAAACTGGAGTGACTTCAAATTTTCCAGCAATTGTGTGACAAATACCCAAATTGCGGGACAGTTGAACGGCCTGGACTTATAAAAATGTTTGTTTGTTTATATCCATCTGTACTAGGTGCTTTGATGCCACCTTTGTTTAGTCTCTGGTGCTTGTTTTTCACATTGTGCTGCCACTTGTAGGTTTTACACGGATAGTTTTTAGAAGTCTCTACAAACAGCAAGAACAAAAAAAGGCTGAATAAAAAAGTCAAAAATAAAAAAATGACTCATATTGAAGTCATATTCTGCACAACATACATTGTATTATTTAGTAAATCGTCATTGAAATAAGTATCAGAAAGTTGGCTTTGTGAAAAGATATTTGGCGAATCTAAATACCTGTCTGAACTAGCAGAACTCGGCTGATCAAATAACACGATTGTTTTTTTCGTCGACATGTTTTCACCCGGAAGTTTCTGTGATTGGTGTAAATAGCGGATAACTATTCGGATGTGTTGAACCGAAAACGTATACACCATAGACACTCATCTCGTACGCTCAAAATATCATTTAAAATATTATTTTGCACATTTCCCAACTAATAATCAATCACGTTATTCATATATACCAGATTTTATGAGATAATATAAAAACTGGAATTAGAAACCAACAATCCGCAATTTACGCAGCTCCTGCTCAGCTGAAGAGAAGTTGGCTAAGTATCTCCTCAATATTGCTCAAATTAGACATCTTAACGCATTTGAACTCGCAAAAAATGTAGCTGATAATCTACAAGAGATACGATTCAACATAGTCATTGATAGACGGTGATTGCAGCTGATTTTTAAGTAGGTATAAACTCTTTCCAAAGTTTCTAAATTTCTAGCTCCGACTGAGTCTGAAACTTCATCAAAGTGAACACCTGAAAACTTTTATCAACAACAAACATTTGTCTGGAAGTAGCTAAACTTCTGTATATTCCAAAGATTTTACAATAGATTCGATGTTGAAATATTCCAATAGACCGTTAGTGTAACTACGATTTGTCTCCTGAATACTTTTACTTCAATTTCTGCAGATTGATATGTCACAAAGGTGTTAGGACAGCGTAGCCAGGGGGGGGAGTGGCCCCCTGGTTAGAAATTCTTTCAAAAGCATGTACGGGCCTGAAGGATTGGCGTAGGTGCTTAAAATTATAGTGACAGACAACTCTGCATCTTTCTAGCTGTCAATGTTTCTCAAATCGTATATCGAATAGTTTGCCATTCATTTACAGAATCGGTAAAGCAAGTAAATGTAAACCATTCCGAGGAATTTTATAAAATTGAATATAATGGGGCCTACGGATTATAAGTTGAGCTTTGTTGGGTTGAGCTTTAATGGGCCTTATTTTCAAAGGCACCTGTATATATTACTGTATGAGAACATTTTAAAACATCTCAACCCCCTCCCCCTCTCCCTTATGAGCCTTATGTGACATAAAGTTGTGTACCTGTGAAAAAACAGATACTTTAGGCTAGATACAATTTTTTATTAGTTTAAGAACAGTGTTTAGATAGGTAATCATAGGCATAGCGCCTGGTACACTGGGTACGCACAGGCGTACCAGATGGTTGCAAATTCGCTCCAAACACAACCAAATTTCAAAATTTTCCCAGACCCCCCTAAATACTCGTTTTTTTGCTTTGCTCAACTCTTGTTCCCGCGGTGGCGTACTACTTAGAAATATAGCGCTACGCTCATGGTAATGTTGGAATATACATATGTATAATAAACCTGAATGAAATATAAAGTCTGGAACTTTATAAAGGGAAGGAATATGAATTTTATTCCAAGGGGTAATATGACATTGTTGTGAAATACAATCACTCTAACAAGACATTGACCAAAGCTTTTAAGAACCAATCATGTCATGCCACACCATTCCCATTTAAATATATTTAAGAATTTTAAACTTTTTCAAACTTATCTAAATTGTTTGGTTTTGATACAAGATATTGCAACTATCAGTAATTTGTTTGTTCTGCATTTCCGTAAGAAAAGTCATCAAATTCTTGTCATCATATTCAAAATTCATCTTATTCAAAAGAAAATATAAATTCATATGAAAAATAGAAAGTCTCTCATGACTTCAAGGAATGCTATTTTAATATTAACCATGAATTATAAACATAATTTTTACAGGAATTATGGGTCATCAATTTTCTTTCAATATTTTTGGTTTTATAAATTTGTGAAAATAAAATACCTTCAATTGAAATCCAATTATAATAATAATAATAATAATAATATATATTTCAGTTTAGTCAATTTTTACAATAACATACAGTTTTGATGGAAAAATAATGAAAATGCAATGACACTTAAAATAAGTGTATTAAATTACACAATAGTTTTAATAAATGTTTATTGGAAATAGAAAAGGTACAAAAGAAAAAGAAAAAGGGAGTCATTTGAAGGGAGAGTTTGCAATTATGGGTTCAATGTGTCTAATCTCTATAACAATCGTCCATGTTAGTCAATGATGCAGTTTAACCCCTAGTTGGCCCATGCACCCCCTAGGATGTCACCCTGCACCACTAACCAACGTGTTGAACAACATTTTGAGTGGTTAAAATAAAAGTTCCTTCTCAATCGCTTTTTTAAACACTTTATATAACATCATTGGATAATAGGTTATACGTATTAAGATTGATAATTCTGAATTAGGTATAACTTTAACTGTGTTTTAAATTTCTTATTGTTTTGTATTTGTTTTAATTCAGTGGGTAACACGTTCCAAAATTTTGCTCCTTCGACTTTTATTGAGTTTTCTGTTAAAGTATTGCGTGATTTTATTCGATGGATATTTTCCTTTCTTCTAGTATGGTAATTATGGCACTCTTGATTTTTCATAAAATAATTACTAAAGTGGGAAATCATAACTGTGTTAACCTCATGTATGCATTTTTGTACAAAAGATACAACTGAGAGTTTATGAATATCACATAGTTTGAGAATCGAAAATTTTTTAAAATTGTGTGAAATGTGTTCTTTAAGAGGTGTGGTTGTCAAAATTCTCAGAAAGCGTTTTTGTAATTTAAATAATGGGTCAAGGGATGTTTTGGTGGCATTGCCCCAAATCAAGTTGCAATATGATAGGAATGTTCAAGAAATGTTAAAATAGCTAATTCCGGGGATCTGTTTTCTAAATATCCAAATTGGTTTTTATATAAAAGTTTATGTTTGTTAATAAATTTAATCACGCGAGCATGCATTATTTTTTCTAGTATTTTTGAGAATACATCTAGAATAGAAATGGGTCGGTAATTTGTAAATTTGTCTGGCTCTCCTTTTTTGAAAATGGGGATTATTTTTGCATTTTTCATTTCTGAGGGAAATACACCATGTTCTAAGGATAAATTACATATATAGGTCATTGGTATGTATAGATATTTTTTTGCAACTTTGACAAGTTCAGGTTTTATATCATTAAGGCCAGCTGAGCTGTCTTTTAAATTTGATATTATATTTATGATCTCTTCATGAGTAACAGGGTTAAGGAAGATTGATTGAATGTTTCTCTCAGTGTGGGGTAGAAATTGTTCAAAATGAACTCCTTCGGGTTGTGGAATTTTTTCAGATAATTTTGGACCAATGTCTGTGAAAAAGTCATTGAATTTGTTGGCTGTGTCATCAGAGTTATCTAAATAATGTCCATTATACATCATTTTTGGTAATTTTGTGGCTTTTTTGTTCCTACCCATGACCCTATCAATAAGTTTCCATGTCTTTTTTATATTACCCATTGATTGACTGAATTCATTTTTATAGTATTCTTTTTTTGATGTTTTAACAATTTTCTTTAAAGTGTTTGAAAATGTTTTATAATTGCTTTCATTTTGGTTACTGGGGTACTTCAGAAATATTTTATAAAGTAAAAGTTTCCTTTTAGATGATGAAATAATACCTTCTGTTATCCATGGATTTGATTTAAAAGTGGTTTTAATTTGTTGTGTTTTTACAGGGAAACATGAGTTATATATTGTTTGAAGTTTGGATTGGAAAAGGTCATATACCTCATTAACATTGTGGGAGTTCAAAACTTGTAGCCAGTGGGTTTTTGATAAGATTTCTTTAAATTCATTAATGTTTTTTCCATTTATTTGCCTATATGTGATGGTTTTGAAATTATCATTGGATCTGATGTAGTCTGATGTCATAAATATTGGTAAATGATCTGAAATGTGTGCTAATATCAGACCGGATGAGTTTATATTTGAATCATTTGTAAAGATGTTGTCTATTAGTGTCGCAGTTGTTGAAGTAATTCGCGTTGGCTTATAAATTGTTGGTTTTAGGTCATAATTGTTCAGTAGGGTCATAAATGTTTCTGTGGGGAAATGAGTATCAGTTTTAAGTAGATCTATATTGAAGTCACCAATTAGGTATGTTACCTTTTTTTCTTTCATTATGTTTTCTAAAAATGTCTCTAAATTGGAGTTAAAATCTTGTATACATATGTTGGGAGGTTTGTATATTGTTGATATTAAAATATTTTTATCTTGTTCAGTAATTTCAATTGTCAGAATGTCACAACATTTTTGGTCTTCCTGAGGGAAAATAATATCATTTCTAACCTTAAAATTTAGGCGTTCATTTACATACATGCAAACTCCACCTCCCAATTTTTCAGGTCTTGATTTAAAAACAGCGTTAAAATGTTCATGTTGATATAATTGTTCAATTTCAGGATGCAACCATGTTTCAGTCATAGCTATTATAGAAAAATGCTTCTTTGCATCAATCAAAGAATCAAGTTCCTCAAAATTCATTTCATTACAGGGTAAACTTCGCATGTTCATGTGCAAAATTGAAAAATCATTGTTATCTTTAAATAATTGTTTCATTTGGTGGGAATTTCTATAATTACATTGATTCATATATTGATTTGTAATCATGTCATTCGCGTTTAAGTCTTCGTTTAAACCTATGTTATTTAAGTCCAAGGGATTAAAAAGCATATTTTCAAAGTTAAAAGATTTGACTGAGGATGGAGCTAATGTCTGTAACTCAAAGGAGCTAGGAACATCATAATAAGGCAACTGCCTCTGGTGGTATTCATTTGTATTAACCATAGTCAGGCTTTACATAGAGATAAATATGACTCATAGAAGGAATAAAGTGCAAAGAAGGGAAAGAAGAAAGAGCAATAAACTTAAACAAAAACATATTTACATAGTGGTAAATGTTCACTACTAGAGATATTTCTCTTAGGCAGGCAATGATTGAAGAGAAACCGCCTTGTAAGTATGAAAATAAAAACAAAACAAAAACATTGAATGGGGGGGGGGTATTACAATCACACATACCATTTGAGTTCACATTAAATTAGTGTGCATGCTCAAAATTTGAAGTTAGGTAAGTAGCTAACTAATATGTTTTTGTTTTTGAAATTACATTGTCCATGAGCTGTATATTTGCATGCATTGCTCAATTGTTTATATGTGTTTGCAAAAATTGCCCGTTAAAGTGTACAGGTAATTAGATATTTGGAGATGTAGAAAGGTAAGTATGTTCTTTCATGTTCATTTCAAAAGCTTAAATCTTTCACTTAACAGAAAATAAGTCCTGTGTACCATTGGGTATAAACGTCTTGAAATAAGACCTTAATTAGGTCAATATGGAATTATTAGGGTAAGTATATCTGTAACTATGTAAGGCAAAAATACGATGGCCTATATTGTTATTATTTAGAAAGCTTTTTTGCTTTCTTTAGTGTGTCTTTGATACATTTCTCTATTAGTTTAGTTTTCTCAGCTTGGCTTATTCTACCCATCTTCCACCCTGTTAGGACAAGCATGACATTGTCAAGCTTATAGTTATTCAAGCACTGTCTGAGTTGTCGAGTTATGCCTGTCTCGCCATCATCATCGAAGTCCATACATTTGTGGTTGTGGTTTTTGAAGGTGTACACGTATGCATTGTAAGATGCCTTCGCAATAAGTTGATCTTGGTATAGGTTGAGGAGGACAGGTTTTACTGATGATGCATCAGTAATGTTCACCAAGTGTGCTTGAAAACGATCTCCTTTCTCTACTGTCGGTCCATGTGTTATCTTGAGTTTCAATGCAACATCTACGTCATTTTCATCGGTTATATGTTTAACAGGTGGACAGGTTTGAATGTCATTGACAAATAATTTGTCTTTCTTAACAGATAGTCTGGCTCGACTATCACTTTCAGCTGTTTCTTTCTTTAGCTCTCTGACTGCTTTTCTCTGCTCGACTTGTTCTTTTGGAAGTTGTTGCGTAACCCAATATTTAGTGTCTTTCAACAAGTGTGAGGATGCAAGAACTTTTTCCAGGCCAGAATATGGGTTAAATTTCGCCACGATAGAGGCTGGTGATTTGCGTCCCACTGGACCAACACGGTGTACTCGGTCAATACCTATAGGTTCTTCTATCTTGAGTTTTGTCTTGAGGAACTGCTCTAAGATTGTTCTAGTATCATCAGATTTTTCATTGATCTTTTCTTCAATGTTGAAAAAAAGCAGATTATCTCGCATTGATCTCCAGGTAAGGTCTTGAATCTTGTCTTTAGCAGTGTCCATATCTTTTTCTAGTCTTTCACTACGTCCTTCAGCAATATCCAATCGAGAAATTAAATCCTGGATTTGATTGCGTAAGTCCTCATTTTCATTATCTCTTGTTTCAATCGCCTTTTTGAGACTTTGTATTTCTGTTTCATATTTTGTTTCCAATGAGTTCAGTTTATCAGTAAGTGTTTGCATATCCAAGTCAGAAGTTATTATAGTTTCTGTTTGAGCCTTCTGGGCCACTGTAGGTTTGTTTCTGTTACTCATATTTTTCTATCAATTATGTATCCAAATATTTCTTTAGTGTTCACATTTTTTCTCTAAATGTCTTCATATTTTTGTTCCCCATATATTCATAGTTCTTTCAGTAACTTTGTTTATGTACTAATGTTTGTTATTTTGTGTTAACAAGACATTTTCCTCTCAGAAAAATAGACTACATTTTCTCAATCTGATGACCTTGACCTTTTCATGTTATTTAATATATCATTAAAATCTAGTGGCATTGATCCCAAATAGTTTTTATTCTTGGCTTGCATTAAAATATTCGAAAGAAACATATTTTTTTATTTATACACAAATGTTTTTCAGCTTTTCTACTAGTTCACATTCAGAAATATTGAAATATGGTACATTTTATGTTATAAAATGACAATGATGTACTTATTAAACATTTTTATAATTATTTTAGTTATTAATTTTATAATGTACTGTAATTAATCAATTCAATTTGATACTAACATTTTCAGTGGGTGTACAGTTTATGCATTTGCCATTTTATCAATGTTACTTGAACTGGCTACCCAAATTCTTGTTAAACATAAGCAAATATGTTCGTTTACAAATTATGGTTTCTATGCCAAACTGTTAGTGCTAAGTTGTTTTATTGATTATGGCTTTGTGAAGATGTTTGCAGTAACCATGGTTACAGATATTTCAATACACTCCTTGACGCTCTCTATAACACACAAAAGCCATTGCTTCTAAACACTGATAGATAAAAGTCTTATGTACACATAGACTCGTTCAATACCAGAGCATAATACCTTTTAGATTAATGTTTGGAAATCACCATAGAAACCAGAAGCTTTGCATAACAAAAGGCAAAATGTTTACGAAAATGTGCAATCATCATAGTAACTATGTGTAACTAAGCCTATAGTTATTGAGCCAAAATACTATACATGCGATCTTGTTGCACATGTTTAATAATTGACATAGCCTGTTGTTAGGTACGAAACTTGAACAGTTTAAAGACCTTTGGTTTTCTCGAGTTTGATTACTAGAGAAATATGCTAAAAATTGAATTATCATAAGTTTTCGACTCGACTTTTATCATTATGTATGGGTACTTTGGACCTCTTTATTGAGCATATATGGTGACACTAGTATTTTGTAGAAATATGTAAAAATCAAAGTTTAACAATTGCCAAATAACTGATAAAAGTTCAGAATTCCCTAAAGTACATAAATTAAACATTATGTCCAATTAACGATATACTGTAACATAATTTTTATTTTTAACAGCATATTTAGACTCGACAATTGCAATCATGGGTTCATCGAACATAAATGTTAAAGTGAATTATAAGCAATCTGTTTTTGGAGGTAATTGTTCAATTACTACTTTTTAGCATTTTAATCAGAAAATCAAACTGTCACAGATTGTAAAAATATAGGGCTTGATTTCATATCTGCTTACCTCTGAAACATGATAGTTAGTTTATGAACATGTTAACCAATGGCCAGTCTTTCATCAAGCCCTTGCCTACCCCCCCCCCTCCTAAAAATATTTAGTGCAAATTATCATATATTCAATATTCAATTTCAATGATAAAATCTTCAATTATTAAAAAAAGTTCATTGAAATTCCTTAAATGGACATGAGAATATAACGTTTCAATAAAATTAAAAATTGATGAATAAAATCACCATTTACTCATTAATTCACATAGATATCCTTATTAACAACTGTTAACGCCCCAAGGTAATGACACCACAGCTTGAACATGTAATAAACTAAATTGGCTTGTACTCTATGAATTGATGAAATATTTTATCTACTTTTTCACTAATTTGTCAAGTATTGTCTACATTTACTCATAGTAACCTTACTTATATGAGGGTTAATAGAAAAACTTCTTATGCATTATTAAGTGTTATTATTGATGTGAATTTATGATGAATTTACAATAAATGAAATGTGCATGTAATGTTTCATGATTGCCTGGTCAGTTACCATGGAAACTAATTATTAATTGGATAACTATGAATTATACACGCAATTCTAATGACGTTAGGTTCAACCACAGGCAATAGTCTAGTGATACATTATCGTCTAAATCAAATAACTAAGTTGTAAATTGTTCGTTTTAACAGAAAACAATAGGTTTTAAACTTAATGTTGCCTTTTGGCTATTTTTATTGCTATTATATGCTAAAAAGATATAAATTATTTGGCCGATGTATGTTTAAAAATGTAAGTTGCTGAGTAAACTCAACTATTTTGCTCTTTTATGACTTTTTTATGTGACAAAGAAGAGTCTGCCTTAAGCTTGGTTCGTAAATTTTCATTTTTAACCTTTGTTCATATTTCTTGATTATGTATTTCAGAATCGAACAAATTATTTCACAAATTGCTAACTTAATAAAGGGTCAGCTTGTACCTGCTAAATAGGTTTATTACTCAATTTTAGATCTACATACTGTACATGTAATTAAAAAATCACAAATTTCGTGACATATTAATATTTCAGTAATTCATACAGGAAAGCTAATTTAGCCTTCAAACAATAAAAAAGGCAAAAATCACAATAATTTGGAGAGCTCTAAATTAGCATAAATTATATTTTTCACTGAATTTAATTACAGTATGTTACCATGTTACTTCACATGCAAAAATTTTAATATCATTAGTTGATTTCACTTAGCTCATAAACACAGTCAACATTATTGCTCTTGGACTTAAAACTTTTTTTTTTGCTTTTAGAGCATGTGTTAAAAGAACCAGAAACAGCACAATGTTTGGGGGAGGAAGCCTTCAAAGGCTAGATGCCATTTGCGCTAAGTTGAAGACTGTTCAGGAAAAACAGAAAACTGATGAAAATGGCAGCATAGATAGCCAAGAAGAGCCAATCACATCCTTAAGTAGTAATACCCACGTGGATTTACTCTCTGGTCGTAAGGGTCGCAGGAAAAACCGTAATCCTAAGAACATTTTCCAGTATTCTGAGAAGGGAGGTGTTGAAGAGAGTAACGATGATGAATTTACGAAGTTTGAACTGAATAACCAAGAAGCAGATTTTGAGCAGTTATCGCCATCCGCAGGAACTGAATCCTTTGATGTGTCAGTCTCGGGAGGAGCCAGTGGCACACAGCATTCCAGTGGGGTACAAACCCCAGAAACCCTACAAAGACAAACTTCGCAACCATTCCCAAATGAAGCTAACATTCCTGAGTCTGGTATCTTGGACTTGACTGTGAAAGAGAGGTTGTCACCAACCAAGCCAAACCAAGAAGCAATAAGACCACAAACCGAACCAATCGATACAAGAGAAACCAAAACAATTGAAGATGCTACTGCTGTCAGTAATAACATTGGACAATCTACATCTAGTCACCAAGAAAACCCAATTAAGAGATCGTCATCACAATCAGCTGAGACTACTGCTTTAAAGGACTATGCTGAATCAACTATGCACGAATTGTTGGGCATATATGGTTTGGAGAATAACTCAGGGGAAAACGTCCATCTCACAGAAAATGTTCCTATGCACCATTTTACATCAGGGAGAATACTACAGCATAACGGTTCAAGCCATACCCAGATCCCACCTGCTGGACGCGAGGCCCAAGGGGGAGGTGTTGACACTACCCCTAAGTTCATGCAACATTCCTCCCCACAGAAGGCACAATTAGCCATAGGTCGTACCGAGACCCCAACCAACCTGGCTGGTTTCGATCGAGGAATCAAATCATACATGAAAGGTAATTATAAAAATTCTTAATCAGAACTTAAACCTGCACATCGCTCCAAAACGCAATATGTTGACATATATTGTTTTTACATTTTCAAGCTCTAATATAAAGTTTATGTAAATAAAAATTGTTTTTTTCTGCGTAATATCAAAGAACTATCATTTAGTTAAAAAAATAAAAAGGCTAGTGCGGGATTCGAACCCGGGCCTCCCGCGTGCTCAGCGAGGATTCTACCCGCTACACCACCGTATTATTATGAAAGGAGGAAGTAATTAAACGCTACTTATTTTGAATGCTATGATTCGGAAGTGACGTCACGTTCTTCATTTAGAAACCTTTCCAAAATCATATCGCCGGCACCGATCGAAGCAAATTCAATGAAAAATCTTTGAAATGACACATTTATCGTAAGTATTTCTACACAAGATTTGCCCCATTTGTTCATCATTCTATAATCTTTCATTAAGCTCAAAATGATAAAGTTCACCCCCGAAACAACCCAAGATTGCGTTTCGGAGCGTAGTCCAGCTTTAACAAAATGCATGAAAGTTTGCACTCTGTGACAATTAAAAGAATTAAAAAAGATTCAAAATAAGTTAGTTTCAAAGTAATTGCGATGATTTTACAACATCTTTGGCTATCTTCATTCTATGTCATACCTATATTCTAAAAGTGTAACAGTTTTATTTCAGCATGATCCTATTTAAACGAATTATACAAGTTTATGTGTTTACATATGCCTATGTTGATTAATACCATTAACTATAAAGTCATTGCTCTACACTATCCCAAATCAGAATTTTTCTTGATTTCCTTAAATTGATATTCATACCAACAGCTGTGATTGATTTAAGGTAAATGATTCAGAAACATATGGTAACAAGGGTGCCACTGTGGTATGCATCAATAATTGATAGTTTATTGTGAGAATTCTGAACAGTGCAATAATAATTTAATAGTACTGTTCAAATTATTCAGTTCTATAATGACCATACAAAAGTCAAAATAGTCAAATGAGATTTGATTTATGAGCTGTTCATAAAGTTGTTTTTCATTTATTGAATTTAAAGTATTTCATTACAAGTCTAATTTAATTTATGAGCATTCTAAGAAATGGAGGAACCCATAATTGCTCATTTATATTTCAAGGTGATCAAACAAAAATCAACGATTTTGACCTCTCCATTGTCAGATTATTTATAAATTCTCCCTAACAATTATTTGGGTTTATTCGACTACATGTGTATGTGCTTAACAATTGTACCCTTTTAAACGTCACTCGGGCAAAGTTAAAACTAATATCAATATTCTATACATAAACTTGCTTAATCAATAATCGAGTTTTTGAATAAATTCACAGGTTTTATTTAAACTGAGGATTGCATAGCAATATGTTAAAAGATCATCTTAATTCTATTGTATTTCATTTCTTATAAATTTGCTATTTGCTTAAGAAAGTGAAAAGCACCGTAAAACTCGATCTAATGTTTAAATTGGGGTTACCAAGACAACATAACAATCCCAGACTAGAACACAAATAAGTATTTGATTTTCACAAAGCACTCGATAAAAGATCAAAATATTGTATTCACATTAGACCTAAGATTAAATACATATAATAATGTGAATATATAAACAGGGCAACTCGTTGCCAAGGCATTAAGCCGGGGTCTACCCGACCTCTAAATAGCATTACAAAAATTCCCATAGAGATTTTAAATAATGAAAAACACTTTATAGGTTTACTTTTACAGGATTTTAGCCAAATAACAGAGGTTTCACTTTCCGTGTACAAAATAAGACTTTATTACGAGAAAAGTAAAGAACAGAGATTAGTGATTGGTGTGCATTGAATTGATTTTCTTTGGCTTAACTCTCAATTATAATAGCCAGGCATAGATTGATTCATACTTCTCATCACAAAAAGTGACACATATCTGTTTTATAACTGAAGCTTTGAGTGTTTTCTTGTTGATCTCGTGTTATTGAAAAATGAATTATTTTTTGACACCATATTTAGAGTTAAGTGACCTAATGGATGTGGTGTTATCTTTATACAACCTGCCAAAATATTATATTATTATTAATTAATATATATTATTATTAAGAAAATCAATTGATAAGTAGAGATGATCTCCATGGTTGTGTTATAAAGATATAACCTGACTTGCAAAATGCAGGTATTTCAAAATGTTTCTTTTTGTAATCTCTTTCATCATGCATTCCAAGGTACCCTTCTTCTGAGGTTAAAGATGCAGTCCCATGCAATGTTTTAAAAATATTGACAATTATATGTTTAACATTTCCAATGAAAAACATTATCATACTAAAACTAAACAAGATTTGGGATGGGTATCTGCCTGCCTTGCAAACTGATCAAAATATAGCACCCAAGGGTACAATAAAAAGTTCTTTAGAAGTATACATACAAGTATATAAGAATAGTCTCTGATCATTTTAAGTACTTAAGTACTTTATCACTAAAATCCTGAGATGGTATACATCTTTAAAAATATGGTTAAATACTTTTATCAGTAATGAGAAACTCTGAGGTGGTATACATCTTTAAAATGTTTTATTCCTTTTATCATCAGCAACTATTTCTTTGGTGTTATACATCTTTAACATAAATTTTCTGTACTTTTAATACAAAAATGAGAACTTAAGGATAAATGTGTAATCTACTAAATAGGTGGATTTCGCTATAAACAAGGTACTGATAAGCTTAAATGTTTCAAACGATAATCCTATCAGTAAAATCATATGCTCAAATAGTATCATTTACTTATAGCCCTGTTTCTATGATCACGGTACATATTTAGCAACAAATTGTCCATTTTACTTTGGTTATATTAATCAAATATGCATGACATATACCATTTTTATTTATTAATGCTCGTGGACTCCAGATTTTTATTAAGAAATTATAACATGGTGATGCTTTCTCAGATTGGTAGATAAATGACTAGGCTTATGTATTATATATGTCGTAACTAGTAATTGTTATTTTTTATTGACAGGATGAGATATAAAATATGTATATTTCTGTATTTCTATATAGCCCCAGCAACCAACGAAACATGCGAATTCTAGCACAAAGTGAGAGCAAATTGATAATATCCAAAATCAATTTTACAGGGCATTGTTACGGTACATGTTGGAAGTTCTGTTAGCATGTTGTTATGGTAACCATTTGTTTGTAATTGATTTGACGGTTTTAATGCATTTCTGTATGAATGCTATATTTTACCCAGTTGGTATAATAACCCTTCGAAAAAAATCTACATTCGCTATTTTTCGCAGATTTTCAAGAATATTAGTTTTTATCTCTGAAGTTGTGACTTATATTTTTCCTGGAATGCATCTTTGATGAGAATTTTATGTATTAATGTTTCTATCCTTTACTGTTGAAGTATTTTCATAGTAGATTATAGCAGGAAGATATTCCTGTGTTACTTAGCCCCTGTAAGTGTATGGTATAGAGATCAATGCAGCGGAGATTTATAATAGGAGGGGAATATCGGGAAATTTTCTATTATGCTATTAAGAATTATTACAGGTGTGAAATAGTTTAAGTAATATATTTTAAAAATCAAAGATAGTCCCAAATGTTTTCGATCTGTAACAACTTTGAAATGGTTTATGGATTTGGATTTTGTATGTTAGAGGTGGTGTAAATAATTTACATAATGTTTTGAGGTAACCATGGCAATGAACTAGGTTGATAAGCCAGTTGTATTGCATTAGACAAACATTTTATTTGATTTATTCATCCTATTCCTCAAACAATCATGAATCATTTACCAAAATTGTGTATTTTAGTAAATAGCCATTTTAGAGCATATTAATATTGCAGATTGATTCACGTATTGATTCTATTCACGAGTAAAGTTAACATACCAGATTTGCGTCTTTTGTACATAATTTATACATGAACTCAAATATAATAAAATTTCGTTTAAGTCAAAGATCTGTTGTAAACTAGTACATGTAATCTTTAAACATGTAAAAGGACCTTTGACTTACTATTTTGATACCCAGTTGCAAAATTATTAATTTACATGAAGTTGTCTTCAGCTAGCTAGCTATCATGCCACTTTTAACACAGTACAAAGGTCCTACATATAAGATACTGATAGTTTAAACCCATAAACTGGATTTAACACCGTAATATTTCACTTCTTACTGAGTGTATAATTAATTCAGGTGTGGTTTCTAAGAAGCCAATTAATATTTGTTTCTTTTCAGTTTCATTTTTCTGAAAAGTTCTGAATTAAATAAAATTAACTTTGTTAACTCTGTTTTAAGGATAATCATTAATGATCTCTGATTGTTGATTGAAAAAACCTCCTAGCCAGCTGAAACTTCATTTTCTTGAAAAGTCATCAAATATTTCAACATTTTTAGTCAAAATCTGTGAAACAGAAAAACTTCAGAAAAGTACAAAAAGTCCTGTTCAGAATACTGATAATGTTTGTTATATGTTTGTAGTTGAATCTGAGAGCCCAGAAAGAGTGGGAAAGATCAGTGATGATGCAGGATATGGCGAGTTCAACCTTAACACCAGTTTCTCTAGAAGCGACTCCAGTTCCCCGATAGCTAACCCTTTACCTCACGACTACTCGAAATACATAAAAAGGTAAATTAAAATGTCAAAAGTCTTATTTTTATCAAAAAAGATTCTAATACATTACTTTTGAAAGATTAAAGCAATCTTAAGTTGACAGTTAACCTCAAAGTATGCAGTGTGACTGTGGCACTTTAGCATCTACTTTATTTGCATTAATATGTTTAAAATTATTGTTCTCGAATATTGAACATGCTTTGAGTAGAACCAAACTTTGATATTTAGTGAAAATAAGTCATCGGTAATAAACATGGCAACCGATATTGTAAAATATGTTAAAAATGTGATAAAAATAAATGTTGAGGTAAAGGGATGAATTTTTATTGTTTTGAGAATATTTAATTTTTCATGTGAATTGTAAAGTGGTGAGAATCGTTTCTTATTTAAACTAGTTAATGAAACCATTTACATTTTATTAAAACAAATACAGTCATAAATAATTTATAGGCTTCATTTTGTTTGGCATTATCATCCTATCAGTGTTTATTTCTAAAATGCAAACTATGTCAGGTGTGAATCATTTCCTTGCTTGTTCAGTTTAAAAACAGTGATATTTTGCAAAATAATGAAGGATAAAACCTTTCCCTCTTCCATTAAGGTCCTTAGTCATAACAGGATTGGGGAAGAATAAAAGAGTAAAAAGTCTACTTTCCAGAAAAGCATTGAAAACAATAGCTATTGATTTGTTTTCAATATTTTTGTCATGGAGAGTAGACTCTTTAACCTTTCCAGTTGATAACACTTTTTCAGAGACAGTGATATGCAGTCAACCAGAATGATAATTGTTGTTTTCAAAAGCAGTTCATCTATTATTAACACTTCCTGAAATTAACTTACTTTTTAACATGGCATGTAGGACGGATTATTGTTGAAAATTAAGTTAATTGATTGTACTCAATATAGTGTGATGAATATTAATCACTTTCGTTGTGTTACTTTGATATAATCAAATCATAATAAAGGGGTTGCAAAACTATTTAATCATCATTTAATCACTTTTTAATGTAGGTTTCATACTGTGAAAAAAGCGCTCTCAAATTCATTAAGTTTATCCACGGCAATATACGTCGTATATGATCACAGTCTGAAAAGCCAGTCACAATGCACATACGCCATCTATTGTGAAATGAAACAATATCTGCCTCTCTGTATTTATAAAAATGTAAAATACTTTAAAATAATGCCTATTGATATGTTTCAGATTCAGCTCACATGAAGAATGCGGAGGTAACCATTGCAAGGACATGTTCTATAAGGAACATTTCCACTGTCTCGACTGTGCATTTAGAGTAAGTATCACACATCCAACACTTTCAAAATACTCTTCATGTTTTCCATATGTACTTAGACGAGGAGAATATTATCAGAACTTTTGGCTCTACCAGTTTTCCAGAAATTATTTTGAAACCATGGATATCATTAATTCAGCCAGTGTTGTAATTCAATGTTTATTACATACATGTCTTAGGTTTTGTTTTTCCAATGTATTGTAGGTTTTTGTGAAGAAGGAGGAGATGAGTCGACATTTCAAATGGCACAAGAAACGTGACGACTCCCTCCAACATGGGTTCATGCGTTACAGTCCAATGGATGACTGTTCTGTCAAGTTCATCAACTGCCAACATAATAAGAAGCAGACTCACTATCACTGTCTTAGAGTAAGAATTATGAAATTCATATAATGGGAGAAATAAATAATAAATTAAGGATTTTCTACCTCATCGATAGCAAGCATCATTAAAGAATAAGATTTATGCAGTGTTTTGGAATGTAAGCCATGATCTCAGCCTAATTTGTTGAGTAGTTTGACAGAAATACAAAAGATTTATGGTACACTATTACCTTTTTAAAGCTTTTGAAAATCCTTGTTCCCCATTTTCCATGGAAACAAAATAATGTCAAACATACAGTTTAATAACTGAAGCATTGCACATATGCATGGAAAATATCCCATTAATTTGAGGATACGTACTATTAATCATCCCACTCTTTAGAGTTCTAATGCAAATCACTGAGTTATGTGTTGAATAGTTATTAATATACATGTACAGTATTTATAAGTGAATTTTTGTTTTATATTTTTCAGATGGGTTGCAACAAGGTTTATATCAGCACCTCTGATGTTCAAATGCATTCCAACTTTCACCGCAAGGACTCTGCCATTATCTCGGAGGGCTTCCAGCGTTTTCGCGCTACAGAGGATTGTGGGTCAACCAGATGCGCTTTCTACGGCCACAGGACAACACATTTTCACTGCCGCAGAACTGGTTGTTTCTTCACTTTCAAGAACAAAGCTGATATGGGTAAGAAGAGTTTATTCTGAACCTCTGAAAATGATGGATTTATTAGCTTTTTCTTCCATTTTAAATCTATATCATTATGTCAATTTGGTTAGATGTGTCATGGAACAAAAAAGCTTAGGAACTGTTCTGTTCAGAACATTTCACTTCAGAACTGAACAAATTCAGTTCCATTCCAGAATGCAAAGAGAATGTGGAAATTTACTATTTCTTCTTTTCGGGCCATGCTTGAATAATTGTGGCCTCCTTCAGATTTAATGGAACGCACAACATTTCCGAATAGATTTAGTTTAGAACATTTAACTTTCAGAATTTGGAAGAAACTTAGTTAATCTATTTGTATCTGCTGCCTAGGTGGCGAAGCTGATAGAAATTGTGATGAACTATGTTTGAGACATTAGCCTGATCTCTGAATTCCTATAAATGATTGAATTTGAATTTCAGAAAAGCACAAAACGTACCACCAAAAGGATGAAATTCTGTCCAAAGATGGCTTCAAGAAGTTCATGAAGTATGAACATTGTGCTTACATGGGCTGCAAGTACTCAAAGATCAGCAATCACATCCACTGCATCCGACCACGTAAGAATATTCAACTTTCCCATTTTTGTTGTTGCTTAAATGTAAAAAGGCATTATTCACATACTTTATCATGAAATCAGTGCATGAAAATTGCAGGTCTATTGTTCATTGTCCTTTGTTATAATGTCATTGTATTGGTGGTTCCAATAAATGATTTAGGAACCCGTAACCTACTAAGTTTCTGCTGACCCCAGAATATCTTTAATCACATTTTTGCTATTTTCATTTTGTAGATTGTGACTATGTGTTTCATTCTACTGGACAACTGTACTCTCATAAACGCAAGCATGAAAGACGAGACTTAGAGCATGCCTATAAACGCTTCAAGGTCCACAACACGACACCAGCAGATTTCCGAAAGGCTTTATCCTCAACTGAGCTAAGTGCACCGAAACTCAACCCAGCTCTGTTCACAACTGCATTTCAACCACAGTCTAACCGCAGAGATGATAGTGGTATCCAGGGTGTACCACAAGGCTTGAAACTACCAGTGAAAACTGAGCCTATGGTCCAAGGTAATGGTGAGTCTGGTGTGAGAACTCCTGATGAGGCACTGCCTGTTAAGATGGAGGCAAAGCAGGAAGCTGAGTATGTGAATCTAGAAGATATGATGAAGATGCAAGGTTCAGCTCTTGGTGAGTCAATTACAAGTGGTATGGAACTGAAAGACAACATAGGAATGTCTCCAACCAGTGATGAACAGAAACCACATACTGATGTTGCTCCTTCCTTAATGGAAAAAGCTGGCAATCTTGAAGGGGATGAACTGAGCAATTCACTCACATTGAATGTGTCATCATCAGCCCCTAAAGAGGAGTCCATGGTGAATGGTTCCCCAGTTCCTCAGACACCACCCTTGTACAGCCAGATCATCACCCCAGGAAGCAAAAGAGATGAAACCTGGAAGAAATATATTACAAGGTAAAGGAAGCTCATAGATGTATTGTACATTTAAAATGTCACCATAGTCACTTATATGCAATAGAGATATTTTATCATTTGTACAGCAAACCTGACTAAAAGATGGATTTTATTACCTAAAGTTTTAATGCTCAAAAGAAAAAGTTTCGGAAATATAAATGGAATAATAATTCATATATTCTTTTTTCATTTTCCACCATTAATCATTAAATATTTCCAATATAATTAATATTTGTGCTTCAACATAAGGATCTATGCGGCTTAGACCCATGCATATTAAGATATTGGACTCTATATATGGGCTCAGGTCTTATTTGTCATATGCATGCAGTAAACCCTGTCTAATCCAAACACCCCTGGGACCAGTCAAAAGAAGAGCCAATAAGGACTAAACAATTGAACCAAAAAGCATTTCCATAAAGAGGCAATCAGATTAGAGAGTTGTTGGGATATACAGGTTTCCACTGTAGTAAATAAACTGCCAATGATACAATTCACCTCATTTAATGTGTTTTAGGTACACTGCCAATGATGCATGCAACTCTCGTTGCCTCTACCTCTATAAGGACCACTACCATTGCCATGTGGACAACTGTAACTCCATATTCAAGTCAAAAGATGGCGTGAGAGAGCATGCCAGGTAAGTAATGCAACAAGTAGATAAACAGAGATAAGTTTTCAATATTGCCAAAAATTCAAGTTGACAAGAATAAAGATTACATCAAGTAATGAACAAGCCTATCATTGAATATATTATACTCAGTTTTACTAAAATATTAGTTTACCACCTATCTTAGTTCTATATTCTGCTATGTGATCCTATATCCATTATTCATCTTTGGAGAGAATCCGTATAAATTTTCCAAATATTAAGAGTAATTTCTTGAGAAAATATTTCTGTGTGTATGTATGACTGCAAACACAGGAAAATAATATGGGATGGATCCCGTTTTTCGCAATTCCAAAACTTATATGGATGTTTAAAAATCACTTTATTCCAACTGTTTATGGTACTTGCAGGTGCCACCAACAGCAGTCCATGATAGCTGACATGGTCTACAGGACGTTCCTGCCAACACAAAAGTGCGACTACATGGACTGCCCACATTCCAACAAGACAAAACATTACCATTGCATATGGGTAAGTTTATTAATACACTAAAAAACAGTAGAATGTTAACTTCATACTTCTATGGCCAGCTAGAAAATCCCGCTGAACCTACAATAAATGTAATTTTGAGAATTTATGGCTGAAAAATTAATTATCTACAGTGGAACACATCTGTTAATGAAACACTTTTCAGAGTCCCAAGACCAAATGACTCATTTTTAAATCTTGAAAAATAATGGCACAGAAAATATTCCTCAAGATGTACCTGTTTGGCACTGTCCATATTCTATACTTTTATACTTTAGGGTACCTGTTCTGCAGTTTACACAGACAACAGCCTTACATTTGCTAGACTGGATCACCATCGTCAGCATGAGCAGGCCAGGTCAATAACTTCCAGGAATGGCCCAAAGACATCAAGCGTACCCCAACAGCTCCTTGGTCAGCCCCGCAAGCGTGGCAGGCCCCCAAAGTATACAAAAGCCATACCAATAGTGCCAAAGGCTGAACCTGCTGTGTCTAACAACCAAATGTCTAAAGATGTTGATGTCAACACTCATATAGAAAAGCTGGCCCTAGCTAGAAAAGGTTTCCGGATGTTTGAGGCTTCTGAATCCTGCCCTGATGGGCTATGTATGTTCAAAGGCAGAAAGCACAATCATTGTATAAAGCCCCGTTGCCATCATGTTAATAATCGAGAAGACATGCTCAATCTACACGCCAAAGAGTTCCATAGCTTTATCAATATTCTGGAGGGGTTTGAATTTTTTGATCGTTACGTGAACTGTCGTCGCCCACATTGCCATAACAACAAGGTTAACCGACATTTTCATTGTGTCCTCACCAATTGTGACTATTCATTTGTGAGGTATAGCACCATGAAACAGCACCAAAAGAAACACATGGAAGTTGCGGCTGGTGTATCTGCAGCTGGACAACCCAGTGATACAACATTCAAGGGCAACCCTATCAAATCAGCACATGGCGTCACAACCCCTAGAGCGTTCCCTGGTGGGGATGGCTTAGGCCCCTTGAAAACTGGAATCACTACCCCTCCAGAAGCTCATCTCCCACTCACCAGCCCTAGTGTTCCCAACATGGGCACCCAGGCCCAGCTAGACCCAGAAGATGCTCCATTAGATTTCTCAATCAAGTCTACTACAAAGGCTCAAACAGAAACAAGTGCTCAAGAAACAAGAACAAGTATTAATAAACCTGACAATCAAGTGGCTCAAGTTACTGATAGTGTTGTTAATAACACCAATAATGTTGTTAATAGCACTACGCCAGTTCCTGGCTACAAGGCACAGTTCAAATACCGGCCTATAGGAATAGGAGAGGACAATGTCGTGTCTGCTAGTGGTGCAGCTGCTGCAGCATCAGCAATCCTCCCATTGGCCGAGCTCCTCAAACAGAAGTCTGATAATACGCTCCCACAGGTCACATGGGCAGACATGAGAGAACGTATGCTGTATACAATGGATCAGACATGTGGTAGGCCATTTTGCAAGCTCAAAAAGAAGGAACATTTCCATTGCTATGAGTGCAATCAAGCATTCTCTGATGCTGCACGAATCAGGGCTCATGTGGCGAAACATGGTATGAAGATCCCCAGAGAGGCACTCAAGAGGAAGGACCCTGCTGATGGTGGTATTGAAGCCCCTGTTGCTAAGAGACAAGCTGTATCTGATGAGGAAACAGGGGATTACGGATCATCTCTTAATCTGAACTCTGGGGTTTTCACCAACCAGCTTTACAACCAGAAAGTGTCAGAGTACAGCTCTGAAGGGGAAGGTGATGTATTGATGAATGGTACAGACCATGGTACTTCTGATTTATCTTCATGAATAAGATACATCATCATGTTTTTTGAACATGGAACATCTTAGTGAAAGTGGTACGGTACTTGTTAATAAAGATCATACTTCTTCATGATTGTGGTACATCTGACCCATTGTCTGATGATATCCAGGGGAATGATAATAGGTATAGATAATAGAAAATATATTCCTGGGGAGATAAATGCCAATACAGTTCTAGTGTTGGACGTACAATTCTAACCAATAAGCATCAGTACTCTCTATCAATAGCGTGATATATATTTTTGAATATCAACATTTTTCAGAAAGTAACATGTGTTGAGGTTGCAATGATAAGGATCTTTCCTTGTACAGCACAGATACCATATAATTGCTCATGAATATAGTCATATGATAACTATTATATACAGGTTTATAAAATGATCTAACTGTGATGCATTTCTATTCCAAAAATTTACATTACCATTGTTTGCTATTGTTCAATAATCAGTACCTGCACTGTTTTATCTTGTACTGTACTGTACTGTACTGTACTGTACTGTACTGTGTTGTACTGTACTGTACTGTACTGTGTTGTACTGTACTGTATTGTACTTTGTTGTACTGTTCTGTACTGTGTTGTACTGTACTGAACTGAATTGAACTGTACTGTATTGTGTTGCACTGAACTGTACTGTACTGTATTGTGTTGTACTGAACTGTACTGTACTTGAAATATTTACATTCCAAACTGTAAACTTAGTAAAATTAGAACATCAGTAATGAAATGAAAATGATATTTTATCGTAAATTGTAATGTCAAATTGAATGCCAAGTGAGGGGTGTAGTCTAGCTAGTTAAGGTAGACAGATTAGAATTAGTAATGTTGTGAGCATTATGGACAATTCATATGTAAGGCAATTGTAAAAATCTGCCCATTGATAATTGTGGCTAAAGTTAAGATGTACTTGAGATATTTATGCATTTCTTGCTCACTGGAATTTTATTCCTCTGTAGTTTAGAGCCATGAACCATTTTATTTTCCCAAATCAAGATTTGTAATTGTGTCTATGCAATCTCTTTTGTTCTGACAATCATTAAATTTTGAGAAACGTAATGTAAATAGAAAGTGTGTGAAGTTTATATATCTTTGTCTCAATAATTGTGTACAGCTTTGAGACTAATGGAACAATATAATGTGCCAGTTTCAATTTCATTTAAATTAAAAAGCAATATAAATACAAGGTGTCCAAAAATCTCTACATTTTACACACAAGTTTGTATTGTAATTAAAGAGTTCATGGACACCCTGTATAACAATGTTTACGTGTTTAGGGCTTGGTCAGAATATTAGTGTTCTGCCAAAGTAGATTGATGAAGGGTCAAATCTCCTAACTCTCTCAGTGACCTTGTAATTTGGTAACAGCTGGAAAATAACCAATTTTGGTAGAAAATTGCTATACCTGCACATGTTATTTTCTGGTACAAAATTAAGTATGAAGGCATGTGTGTATTTCCTTGCTTTTTTTCAGGAAAGTATCATTACATTGTCTTCTTTTAGTATACATTGTTGTATATATATGGTAAGAGGTCAACGGGAACTCCAGGAAATTCTGATATTTCACACTTCCTATTTTTCCAAATTTTCTTTCAAAGTTTCCAGACAACACAGGAGCTACCATTGACCTGTTTCCAGGTTTACTAAAAGTAGACAATGTAATGATATTTTCCTGAAAAAAGCAAGGAAATTGTCACATGCCTTCAAACTTAATTTTGAACCAGAAAATAACATGTACACGTATTGCAATTTTTTACCAAAATGTTACTTTCCAGCTGAACCTTAACTAAATGAGGAGGGGTAGAAAAACGAAATTACTTTCACATTAAATGACACCTGATCGAGCCCCTAAACATAAGTTAGGAGGTCATTCAAGTGCACTGTTGAGGTTCACTTGTTATAAATGAACAATGATGAACAAATACGATGTAAATATTCCCCATTCTAGATGACACGCTGAAGATTTTTTTTTGATATTTTTATGAAGTATTTGTAGGTTATGTTTAATATGTTAGAAATGATGTTGAATTCAATCTAGACTTGAGTGCACATTCAGTACTTATATTAAAGACCCCTTGGGGGTACTATGAGTATACATGTACATATAAACTAGAGGGTTGATTGATAAAACATAATCGTTAAATTCTATCTAATAGAAGTAATTGTCGTTGATAATAAAAAGTTGTATAAGTATCTATATCTGGATTATCATGAGGTATCAATATATAAGAGACCTGAGACCTCACACTCTGTTTTCAGAAAATCATGTGGTCAAAAGTTTCACTGGAATCGTCAATTTACATTAATTATACATAGTTTTAACAATGTGCCAATGCCATATTAGGATACTAGAAATCATCCACTGAAGAATTTCATTTACTATAAAATATGTTATATCCAGGGTATTTCATTACAATATCAAGACATGAATTTAAATGACCTGGTGGTCTTCATGCTTGTCTTTTACCTAAAACTACTGGCTCAACTACAGTAGCTTGTGTAAGTTAACTATCTAAGTTTATGTTTTGTGTTCTTGGCACACATAGCTTTAAGATACTTTTTATTAACATTTTTCCCAAGCACAACATCTCTATGTTAATAAAGTCATTGATGCAAAAATGAAAAATCATATCAAAGATTGTTTCAATACATGTACAGTCTTATCAACTGCTGAAAAGGGTCTTGTGATACTGTAATGGCACAATATGTGATAGAACTGAATATATGCAATACGTTTATATAAACTGGGCCTAGTCCTTTATTAACATTCCAATTGTCTTAAATATTGATGATTTTCTCAATAGATGTCCACCCAATGATGTATAATTTGTTTGAAAATATGATTCTGATTCTTTATATTTCAAATATTTTTTGTAAATCAGAATAGGTTGTAAGATTTTTGAATTGAAAAACCTAAGGGATTAAGCTGGCAAGTTTTAAACATTTGTTCAGATATTGAAAGAGGTTTTGATTGTTGAAACATTGAGAGATCTAACCAGCTCACTTCCTTAACATTTCTCCATGTATATTATTTTGAAACATTATTTACACTGAAAACTGTTATACATAGTGATATATAAAAGCAAATATTGTATGATGTTTGATGCAGCTATTGATAATATACAAATACACATGTTTTTCAAATAGAAATATTATATTTTGTTTATTTGTTTAAGAAATTGGGGTGGAAAATACCTGAAAAAACCCACTGAATTTCAAGTTTTGGAAGAGTATGCAGACAAAGATTCATATAGAATTCATCCACAATTACTTTGGATTTATCAAATATTGAAGAATTTCCTGTTTTGTAAAAATGCACCATATTTATTTTTCATGTAGAATTTTACACAGAATTTGCATTTTTTCAATGGAGGAAATTACTATGTCTCAGGTCAGTATGTTAACACTCTTGCAGTACATACTTCCCAGTGTTCCTGTTTCAAGCTATATCACTAAGCTCATACATATTCCCACACTCAGTCTCTGAGCCTGAACACCTATAATGTTTCAATGAATACTCCTTCCTTTAACACTCCTTGTGTGGAATTTCAACTCACAGAAAACTTGTTGGAGTGCTTTATAAAGGCTTATGAAGTTCACCTGTCTCCGCTATTAGCTCCCTCTATTGACCCAGAAATTGCTTCTATCTTAGGATCAATGTACCACTGTGAAATATGAAGAAAAGAGTTCCTCATCCTCTGATATATCCCTAAGTGAAACCAGGGCCACTGTTCTACACCTGAAATAAAAGAATTACATTCATGATCCAATAGAGGAATTGCTATATCAAGGGTTGGATCGAGAGATTTGGGTTTTGATGCAATAGAGTGCTTTTATGAAAAATTGCATACTTTCCACGGCGGACAAATCTTTCGATCTCAACACATTTGTATAGATGGATATTGCTTTCTACATCATAATTGCTTTCTATATCATAACTTTACACACAGTGAAACCTATTAAAGTGAACACAACTTTTCCCTCTAATCCATGATGCAATATGTTAGCAGCAATGGACTGCATGATCAAAACTATTGACAAGTCTGACCAATCAGAATTCAAAGTTAAAACAAATACAATACCTGTAGTCTGAGTAGCCTGGAGATTGGTACCATGCATGAGGAATATACTGACGAAGGTGGAATTGTAGACTATCCCCAAGATCAACCTCCTGGTATGCTACATTGGCCGGGTGATCTGTAAACACAAAACAAAACATGTGCATAATCAAATACAGTAAAACCTGTCTGATGGCACACACATCTGTAAAGAACACCTCTCTATATGGAATAGTTTTAAAAGCTAAGTCCCACCTACTTACATGTTAATGAACCCTCTCTGAGAGGAACACCTGTCTACAAGAAACGATTTTGGTTAAACAAAGGATGTTCCATATCCATAGGTTTTACCATGAGCTTTCATCTAGTTGAAAGCCTATGGTTTTACTGTGTTCTTTACAGTCACAAAACCTGACCTAAAGCACTGCCGTAAATGATGGATTGAACCAGTGTGTGTAAAATCCCACTAGAACATTTCTCATCCTCTCTTGCTATGGTCTAGCAATATATACCGTTACCTCACAATACTGAATATAAAAACTATTTTTTACTCTCAAAAATACTGTACAACTAAACATTGCGGGATACTGTTAAATTTAAAATACAACATGGGAAACACGGAGTGATGAAGCAGACAAACCGTTTGAGCGATTGTTGATGTACTGTCCAATGCCGAGGGGATTGATGGGAAAGTCAGTCAACCATGACATATCACATGTGTAGAATGGACCAATCCTTTCTCTTCCATGACAAGACCTGAAACAATTAAAGCCGATCACTGTCAACAAAGAAGTTGGAGACTTCAACAACATGCAACTAACTGTAGTGGTGACATTAAAATGCAGAATGAAACGAGTCAAATCACTCAAATCAATACATTCCAAATGCAACAGGTAGAATAAGTATAATTCAAACTGAAATAAACAACCACAATTTGTAACTGGAGCACTAGTCTTACTTGAAGATGAATTTGGACAAGCCACTATCATTGCCATCAATGAGGAGACCATCAATGCAGCGGAAGATGAAAGGATTGTTGATAGACTGGAAGAGTATTGGATCTTGGGGCTGATACAGGGTACCTGTAAGAATACAATGAAATAATGGTATCATTTATGGTTGCATATATTTTCTTGATAGCACGGTTTGATTTTTTAGATTTTGCTTAAATGAATTATATATAGCAAGTCTGTAATGATTTAAAACTAATTAACATACGAGGTAAAATCAGATAACACAAACTATTGAAAAAATAGACATCTTAGGCCCTAAATATACCTGGATACAATGCGACAAGCGAGTGCTTAGGTATCTTTCCTCTTGTGACAGCCACACCTCTTCCTCCACCAATCAGCTGACTGGGACACCTGTCAATCACAAATCCTGTTGTATCATACAACTTCTCCATGTTCTTCATATGTAGAGATCTCACATCCTCAAATGACCTTGGTTTGTATAACTCATACATTTCATCCATAGACATGGCCTCCTCATGGTGCTGGCTCACATTTAGGTGATGGGTGGTGCGTGATGATGGTTCATTATCAAAGAGTGCATGTAAGATTCCAAGTAAACTGTCAACTAACTGTTCATCTGGGATTATTTTGTCATGTTCACCTGTTTTGACTTCTCTCACAGACCTGAAATGTAGAAATTAAAGTGAGATACATGATTTACCTCTGGCACTTTTATGTGCTGTGATAAGTGTAAATAAGGGTAGATGTTTAACATAACAGACTATGTTGTGATAAAGTTTCAGAACGAGAGCAAGTAACCCTCTTGTAATAAAGCAGGGTGTTCAAGCCTTCAAGGTGCGCTCAATGTACAACTCAATGCACACTTTCAGTCCAGATGAAACCTATTGCAAATCACCTTAACTGTACTTAAAACTTGTACTACAAGTTCATCCCCCCTCAAAATAATAGGTGCTACGCCCATGCTCTTGTAATAAAGCAGGGTGTTCAAGCCTTCAAGGTGCGCTCAATGCACGACTCAATGAAACCTATTGCGAATCAGCTTATAGTTAAAACTTGTACAACAAGTTGTAGACTATCAGCAGATAACATCTTCCTGGAAATATAAAGAGGTAAATAGGAGGCTGGTAGCCAGGGGGGGGGGCTCTGTCAACCATGGGGGCGGATGCTCAAGTCGCTCCATCCCCCCCATGGCAAGAAATCCTTTCAAAATCATTTTCACCATTCTGAGCACTTTTCGCATGCTTTTTGGCAAAACTGTCAAAAAGCTCCCCCCCCCTTGGCAACCCCCCCTTTGGTAAAACTGCTCCCCCTCCACTGGTAAATCCTGGCTACGGGCCTGTATTATTGGTATTTCTTCTTTCCAGGTATCCTGGAAAAATGGTCAGGTAACTGGTTGTCACTGTTCTTCCAGGTGGGCCACAGCAGATGTCAGCTGTAATATCTTCTACATGTAATTGCAATATATTAATCTTGACACAGTTACTTTCACTTTCATTTTAGAACACTTTATCTAGGTCAAACTTTATCTTGCCTTTCTTTTAAATTCAGAGATATCCATGGAACAAATCTGTATCTGTATTGCCTCCACTTCTTAATGAACTCTTTGAACATCGAAGTAAAGTGATATGATACGCTAAATGTTGCCTAATTAGGTGAAAATACACTAAATAGCCTTCATTTTAATATGTCAATTTAACTTCAGATGCTCACTAAATTACAAACTAGTCAACAAGTGACTTCTATGAAAAGAAACGACAAATGTGCTTTTTATTACTAATAAATACATATTAGGTTTAATTAGTTTTATTATATCATAATAATGATAATATCTCAAAAAATAAAATGAAATTATTTTCAAATATCTTTGAGATAAAATGCAAATTAAAAGTTATCGTTTTCCGTTAGGCCAAGGAGTTTGAAATCTAGATAAAACATTGAGCCAAATCGACAAAATTATCACCTCACATAAAACATATAATTAAACGTAAAATCGTCCGGAAAAAATGATTGTGTATGTTTAGGTAAGTGTATGATTAATGTATCACTTATTTGTTTGTGAAATCAACTCGATATTGCCTATATTACCTGAGATATTGATCTTTGATTTATTCATTTATTTTTTTATTTTTTTCAGTTCAACATTTGATCAATACTTCTTTACAAGACCATTATCTTGTGCAGTTGCAATGATATTCTTCATTCTTGTTTCTTTAGGTTAGTGTGTTCATGTAAAGGTTGGCACTGACTGTTATGCTGCTTTCCACTCTAGAAACTTTTCACTTGATCAAAATGTCAACCATCCATACCACAGGGGCTTGTCTCGAGGCGTCGGGCAAGCCCTTTGATGAGTGTACTGCTTATTAAGAGTAAAAGGGGAGCTCGGTTTTGATGCTTCCTGAAATTTGTAGAAAATGATTGTTAGATAATATCCAGTAAAAACATAAGGAATCCTTTCAATAATCGACATGCTGATTCAAACAACACTACAGAGTAAACTTACCTAAAATGGTAGCAATCCATCCACTTGTTGCTGAGAAATCTGAAGAATATGTAAAGAAGTGATTACACTGCAAGTACCGAATTTTTTTGAAGCCAAATTATTACCTCCAGAGTCGATTTCTTCCCCAAGACACGTCCACTGTTAAAAATTGGTAGTTCCTAGAGTTCTTTGTTTCCTTAGGTTCATTCCCGTATGTTATTTTTAACGAAGGACAGCCTATAACGACTGCTATACGCAAAAAGATGCATGAAATTAAGTTTCGAAACTGAAAGTTGAAAAATGGCGACTTTCCCGTGTTCTATGCGCAGGTGCGTTCAATCCAGCAATTGGATTACTTCATATTATATGAACGCATGCGCAATAACTACACATATATTTTTAGATAGATGTCACTTGCGTTCATTATTTCACAGCAGTCCCTTCCCATGATGCACCTAATATTGCGGAAATATTTTCCTTTAGTGATAAAACAATCAACCTTGTAGCACCGCTTCTTTTTTGGCTTTGAAAAAATGTTTTGGCTGGTGTTTAAAATCGATTGAGGTGAGAAACATGTTTGTGGACTATCGCCGCTTTTTTCCCATGATGAACAGTTCAAATTACAGTAAAACCTGTCCAATCCGAACACCCATGGGACCAGCCAAAAGCGTTCAAATTGGCAGGTGTTCAAATTTCGAGGATATTGTTGGTCGGGGGGGGGGGGGATTTCAAATTACATATACATGGAATAGTTGATACATGCTTTTACTACCCATAAGCTAGACTTTCATGAAAACATGTAACCATTCTCTAACTAGGATCCAGTTTATTATGTCACCATCACAAGTGGTGACATATTGTTAAAGTCTCAAACTTTTTTGGATTATCTGTAATAAATCGTGTATGTAACAAATGGCAACTGTAACAAATGGCAGGTGGTGACATTTTGCATGTTTATGCCTCACTATAGCTAAGAAGTGAATAATAGCAAACTCAACTCTGACCTGATACTTTGAAATCGATACTGCTCTTTTTTGGCTCACACAGTGAGCCTATGGGATCGACCAGGCGTCCGTCCGTTGATCCGTCCGTCCATCCGTCAACATTGGCCGCACAAATTAAAACTGCTATTCAGATTGAGTCATATCCACATTCATTTTATGCATATCCATAATGCCTATTTGACCTATCATCGCCATTTCCCAAGTTCGCCCGGTTTCTAAGAAATTGCTGATTTTGACGTCAAAAAGTCTAATTTTCTGTAAATACTAGACACTTTGTTGAAGTCGAACTTTCAAATAACTTTTAGTAGTTGCTGTATATGCAACTTATGTCCTCTGAAGATTTCAAAGCTCTTGGAATTACACTTTTTGGTATTTACTCTATAAAATTTGACAAAAAGTAGGACTTGCGTCATTTTCAGGAAACTTTATCATGTATAAAGTCAGTGGCAAGTTTCTCAAAGTTTGCCTTATACTTGATCATTTCTTGCAATGAATTACATCATAACTAGATTTAAGCATTCCCTACATATTGCACAATATATGTCAGCATCAAATTTTTACCGTTTTTGAGATATTTGACGTCAAAGAACAGTAAAAATAAGTTATTTTTCAACTTGCTTCAATTTGACCAATTTTTTGGAAAATTATCTACAACCTTTGAAAGGTCAAAAAAGTTGATTTTTCAAATTCATTTTTGGATGTAAATTTTGGTCAGCTTAATCACAAAAGACCTTACTGAGCTCTGAATAAGTAAAATTTTCAAGGTCAGATATCATCAAACTAGGTCACACAACTGTGCTATCTAAGTTTCTTAAAGTTTGAGACTACAAATCCAAATTAATATTTTTGTTTGAAAGTCAGGATATACATTCCTCTGAAGGTTCCAAACTGTGTGAGCACAGGACCGTGGGTCCTTTATCTAATAATCATTATAAGACAGGTAGATTTGAACATTATCCCTTATCTGTGATAGGGACATGAAAATTATATGGGATTTGCTACACCTTGGTGTTTCTGTTTTCTAGTTTTCAAATAAAACTTGACGTTCATCTGAACTTATCGATCTTATTTATTTTATAGGGGACCATTGTGGTAATTCCAGAATTTACACCATTTACACCATGTCTCTACTTTATCAGCTTTTTGTTGTCAAAATAGCACATTTAGCATATAAGAATCATCATGTGAGGCTTGTGAGCCAACCTAATGGTGACTTTTTCTTAGAAAATACGAAAGAACCTGTGAGTTTGCAACAGTTTAAATTTTTAAAATGTTTTGCATTATTTGCAGTGTTCAAATTCAGAATTTTAGACATCATTTTAATTTAACAGTACACTGTTAAATTAGATTCTATTGATATTCTATTTATAAGAACTTCTGATGTATCACAACAACATATTTATATCATAACAGCCAAAAGTCAAAAGTTATAAATTATTATTTGTTTGGTATAATTAATAACTAACCATAAGTTGTTATCAGATGTTATCTGAAATTCTCACATGTCCTTATACTGGTCAGAGGTTCAAAATGATATGTATTAACTATTAAATACAATATATTGTTGTACATTTTCAATAAAACCTACGCAACTTCAGTGAATTCATGAAATAATTAATTTACTAAGCGACTTATTATCTTATCAATCCATGTACAACCGCTCCACTGACATTGAATTGATTGTGACAAAATAAAATGACCTTTATCGTCACCTTCAAAAAGTGGCATATTGTCACATTTTTCTGTGACCAGTGTTCAGTGGTTGATATCTGTGACAAATTGTCACCTTTTTGTTATCATTTGAAGCATTTTGTGATATTCAAGTAATATATTAGTTCAGCTTGAAATATGCGTAGAGAAAAACAAAACTTGTTTTAGTCATATTACATAAAATCATTTCTTTAATTCATTTCAGTATAACATACTGCATAAAGGTTTTTACTTTTTTCTAACATAATCAATAGTAAAGGTTTGATTTAAAGCTTGCTTAATGTGTTGGTTTAAAATGTCAGTTAACCCTTTGGATGAAATAATGTGAAAAACATTTTAATTCATGTTTTGTTAAACAATTTTGACTGATTGGAAATCATTTACTGAAATTAGAACTTTTTAAACAAAGCATTTGAGACAAACCTCTGAGCTCGCAGAGCCATTACTTCAGGTCCATATATTTCTATGCGCTGGACAACATTTTAATAAGATGAGAAAATAAACTACCAGTTTAAAATGAGGGGGTATGTTATCTTCTTTCCTTTAAGTATCCTCCTCAGCACCATGAATGAAATTCCTGGGGATTGGCTCAAAAAGGGTGTTTGGTCACACCTAATGCACCCCCGCCTTCCTGCGGAGGCCTATGGTGCCTAAGGTGGCATAGGTAGAAAGTATTGGGTCATGTCTGTAGCTGTTTTAAACATATACTGTATGGCACAAATCATCACTATATTTGCTGCAATACATTAATATCAAAAATGTAATTTCATTTATTGGACAATACATGTTTCTATCTTGCATACACATTGTGCCTATTTATTGAAATACAGATAAGTGCAGTAACTCTATATTAGTAATTAAGTATACATGTGGGAGTTGATATTGATCGTTATATTAAGACTCAATAGAACACAGTAGTCGCTACATTCATCTACGAAGGATGTTATTTGAAATTCAAAATAGGATTGAATTATGTTATCTGCGCACTCCAGCCTTGCAGCATAATTCCTGTTGAATTTCTACCCAGTATATGAACAGTATGCATTATTTTTATGCCAAATTTTCATGGAATTTACAATTCCTTGAGAATATTCAGGCGTACTTGAGCAATGTCCCCTAAATCCATGTATATAGAATTCTTGTCAAAATATTTGTCAACAAATTGCAGACAATAGAATACACTTGAAGAGTTCTTTGATTTGTGATTTTCATGGAAAACAGTGTGATTGTTTTATAAAAGATCCCATGTTATTTTATCACAGGTTTTATCACTTGTTTTTGAGAGATACGTTTTACATTCATTTTAGTTTGCTTCATCTACACTTAACTCTGTGTTTAAAGAGGAACCTCAAGACTGACTAAGCCAACCGGAGCTTGTCATCGCCAAAAGGGTGATTTTCTATATATGGCCATCTCCCCGTCCCCACAAACGTTGAAATCACAATATTGACTATCCAGTAATGACTGTCAGGAAAAATATATTTATTTGATTTTGACAACCTGAAAAAACAAAACTATGAATCACTTTATAGATGAGTTTATAAAAATTAGATGACATTTTGATGAATGTTCTAATTATCGATTAAAAAATATATGATAGTATTTATTTGCTGTCTCTCTGTTCAGGTCGTTATGCCATTCAAGTGCTTTATGGGGTGAAATTAAAATTCTAGTTGATTACAAGAAATGTTATACTGTGTATTGATTATAATGAAAACTGCATCATTCAATACATTTCAAAAGATTGAAGATTGATTTTATAAAACTTGCCTGGATAATATTAAAGGAATGTCTGTGCTTCAGACGACCTTGTTTGCCCTCTGATGTTATTGCGATTAATGTGTTCTTTGTTTTACCTTATAATTCATGTTTTTCATATGTCATTATTTGGTAGATTTTTATTGTAGAATTAGTAAAACTATTACAGTCTGCCATTATTCATCTTGGTTTATTCATGGCCCCATGGTTTATTTTCCCAATCTAAAGGTAAATTTTAATCCCTTGAAAACCAACATGAATTTATGACAAACTATCATGAAATAACCAATTTTAAATATCGATAAATAGCAATAAATATTTTGTATTAAGTAAACGTTTGATGATGGTCATTACATTTATAAATATTATTCACAGTTTTTTTGCACTGTAATGACAAGTGGTATTTAAAAATGATACGAAAGTCTGAATTCTTTAACTTCTGCATGTAATCCCTCTGGCAGATTCAACATCGGCATACATCAGCAACAATGCATGCAAAATCATCAAATGATTTATGATAATATTCAAGTTTGCAGAATTGAAACCATTGTAGGAAATCAATTCCTCCATATTTCTCAAATGATTCTGCAATCCCATATATATCCACCTCTTGCATTTTATTTTTTACTGGAGGTTTATAAAAAGAGACAATATTTTAGAATCAATTCCTTTAAGTCTTTTTCACAGATTTTATTATATATGTTCTGTACATGTTAATTCATATTTTGATATTTGTCAAAAATGACACCCTTATTGTGGTTATGCTTTCAGATGAACAAGAAAGATGCAGGAAATAAACAAGAAGCCATAAATCTTAACACATCATAACAGTTTATTAATATCAGAAGGATAAAACAAAAGCTGGACTTGAGCAAGGATATATACTGCACCGCTACAGAGATACTGTGTTGACAATTTACAAACAAGAAAATCCAAGCAGTAAGCTTATGTAGCGGGAGAGAGTACGAAAACGAAGAGGTTCGTATTGATTTTTACACAAATTGCTACATATGAGGTTTATTTTATTTTCCTAGGCATCTACAGACATTTACAGCGATCATTTGATCAGATTCAGTAGGCATATTATGGCCTAAATTGACTTCAGCTATGATGTTGAATAATAAATGTTCAATGTTATATCCTTTCTAAAAGGGATTTACTATGTTTAAAATTACTGGATGCAGAGATCTTTCAGTATTAAAGTAAATAGGTACTGCACCCACTTGATATTTTGAAAATAAGCTAGTAACACCCACCTATATCCCACTTGCAACTACCTGGGAACCTATTTGTACCTACTTGAAAACCTATTTGCACCTACTTAAAAATTACAGAAATAGTGAAAAATTGTGATATTTTGACAAACGTTGGTCAGAATTGTGAAAAATAGTGAAAAATTGTGATATTTTGACAAACGTTGGTCAGAATTGTGAAATGTGAATTTTTCAATGACTTGATAGATAAATCCTAGGTCGAATATTGTCATAGAGTGTAATGTTTTCACTGTAAATCTTGCAATATTTACTCTTCAGTATACATGCTTTATCATGGTTTCTTTATCAAAGAGATCACTTGATTAGAAAGGTTTTATTAATCATCAATCATTCATAATGTTCAACCTTACTTCAGATGATAGACTACGTTTGATGAATATTATTATATCCAGTACAACAAAATGATATTGAATTCACATGACCAGCATTGTATTGATGTATCTCCATTGTAGAGTTTCAATTTTGCTTTATATTAGCATTCTGATACTTGTAGCATCCTTCTGTTTCACCATCAGGGCTGAGAAGAAATGAGATGTCATGGTTTATCATGTTGTTATATTAGAGAGTTCTAATAACAGTGCAAGTGATAAGCAAATTTGTGCAGTTTTTGATCAAGCCCATGTGTATTGTAGTCACCCTAACATACATATTTCTGGAGGTTAGGAGGGGATGGAGGGCTTTGAAACAGATGAACATATGTGAGAAGATACATGGCAGGCCCGTAGCGAGGATTTTCCAAGGCGGGTTCACTTTTTCAAAAACTCCAGGGAAGTTTACTTTTGTCAATTTTGGTCCAAAAGTGGCCAAAATCACTTAAAAAAGTGCTCAGAATGATGAAAAGGTGCATGTTTTTGAGAGAATTTTTGGCCAGGGGGGTTTGCTCAAACCCATCGAATCGTCCTGGCTACGGGCCTGCGTGGAGTAAAAAAATGCGATATCATAGACATAAACTTCCAATCCTACTACAAATAGTGCTGGCCTATGTAACAATATAACATTAGGTTCAGAACAGTTGATTTTCTCTTACTTTGACATTCAGAACCTACATTCATGCCAGTCCATGTTATACTCTTTTGACCATTTTGTTTACAAAGGATATATTAATTCCAGGACCTATTTATTGATTTGTTACCTGGATTGTTCATATCCAGGCCAATGTTAATTCCAAACCTGTCAACATAAAGGATCTTTAGGCTCTTTATTGTTATTTGTGTTATTTGTGTACTTGTTTCAGAACTTATACTGTTTCTCTTCTAAATGATAATAGAGCTCTTAACAGTATCAATGTCAAAAACAGAACATGTTCAATTCCATTTGTTTTAATGCAATAACCCATACATCAATCTCTCAGAAAAAATTGAAAAAATGATATTTTTGTTAAATGATTGTTCCAATAGAATACCAGAATGATGATATGATGATTTGATCACATAAATTTTATAAAAAATAGGTTTCTTTTACATAATTTTGTACTTTTAATTGACTTTTGAGCAAAATATTCATTCTGTTTTGGTGAATATTTGTAAGGTAGAACAAAAACATGATTTTGTCAGTTATGGTATTCAATAACATTGGATTGTTACATGGATAAACAAAGAAGTGATATTAATAAGAGAATCCATTGATCGAGGTAAATTACGATAGCATGCAATGAGATAACCATAAGACACAGCTAGAATTTCCAGATCAGCTGCGAATAATGTTATATTCTCTATGAATAATCGTTTATTTTCTGTCATTCTATAAGATGAAAGTCTTGCTTTTGATTGAAATCACAAGAGGGTGGAATAGCACATCAATAATTTGAAGATTCTTGCGAAATGAGTTTTATGATAGTTTACATTTAGAAAACATAAAACAATGTTAAATCATGCAAGGAATTTTTTGCAAGAGAAAGGAGGTCTCCTGAGAGTCTAAGAGTGACTGAAGCCAATATCATGACATATAAGGCTTCTGGCTCTCATGTAGGCGCTACATTCAATATCTCTCATAATACACGCTTCTAAGTGGGATTTTCTAATAAACCAATATCAAAAATGGATAATCATTATGATTTCTGGATTACAAATGCTTCAGTATTCCAATATTTGGTAAGCTGTGTTTATACTTTATTGCAGAAAATGTATAAAATGTAATATTATTTTACCATATGGTACATAAGAATATTCTTGCTATGCATTGATTTTTTGGAGTCAGCTGGTCAGGTAGATAAATAGCAATTCAACATAAAATAATATAGCATTCAAATCACTTATCATCAGATATGTAAAGCTATGATTCATTTATAGTTAACCTCGATCAAGGATGTCAAAGTTTAAGATGGATATGTTTATATGGAGTCTGTTTTAAATTGTATTATACCTGGCGATGTTGCTGATTTATTGATAGGGAGCATTAATTATGTAAATACCACCCTTCAATGAATTTCTATGTTGACATCACTGCAAGTAAGAATTGTTTTAAGATTGTATTGATGTATTCATTTTGGTTAAATAGAAAGCATATAGTTTATAAATTCAACAAACATTTTTGCCTTTGAATGCTCCTAGTTATTTGTTACAAGGAGAATTTGATGATCGTACACGCTATTACAAGGTCTTATATTGCTTCTATATTTGCAGTATTGATAATATAGCCTCATAAATAATCACCACGATTGTTTATACTGTATAGTCTAATTCAACAGATGTAATAATTAGTCCTGTTCATTAGTGTTGCATTGCCATGACAACAACACAGAAAAATGTTATCGAACGTGACACAATTGAAAGTATATTAGAAATGTTTCACATATTCAAGGGTCTTCATTCAGTATTGTTGGATGTGTTTAATTTTGTGTACTGTATTTATCATATCAAATAGAATTTCAGACAACTTTCCATCATGTTAGTCTAATCTGGGATTAACATTCTAGCTTTAGTCTCACCGGTGTATGACTGAACATAAAAATACTTAAATCCAGTTTATGATCATTTGCACATTCAATTGACAATTGCCAGGGGGGTTCTTTTAACAGTTTTGACCCAAAAATGGCCAAAATCACTTGTGCTCAGAATTGACCAGAGGGTTCTACCAACCCCTTGCTATGGGCCTGACTATATAGGTAGAAATATTTGCAAATGTCCTTACTTTTGCTGAACATGATTTTAGCAAAATTTGGTTAAAACATAAGTTAACATGATCTCAATTCAAATCCAGCTATATTTTGAAAATACTTATTCAATGAATCTTACACATATCACATTAAAAGCCCCATACTATAATAATTGTGTTATTTTACATGATACACATCAAACATTTCAAAATGTATTATGAGAGATGTAATACGTTGCTAAATATCCAGATACATACCAAATTGTTAACTGTGCAAGAGTTCAACTGTTATTTACTTACATAAGCATATCTTGCCTGCTCATTTTAGATACCACCTGCTCTGTCTACTTATTGAAATAATATCTAATATGAAATGAAATGATAGGATGAACATTTTATAAACTAAAATGATTACTTTCAGTTATTGTCTCCTAATGGCAGAGGCATAATAAATATTGAAGGATCATAATTCATGAATGTTATTGTGCCTCTTAATGGAACCATTCCATAGCTGATGACAGTTAAAGGTTTGCTCATTACACAATGATGGGTTATTTCAAAATATCAATGCATAAATGGACTGCTTTTACTTTTATGGTCTGATTTTTCAGATATGGCGTGACGATGGACTATCAAGAGAATGAGACAGAGACTCTACTGACTCAAAATATGAAGAAGGAAGCGAAGAAACCTGATTGGAGCAAGTTTGGTCTCGCTACCGATGACCAACATGAGACAGAGCCATCTAAACCACTGTATCAGAGTGGGGGAGACGAGGGAGGTTACCATGGTGACCCGGGACAACATAATGAATTATATACTGAAGATGAGGTAGAATATATCTCTTTATTTTCTCATCTTTAATACACTTTGACATTTTGTAATGTATTGTACAAACAACGCAACTGTGATATTTAATGTTGAAGTATTTAACAAATGGTGAAATAATCCGAATGAAGTTTTATGCTAGCTGTAATTTGTTATGTTTTAAATGGATACAACTAATTTCAATTGATGATTATTAATTAAACAAATATGATTTTGAGATAGATTTATGTATGATTAAAGCCTGATGTAATTGCCCATGAATGAAACATTCATACTCCAGGTCTTTATATACTGAAATATAGTTGAAGCTGCACCAAAGAAGAACAAGAAAATCCGAAGTAAATGCGTGACATATGCGCAATTTGCGTGAAAGTTCCCAATGAACTGTTTTCTTTTTTCAGCGTTTATTTTTCAGCGATTGTTTTTTTGATGTTCTTCTGAAATATTTTTGCTTGACAATAATCTGGAAAATACGTATTTACGTGACATATTGTGTCATGCAAAAAGACAGGCTTGACATCAAATTACAGATTTGATATATTTAACCTTTATTTCTAATCAAAATAACTTTTTAGCTCTCTTTATGTCACCACAACAAGTGGTGACATATTATTATAGTCTCCTAACTTCGCAGCTGGTGTTCAGTGTCTGTAACATTTTTCGTAGGTCGGTTCTGTAACAAATGGCAGGTGGTGATATTTCGCATGTTAATGCCTTGTTCATTTTTCAAGTATACAGCAGACAGTGTAATTGAAATAGTATGTAGGTTGCCATAGTGATACATGTATTTAGTATTTGATTAAGCAGCCTGCTATTCCCAGCATCTTTTATGAAATGATTAGCTGTATGATATATTATTAGTTTCAAGCATCCGCTTCATAATTAGAAACAAACATGAACTTCCTTATGTTTTAAATGAGTTCTTGTACATGTGATTAAGTGAAAATATACACTCACAATAAGTAGACTTGAAACATAATATACATGTACCTATTTTTATTTAGTACAGGAATGAAAAAAATTTTAAGTATAGCCATTCAAAGACAAGGTGGCTTGCCGCTTTATCCTGTTGCAGAAATTTCCAATAACTCTATTATCCTAAATGTCAAAGCCAGTGTAAAACTATGATGCAATTGATATGTAATGCCCATGTATTAAATACGAACAACTTCAATGGTTCAAAACGATGTATATTGTGTAACCTCTGTGAAACTGAAACAATTGAACATTTTATATTAAGATGCCCTATGTATGAACCATATAGGCATAACATATTTGAAGCCCTTGGCTGTCGTGGTGACAGTATGGGTGTTATTATGAAGAAAGTTTTAGGTCTCTCAGATGTTTCATGTGAGACGTCACAAAATGTACAATCACAGAGCCAACCTGTTGGCTCTGCTTGACACATAATTTCTCTATCACTTTATTTTTATGTTTTCCAAAACAACAACTTTTTTATCACATAATTTAATCTTATCCTTGTATTTTATATTTTATGTGTAAACCACATGTATACTAAAATGTATTCTCTCATATAAATGAGGCAATAAATATACAATACAATACAATTAGGCTTTTCTCCAATTTCTCCAATTTCTTTATTTTACATGGCTTAATCTTTGAATATAAACTAGATATTGTTTTAGAGATAAAAAAGTGATACCCATGAAATATTATCGTGTTTCCTTGTTGGATTAGTATGAAATGCATTTGAAAGATGTGATTGTTTTTTTCTCATGGTGAGCTAGGGAATTAGTCAACCATTTATCTCTTCATCCAACTCTTGCTTCATCCATGAACAACTTTTAGACAAACGATTGTGCTCATTTCTATTTTATGGGCCCAGAGTAGGAATTTACATCATTGGTTCTGACTACTACTTTACCTCAATTGGTGGAAATTGGCTTTTTGTTATCTAAATCACCACACAAGGCCACTAAATAGAGGCTGAGGTGTACTGAGCTTAACTTACCTTGAAACCTCACCCATAAATGCATGCAGCATGTATAGTAAAGATGATATTCTGTATTTTCAGCAAATCCACAGAAAGCCATGGTACAAGGCCAACTTCTTTGTGACAGAACCAGTGTTGTTTGGAGCATGGGACGGTGTGTTCACGTCATGTATGATCAACATATTTGGTGTTATTATCTTCCTAAGGACAGGATGGGTTGTGGTAAGTCAGACTAGAACAGATTTTGTTAGAACGCTCTGAATTTTAAATATTTGATACACTATCAATCAAGCATGGATTGAAAGCACATGTGCCACTGTGCATTTTGTCACACTTTGTTTAATATCCTGCTTCATGTAATGTGTTGTTTACCTTTATAATTGATTTGCTACAGAATTCATTGTGGGTTTTAAGCCTCAGTCACATTTGCTCTACAATGGCCATACGGCAACCGTAGTTTCACAAAATCAATATAGAAAATCTACACTGTACTTCTTATCCTTATATTTTGTGCTGCATATTTCACTCAATTTTAGGAAGTTACAACCGCCGTACGGTTGCAGTAGATCAAATGTGACTACTCTCTTATAGAGGTCCTTACATATTCCCACTTCTATACACAGATAGTGTGGGCAGACAGAGATAGATTTGATCCCCAAGAAAATTTAATTATTTGAAATTAGTAAATCATGTAAGGATGATACTTGATGCTGGTTTAGCATAGACTGATACATAGCTCAAATCCCAAAATCTGAAACTTCATTCCGAGAAAAGACACTAGTACTGTTTTTGTGCCTCAAGTTTTAAACTTTATCCCATACTTAGATCAGTATTTCCATAATGCTCAATAAAAAGAAGACACCCCTTAAGAAAAAAGCCATGGTAACCATGGTATTCCATGGTGCGTCCATGGTAATCCATGGTTTTCCATGGAAATTCATGGTTTTTCATGGTATTTTCCATGGAAATTCATGGATACCCATGGTAATCTTCCATGGATATTTACCATGATTTTCCGTGGTAATTGGTGGTTTGGTAATTGTTTTTTCATGAACATGCCAAGTTTTTACCATGACACTTGAGTTGTAAAATCAACAATTTTGGCAGGTTTTGTTTTTACCAAAATCTTCAAAATTGAATCAATATTTTAACGAATGAATCCAAGCTGGATTGAGAATTAGTCTCATTAATCATAGATAAAAGAATAATATGACACCCCCCCCCCCCCACCCCAAAATCTTTGAGAAAGTCAACCTTCTTGACAAAAGCTGGTTTTTACAATCTGAATATATGTTTAGTACATTCTGTACATAGTGTCATATGACAAAGAACTGTTTACTTAATATTTTTTTAATTGATGATTTGACCCCACAATTAAAAGTAATAATTTGTTTGCTGGGATTTGCTATCATTTAACTTTGGCACTTATGTAAAAAAAGACAAAATAAGTGATAAAATCAGCTCACTGGATTCCCTTATTGCAGACTGAATAAACATTTTTACTTGGAGTAAATCCTATTTGGTTTTATTTGATCAACAATGAGTTTTTGACTTGCACTGTCTACACTCACAGACAATAATAATTACTGAAGAGGGAGCATTAGAAAGAGTAAGATTATCATATATAATAACAATTAAGATCAGAATATTTAAGAATTATGCAAATGAACTCTTATAATCTGTTGTAAAGAGATTAATCTCTAAGACACCTAATTAACATAGAATAATGGCAACCAAATATTTAAAAATTATGCAAATGATTATTTATTCCTATTCAAAGACATCAATTTTAATTACTTATACTATGTTTCATGTTTTAAGCCAAACGGTGTTGTTAACCCCCTCCCCTTCCTTCATGCAACTTCTTTTTAAATATAATATTCTTACATAGACAAATTGAATTTTTATCACTTAGGTATAACATTTCAGTTTGCAGCCATAGGCTTGTGTTTAATCCCCCATCCAAATTTCAAGTCAAAATTCTGTAAAAGTATATACTTTTCTGTGGATTTTTTCAGATAATATGCTTATAAAAGTTGAATGGGACTTAATTTGGAGAAGTTCATTTAGAAACATAATGTATTATTCATTTTTCTGCTTCCAAAAGACCAAACAAATAGCCCATGGAAAACCATGGACTTTCAAAAGATCAAAAGAATAATCATGGAAAACCATGGCTTTTGATTGCACTTTCCAAAACATCAAAGAAATAACCATGGAAAAGCATGGCTTTCGATTGCAATCAACCGTCTTCCATGGCTTTTGATTGCAGTTTTCTCAACTTCAAAGAAAGAAACCATGGTTTTTGATTGTATTCTCAAATACGAAATGTAATTTAAGAAAATGAGTTATTTATTTCTTAAATTACTTCATATTGATTTTTAAAACTGAAAATTAAAGAAAGTATTGAAATAAAACAGAGCTTGGGCTAGTTTGACTTAATCTTTTTCAAAGGAAAGAAGTGTTTGGCCTAAAAAATAAGCAATCTCTATCTAGTCTTGATCTACACAAAAGACCTTTGCACAATTGTTTTTGAAATCTTGTGGCCTACTCTCTGCTCTGCTGTTTCACATATTTTCTCATTTGTAAGCTGAGTCTAACATTCGATGAATGTTCTTGCTATACCTTCACAATGAAATGTCCACCCTTTTTTCTCAATGATAAGTCTCAGTCTAACTGGGATATATCATCAAAACATTCATTTTGGAGATTTTGGTAAATACAAATCCTACCAAAATTGTTGATTTTACATCTCCATGACACATCCATTAAAACCAATTACCAAACCAACAATTACCACGGAAAATCATGGTAAATATCCATGGAAGCTTACCATGGGCGTCCATGAATTTCCATGGAAAATAACATGGAAAACCATGAATATCCATGGAAAACCATGTATTACCATGGGCGCACCATGGAATACCATGGTTACCATGGCTTTTTTCTTAAGGGACATCATGTATTATTTCAGGGCAATGCTGGTATAGGGCTAGCAATCTTAATTATGATGATGACAATAGGTGTCGCTCTAGTAGCTGCCCTAAGTGCAATAGGGGTCTGTGAACGTTGTAAGATGGAGAGTGGGGGTGTATATTTTCTTATATCCCACGTCCTTGGAGCCAGGATTGGAGCGGCTGTTGGCATTCTGTATTGTTTTGGCCAGGTAGGTTTATAATATATATTATTTCTCATATTTAAAGGAATACATTTCGAGGTTTTATAGCTTATGGTATAATAGAGGACAGAAGATTTTTTCTGGTCATTGTGTAAAGAAAGAAATTCCGTTTGATGTCTATCACTCATCAATGTTCCAATGTTGTATTCCAGGCTGTATCCTGCTCTCTCTATTGTATGGGCTTTGGAGAGTCAATCTCAGCCTTGATCAACCAAGACAATCCATGGGTGTCGAGGGGAATTGCTGCCGGGGTCGTATTCCTCCTTTTAGGTATGTCAACACATTGAAATATCGTAACCACCATGGATTAGATTTTCTTTTGAAATGAAAGTTATAGCAGTGGAACATTATTACATGTTCAAACAGTAATTCAGGAGTGCCTTTTGCTTGAGATAGCACACTAGATATGGAAATTTTTCATCACTTGTGAAATTCGATGTTCCATAAAATCTGTATACAGTATCTGAACACCTCTCTAATCCAATCTCTCAGTGTGAATACCTTTGTTCTGTCCCATTTTGTTAATCTGTCTTAAAATGTCATGTTAACCTTGAAATATGAACACCTGCCACTCTGAATATATTCCAAGTGGCATTCAGATAAGACAGGTTTTACTGTACCCTCCACATAGAGAATAACCTACTAATGTTTTCTTCATTAAATTACATCTTTTCACCTTTTAATGAATTCTTATGTTTAACCTTACACTTATTCGTATTTGCATTAATGGTTTCTATGACAATGAATGTGCCATATCCAGGGTGTTAATACTTTTTTCAAATGAGTATTTTATTTCCAACAAGGAATACACATTCAACTGTAGAGAATCATTTATTTACAGCTATAAATCAAAATATTCCATTTTGTTGTATAATAACTATTGGAAACCACTTTATACTTGATGGGTTATTATGTCCTTATGGCAAATGCCTTCTGAAGATTTATTAGATCATTTTGGAGAGAGTTTTAAAACCTTTCTGAAGAATTATGGTACCAATCTCAAGATTTATGGTATCTATCTCAATATTTATTGCACCAATCTGGAATCTTGATGAGGCCTTAAAACTATGAGACTGCTAGGTGATCTTGCACAGAAAATGTGATTGATGAACATTTTTGATGGGGTAATTTTCGAAGTCCCAAATTATTGCAACATAAAAGTATGAATGTATCATTTGTGTTTGTATATTGGGCTCGATGTAGCTAGTTATACTGCATCTGTAGTTCTTTTATGAATAAATTAAAAGATGAAACTGGGGTTAAGCGGTTATAACTTTATAACAGGTATAAATGTAGCTGGAGTGAAGTGGGTGATCAGACTTCAGCTGTTACTACTTATGGTTTTACTTCAGGTATAAATGTAGCTGGAGTGAAGTGGGTGATCAGACTTCAGCTGTTACTACTTATGGTTTTACTTCAGGTATAAATGTAGCTGGAGTGAAGTGGGTGATCAGACTTCAGCTGTTACTACTTATGGTTTTACTTCAGGTATAAATGTAGCTGGAGTGAAGTGGGTGATCAGACTTCAGCTGTTACTACTTATGGTTTTACTTCAGGTATAAATGTAGCTGGAGTGAAGTGGGTGATCAGACTTCAGCTGTTACTACTTATGGTTTTACTTCAGGTATAAATGTAGCTGGAGTGAAGTGGGTGATCAGACTTCAGCTGTTACTACTTATGGTTTTACTTCAGGTATAAATGTAGCTGGAGTGAAGTGGGTGATCAGACTTCAGCTGTTACTACTTATGGTTTTACTTCAGGTATAAATGTAGCTGGAGTGAAGTGGGTGATCAGACTTCAGCTGTTACTACTTATGGTTTTACTTCAGGTATAAATGTAGCTGGAGTGAAGTGGGTGATCAGACTTCAGCTGTTACTACTTATGGTTTTAATTCAGGTATAAATGTAGCTGGAGTGAAGTGGGTGATCAGACTTCAGCTGTTACTACTTATGGTTTTACTTCAGGTATAAATGTAGCTGGAGTGAAGTGGGTGATCAGACTTCAGCTGTTACTACTTATGGTTTTAATTCAGGTATAAATGTAGCTGGAGTGAAGTGGGTGATCAGACTTCAGCTGTTACTACTTATGGTTTTACTTCAGGTATAAATGTAGCTGGAGTGAAGTGGGTGATCAGACTTCAGCTGTTACTACTTATGGTTTTACTTCAGGTATAAATGTAGCTGGAGTGAAGTGGGTGATCAGACTTCAGCTGTTACTACTTATGGTTTTACTTCAGGTATAAATGTAGCTGGAGTGAAGTGGGTGATCAGACTTCAGCTGTTACTACTTATGGTTTTACTTCAGGTATAAATGTAGCTGGAGTGAAGTGGGTGATCAGACTTCAGCTGTTACTACTTATGGTTTTACTTCAGGTATAAATGTAGCTGGAGTGAAGTGGGTGATCAGACTTCAGCTGTTATAACTTATGGTTTTACTTCAGGTATAAATGTAGCTGGAGTGAAGTGGGTGATCAGACTTCAGCTGTTACTACTTATGGTTTTACTTCAGGTATAAATGTAGCTGGAGTGAAGTGGGTGATCAGACTTCAGCTGTTACTACTTATGGTTTTACTTCAGGTATAAATGTAGCTGGAGTGAAGTGGGTGATCAGACTTCAGCTGTTATAACTTATGGTTTTACTTTAGGTATAAATGTAGCTGGAGTGAAGTGGGTGATCAGACTTCAGCTGTTACTACTTATGGTTTTACTTCAGGTATAAATGTAGCTGGAGTGAAGTGGGTGATCAGACTTCAGCTGTTATAACTTATGGTTTTACTTCAGGTATAAATGTAGCTGGAGTGAAGTGGGTGATCAGACTTCAGCTGTTACTACTTATGGTTTTACTTCAGGTATAAATGTAGCTGGAGTGAAGTGGGTGATCAGACTTCAGCTGTTACTACTTATGGTGCTATTTATTGCTGCAATGGACTTCCTAGTTGGATCATTTGTCCACACAGATCCAGGTAAGTACTCTCATTGAATGGAAATCCTCAGACATAATGAACTTATGAAGTCAACTGATGAAGTCCCTGATGATGTCTCTTCCTGTTGAAGACACATTTGTTTGTTAGATTTATTGAACGTGCAAAGGACTAACATCATTATAACATAAAATTGACTCATATTCCCTTTGATTGGCAATCAACTATGCATTGAAACTGCTGCAGATGATACCAACTAAACAACATAACCTCAAATCTAATAGAGGGTTTGCATGCTACATTATAAGCTTTAAATTAAGTGACTCTTGTCAGGTGTCTCCATATTATGAATAGTATTCTGGGCTGAACAAGCCCCCTACTGCCATCTATTTATTCATCCATATAGGAACTCCTGTACTTTTTCAGAACATGGTATAACAGGTTACAGGTGGTACCACTTAGTCAATAACACAGGTCCAAGCTACCTCGAGGGCCAATCATTCTTCTCAGTGTTTGGTGTGTTCTTCCCCACGGCAACTGGTGTCTTTGCTGGGATTAACATGAGTGGAGATTTACATAATCCTAGTCGAGACATTCCTGTTGGCACTTTATCAGCTGTTGGTGTCAGGTAAGAAGTACCCTTTTCAAAACTTTGATTCATCCACACTCTGAAAATTAATGATCATTCTCCAATCTTACTTGTATTTTATCAGAATACATGTATGTAGTTAAAAATTATGACACAACATTTTCTGCCTTTTAGAAGTTAGCATTCGTAATACATCAACACTTCCATAAGTAACATGAAAGTTAGATTTGAAATTATTAAGATGTGAAAAAAATTATTTGTAACTAGTCAGAGGGTTGTAGGATTAGTTCATTGAAATACAGAAATACTATACATTTAAGGACAAATCAATAACTGTAATAAACCTTACTAAATTTGAGAGTTGTCCAAAATCAAGTCTTTTGCTCCAGTTTCATTCCTTAGACTTTGACTACCAAATCATGTGATTGTGTCAGATAGTTAAAGGAGATAGTGAAATTATAGTTCCATGATACATCATTTTCAGCACAGTCCTGTATCTAGCATTTGGCGTTGTATTAGGAGCCACTTGTGACAGAACATATCTACAGCATGACTATATGATAGCTGAAAAGGTAAAGCAAACATTCCTAAATATACTGAATAGGTTAAAAGTAGTTTTCTTTGCATACAAAGGTTACAAATTTATAATAAAAATATTAACACAGAATTTGTTTTCAAAACAATCAACAAATTCTAATTCTGGATAAGGAATAGTTAATATTTATCTTTTATTGATTTTTTGAAATTAAAAGTTGATAAATGCTAATGTAATGAACGGAATGAACTTTTACTCTTATCCACTTAAAGTAATCAATTGTATTAATGATCAATCATGATTGACAACGTTTATTAGCATTCATCAATATTTTGACCTTATCCTAAGGTAAATGACCATGTCAGTGACAATACTATACTGTCATATTTTTTCCATAATTATTTCATTTTTTCACATTGGTAGTTCTTTGTATTTCAATAATCAATATTGATCCAATAGTTTCACCTTGGTAATGTCATTCAGGTCAGATGTTCAATATTTCACATTACACGATAAACTGTAGAACTATATTACATGTACATACACATGTACATGTACATGATGTATTATAAAATGCTGCACAGCATAGCAATCAAAACTCAGCACTTTGCTTACTTTATACTTGATGTACAGTAAAACCTGAATAGTGAACACCTTTTTATTGTAAACAAATTTTTGTTATAATCTGGGTACAAGCTACTTTTTTCCAGTTACAATATCATTTTTTCTATTGAATCGGATCAGTGGCTATTAGAAATGATAAGGAGTGCAGGTACACCTTATAATTTATACCTATCTGGCATGCCTATTACCAGATCAGCAAATGTTAATATCTGTTGATGGTTTAAATTACAAGCTGTTGAAAGAGCCATTTTAACCTTCCAAATGACAATGTAAGCCTGTCTGTATCATTTTAACCTTGCACTTGGTGATACAACCTAGCAGAGAGGTGTTCACTAGAAAAGGTTTTGCTGTATTGCTTGAATCCAATATAAAGCTAGCAGTTAGACAATATTACAATTATGGCAATAAAACATATGTACAATTGATCAATTGGTGATTATTTATGCAAAAAATAGAATGAGAGAAAATTTTCGCTGAAGAATTTTTGATTTTAAACTGATGGCTGAATCTTGAAGAAAATCGGTGTGATATTGAATGATTTCTAAACAATCAAGCAAGTTATAATTGACAATGCTTAGAAATTATGGTATCTTGAAGATGTGGTTCTTTACATTTAATTCAACTGCATGTATACAATTTGTACTACGGATCCTTAAACATGATACATGTATTATTGTGTTTAATGAATGCCCGCAAAGTCCTGTTTTGTGTCACAGAGCACTATGTGGGGCAAGTTTCCTGTCCCACAAAGAAATTGACCTGAGTCACCCATACAAGTACAGTAGTACAGTATACCTGATTCTTTTCTGTATTATTTGTTATGACTTCAACAACCCATCTACTTATGATTGCTTTATTGTCAAGTCTTTGGTTTGATTAAATATGGTCATTTTTACCGTACACACCAAGATAAATCTCGATATTTTGCAATTGGATCTTAGAAATAGATCTTCAGGTGTAACTACAGTCCTACATTTACATGTTTAGGATTTAGGTCCTACTCAAGTGAAATAGGTCCCACCCAAGTGATTTAGGTCCTGTTCAAGTGATTTAGATCCCACCCAAGTGATTTAGGTCCTTCCAAACCCTGTGCACATAGCTCCCTAGTATTGTACTGCATCATTGTATCACATAAAATGTACCACTTTCTTCCAGGTCTCAATACTTGGTGTACTATGGTTGGCCGGTTTATATATTTCCTCGGTCTCGTCATGCATGGGAGCCCTCTATGGGAGCCCCAGGATACTACAATCCATTGCCAATGAAAATGTTATCCCTGTTATGAAATTTCTAGGGCAGGGGGTGAGTGCCTTATATCACCCTATAGATGTGCCACCATCATTTGGTTAATATATTTATATTTACATATTTTGGTTGTGTTGTGTTTTGTTGTATTTAAACATTCATAGTTAAGTTTAGGATTAATCTGATTTAACCCTTTGCTTCTGTTATTCTAACAACTAGTGAAGTAAAGGGTTAATCTACTCAGGTGTGGTGAATTGAAGCAACATATCTGGACAATGGAAGGATTTGACATGAAATATTAGATTGAAACATTTTGCTACACAATTACATGATAATACATTTCTGATATTGCTTCAAATCAATTTATTAATTATTATGAAGATTTAGTTATTATGCTTTTAGATATCATGTGATTGCTTTCTGGCTTTTCTGGTTCTTAATCCTTCATGTCCTAATATCATGATAGAATATACGACCACACTAATCACTTCAATATAATTCTCCCAGCATGTTTGTCTTGCTTGCTTGTTTACGGCATGCTTGTTTTCTACATGCTTGTTTACTCCATCTTTTCTTGCACATTTCATACTTTCTTTAAATCATCTAAAACCTAAACTTTTTTAATGCATCATTGCCACTAGGTGTCTCTAGTAGGAGTATTGTACGTGTGCGGGCTCTATGTGTCGACGTTGTCTGCGGCCTTAGGGATCCTGTTAGGAGATCCCAGGGTCCTTCAGGCAATTGCGGCCTCAAAGGTATTCCACGGTAGATTCTTTGAATATCTTGCTCAGTCGGTAAGTATCCAGTAACTATAGTAAAAATATGCCATTTAGGATTGGCCTCATTAGACAACATGCATTCCATTGAATACACTCTTCATAGAGACATTCTCTATTTGTATTGAATATGAATTCATTAGTCGTTAAGTTTTAATATGATAAAACTATAGAATAGACCATTTGTTTATGTGCACACTATTTTATTTATTTATTCTATAAGGCTGCATGTTTCTATATAACCCAACTAATATTTGATATAACCCATTTAACAGCCACTAACTTTACAATTATTAAAGTGTACTTGCTCATCTGTTTTATTTTCTACAGTATAGATACAATTCATATTCTTATGATTCAAGGAAGCACAATTGACAATATTTAAGAAATGCGATTAGATACGAAGCCCTATAAATCATATACATTTCAATGATATCTTTTGTCAGCTCCAATTAAGAAGAATCATTTATTAAATAAAATCCAATATATTCGCTCCATTTTATATACAAATAAAAAAATTATTAAGATATACAACTGGTTGATTTTGTATCATTTCAGCGAGGGCCTAACAAGGTGCCAGTGTTTGCTCTGATAGTGATCACGCTGATAGCTCTCGTGTTCATCATGATTGGCCAGGTCAATACTCTGGGCCCAATAGTCACAATGCCTTTCATGATAACATACGCTGCAGTCGACTACGCCTACTTCTCGCTGGCTATGTCATTTGATCAGCGGAAAAAGCGTGAGGCTCGTTTCCATGACAGTGCAGGTAGAAGTCTCCTAGAGTCAACCATTATTAAAGCTAAGTCTGAAGGACAGAGTCAAAATGGTGGAGGTACGGTGAATTATGGTACGACAGATAGCAAACAAACGGGAAGTACAACAGCTGCTGATACAACGAGGCCTCAGAAATCTAGCGATTTAGATAAGTTATTTCCTGAGAGGCTGCAGCATGATCAGAGGATGATTGCCCCTGGAGATCAGACCAGTCCTACCTTTGATGTCAGTAAAGGTTACCCGGGTGATCAAAAGGGGGTTACACAGGATGATGGAAATGATACACAGGAGTTATTGGGCAAGAAACCTCAATGTAAGTTTAGAATGTTTGAATTACAATGTATGTGTACATACATATACTTGACAATTTTGAGGTACAGTAGTTAGAAATAAATATTATAATAAAAATAAAATAATGCAATAGATGCTACACTCATACCACATAACTGTGTCACCTATTTATATGTTTATTTTTTTATTTCACATATCCAGTACAGAGGCAGGCCAGTCAGCCAGAAATCTACCACATGCCCAGAAGTTGGTATTCAGTTTTCTGCAATAGATGGCTGTCAATTATTGGGGTGAGTTACAAATTTACTTTCCAATTAAAAGTAATATCCCTACACTATGTTAACGTAGAATGCTGGAATGTCATACTAACATCTTGGGTTTTAAAATCAGTTTAAATTCTGTTTCAATGCAATTTTCTTGTTATTTAAGAATTCTAAACATGATTATTTTGATTAAATTCCACCTATTCCTTTGCAGCTGATTGGCTGTTTAGTGATTATGTTTGCCATACAATGGATCTACGCTCTAGCTAATATAGCAGTAGCGTTCATAGTGTATATCTACGTGGGTAAGGCCAACCCAGGGGTGTTCCCAGGTATAGCAATTTCTTTACTATGTTATTTACTAGAATCACCAATATGTAATTTAAGGATATCTACTCTCAGTACATGTTTGATTTAAGCATTTCATAAGTTAAATGTGAAAACTTGTTTTTATTTTTCAGGAATTGCTGAGTTTAATTTGTGGCAATGGGTAAAAGGTGGCGTCCTAGGTTGCTTCAGGTATTTCATTCCCTTCTTATATGAATATTACTTTATATAAAGTGAACCTCTGTAAGTGGAACACCTCTCCTCCCATGTGGAACATTTTTTTGAGGTACCAAAAGCATTCCATCACAGGTTGTACATGCATTTTAGGCAGTCCAATGTGTATTGCAATATCTGCATTGAACAGGTGATTTCCCATTTCAAATACATGTACTTTTAATATTATTATAATACAGGAATTCATACTGTAACATATTTGTTGTTACAAATTATCCCTTTGAATATTATCTATACAAATATAATTATTTGTCTATACATTATGTTTTAGGCGTGGTCCTCCTCCCCCAGAGCAGATAGTTGTCACCCCTAATACCCCTGCCATGAATACAATGGCCGCACAACTCACTGAAGAAAATGATGACTTTGCCGCTAGGGGGCGATACCATCAATCAGAGGTCGTAAAAGGCCAAAACTTTGATGACCTTGACAGTGACTGATCTGTCTTAGAGACGAGAGACTTTTACTTGATTTTACAGTCTGAGCGTTTCACATTTTGCCAGTCCCAAGTATGAACTGTAATGGTGTTACACTTAGTCTCAAAAAGCCTCCTAAGTTTTGAGTTGATCTGTTATCCAATTATTATTCCCAGGTACATACAACTGCCTGATATTGGCCATGGAGGCTGTGCACTTGATACATAACTATGTGCTATTGTGTGAGATGTTTCAAATTTGGTAATGGGAGAATGAATAATACTTTTTGCTTTTTATGAAATCCTAATTTAATTGCATTCTCTCTATAGTTACTGTGGGGTAAATGTTACCATTACTGTAGTTATAGTCAATGGAGTAAATGATACCATAAAAACAGTTATAGTCGCTATGGAGTAAATAATACCATAACTACAGTTATAGTCTCTGTGGAGTAAGTGTTATCATAACAACAGCTATAGTCACTATGGAATAAATGCTACCATATCTACAGTTAGTCATTATGGAGTTAGTGTTACCATCACTGTAGTTATAGTCACTCTGGAGTAAATGTTACCATAACAACAGTTATAGTCCCTCTGGAGTAAATGTTACCATAACAACAGTTATAGTCACTCTCTACCATTACTGGAGTTTTAGACAGTTATGGAAAACGGCAAAACACACACATACATGATATGGTATTGCATCCATTTCATATCTATAATATCATTTACTCCCTGGTGAAGCAGGTATTGGATTAGAATATAACTTTTCATTTTCATTCTTGATTTATTTCTAGGCAAGCAGTATATTTTGTGCAGTAGTTTATATGCAAAATCTTCATGAATTCCAGTAGATGTAGCTATTAGTTAAGCTTGCTGTTGAGTAAATGACAAATGTTGTCATGGATACAAGATCAAGATTTAAAATGTGTGACATGACAAAGAATTCACAGGAACAATCAGGAATATTCCAACGTGTTGATGCGTGTACCATTTCTGAATAAGTTATATTGTTATATTTGTATGTTCACATACAGTTTGTTAAAATTATAATTTGTAGCTAGTCTACATATGTTATGCTATATTGTATAGCTTAAACACATCTGTTTCCCAGAGACCATAGTGTATACATTCTATATCTTTATTAATGTACTGTAATGTATATAAATATACTGATATATACAAATTGAATATGCACATCTGCTGAGTGAACATGTTATATTAATATTTATTTTATGACATTTTCACTCAATGTTATGTAACAAATTAGTCAATATTCAATCAAAATCTGTTTTTGGATTTGATATGCCAAAGTCGATTTAAACCCATTTAAACATAATACATCCATCTTCTCATATACAATACAATAAAAGATCTCTTTAAAGATCTGAAGGTGATATTTGGCTGTAAGTCTAATGCAAAGCTCCGTGAATTAACCTGGGATCCAGTTTATTCTATTTGTGTGTGGTTCCATGTAGCTTTACATTTGACTCATATTATGGAGTCCATTAAATAATTGAGATATGGCTTTACAAAAGAATGTTTTGAGGCTAAAAATTAACCTGGAGACATCAATTTCTATTAATTCCTTTAGAGAATTAATTATTGCAGGAATAAACATTGAACTTTTTGGCTTTTTGACTTGAAGTTCTTTTATTCTGTAACATGTCTGGTTAAAACTTACCGATACATTACCGATAATGTGAAATGTTGTGTATCAATGTATAGTGAAGTCTGAACTTGTATATTAATGTACATGTATACAAAAAGTGTATAATTATTTGTATATAGTATAAATGGTATATTAAATTATATATTATGTTACATAAAACATATGTATATGTAGATAGGGGTGACTTTATGTGAGGATGCATTTCAAAATAGGCATTGTATTGATATTTGATGAAATCCATGATATCCCCAGGTGGCCATTTCAAACAGAACACGACAAATTGTGAACATAATTTTTTGTGAATGTAGTATCTCTAGAATTACACAAGAAAACTCACTAAACTTCAGTCATAATTAAGATTGTTATTCCACAAATCAGTATTGCATTTTTGTCACCCTGGGCATTTTTATGTAAGTATGAGGATTGTTCAATAAATACTGATATTTCCATATTTTCCAAAAATCAAGTTGAAATGTCCAGAGATTGTAGATGACATTCATATTCATACTTGAAAATGTGAAAATATGAAATGAACGATTTTGTATTAGTATTTATTGAATAACCCTCGTAAAACACTAGTGTTTGTGTGAGAAATGGTCTCCAGTAGATTTTCAGATGAATCCAACATTTTAACATATTGAAATCTAGATTTTACATTTTATTATGCTTACAAGACTAAAAGTAAATGTAGATTTATATGATGAAATTCAAATCATGATCATGGCTGAGCTATATCATATTAAGAATGTATATAATCTTTAATTTATTTTCATGAATACGTACAATAACATTGAGTGCAATAATAATGAATGATTGGAATGCACCATTCTACACTGATTATCTACAAATTATTTTTATGTCACCAAAAGTGGTAACATATTGTTATAGTCTCCAACTTTTTTGTGGACGGTGTTCTGTATCTGGCAGTCGGAGTTCAGAATCTATAACAAATGGCAGGTGGTGATATTTTGCATATTAATGCCTTGTTTTAATTTTTATTTAGAACATAGATGGTTTTTAAAGATTTTGCCAAGTGCTGTTTCAAAAGCCAATACATATGTTTTGTTAACAGATGTGTGCAGCTGGGTCATACAGATTTCAAACTTTTTTGTCAAAAATGAGTCCACCAATTGTCATGTTTTTTCCTACTGTCAAAAATTATTTTATGATGGATTAAAAGTTCAATGTAAATTGTCTAAACACCCTGTATGCATTAATAATGTGCCAACTGAGTTTGAAACTACCCAAACTATTACATTGCCACATCATGCATTTAAAATAGGAGACCTCTTAGAAGTAAAATTATAAAAAATCTCATGTGAAACACATTACTTATGCATTACATAGTGTAGAGTTGTGATGGGTTATTTTATTTGACTGATAATAATTTAGGCATATTATTTTTGGAACGTATCTCATTCTAACATGAAAGAACAAAGATATTCTTCAATGCAGATTGTCATAGCAATTATCAGGGAGTATATAGCACCTTATATGGTAGGGTTTGATAGTATATAGCACCTATATGAAAGGGCTATATAGCACCATATATGGTAGGGCCATACAGAATCATACATAGCATCTTAATACTACAAGGATGATTGGCTCCCAGAACTCAATCTCGATATTTTCCATCAATGAAACCGATCTTCAAGGATGTCAATGATAGCAAAATTCAAAATCAACAGCCACCATTTTTTCACTTAAAAATTTGAATCGCAGTTTCTGTCTTATATCAGAAAAGAATTTCAAAACACAAGATCACAATCAAGGTAAATCTTTTGGATCGCTAATTATGAATTTATAGTCAGTTATAATGCCTGAAAATAAAGATACTGAAGGCATTTTCAATGTTGATATCGATCAATGACAAGGTCTAATATCGAGTTGTGTCCCTGGGAATCAATTCTCCTTGTTATACTATATAAAAATATAGCACCTTAGATGGTAGGGTCATTTAGAATATAGCACTTATATAGAAGGGCTATATGAATAAAGCACCTTATATGATAGTATAGAGTATAGTACCTTACATTGTGTTGTATTTTGTAATAGGACAATTAATTACAATCAATGAAAACTAATAAATTATGTGTAGCATAAATAATTTATTTCAATCATGTAGTCATATAGAAATTATTGACTGAATCAAAGTAGTGCAATGATGTCTATAACAGTGTATAATTGACTGTATACATGTTTTCTGTGATGAATAAAAGTAATAATATTTTTGAAATGTAGAAACACGAGTAATTCTGTTGATTTTATTACCATGTATATATAAGTTAATGATTTGACTGTGTGATTCCACTTTGGCAAAAAGTTTAAAATTGTATCTCTCTTATACAAGTATGAAGCATTTAACAAATTACTTAACAATAATCCTACTCTCTTGATGGAAACATTCTGAATTGTTGTGTTGTTCAGGAGTCCCTTTTAGACATTAACCAAATGACAAACACAATCTGCAGTATAATAAGACGCTAAACTCAATCCCAAACCCATTTAGTGTCCAAACTATAGTTTGACAGATTTACATATTAACAATTTCCTAGCTATCTACATTTGAAGTCTACATAACAGTTCAGCATTTAACTTCAACTCCTAGTTGTGTACATATCCTTATCTTCATCCTTACTCTGTCCCTTGTCACCTGTGATGGGGGTAGTGGCTGAAGTTGGAGGTGGCACTATGGTGTCCTTGGCAGGGGTACCTGGTTTACTCTCACTCTGGAAGGTAGGGACAGAAATTAGGTTTGTAAATCAAAACAGTGACCCATAGCTAAAGAGACCCATTCCATATATACCAGTTATGACAAAATGCCAAAGGTTCAAAATCTGAGTCAGTGGACAGAACCACCTCAGGTCTGTAGCCAGGATTTCTCGGTTCTCGGTCTCGGTTCTCTTTTTGTTAAATTTACATTCAGATTTAATGCACCGCGCTTAATACCTAATTCAGTAATTGACTTAATTATCATTGTATCATTTCCCTCAGATATTGAATGGATCATAAAGATATGCCTATCTAGGGGGGCCAATAATGCTATATAGCCTTGGCCCCTCACAATCTATGTAAATAATTATGTTGAATAATATGGAAATAAATAACAATAACCCCAAAAAAAAAAATGCCTATCTTCGTGGTCAGAATAGCATTATAATTCAAGATATAACTGTCTAATATTGTTTGCAATAACCTATATGTCTTGCAAATTCTGCTACAATATTAACTTTTAATGTCAATTAAATTATGTTTTTGTCACTAGTTTGTCAAATATTGATCATAAAAGAGTATAACGTTCCTTCATTTCTCTTTTTAATTGTTATATGTCATCCATTCATTCTGACACTAATCCTATTTTATTAAAGATTTAAATTTTAAAAATACACTTCATTATAAAATATTGATTCTAAAAGATACACTGTTGCTTCATTGTGAATTCGTAACTTTTCAGAAAAAATCTATTATTAAGATTGAATTAAATGGCCAATTACTATGTTTTAATATTCTGATGTTGAAATGATTTTGCTCCTACTAGAAATCCCGTCCTTGTGATAGTTTCGAACAGGACTAATACGTTACATAGCCCCAGTGAGCACAGTAAATTGTTTAATCCATTCTGATACTCATCACATTCTGCCTTTGTTCAACGAGAAATATGAAGGCCATGCTTCCTCAATGATGGGGTACAATTTAAGGCATTATAGAGAGAATGTAATTTTTTCATAATAATGTGTAGACCAATGAGCGAGTGGGGAATATGACAGCGATATAATAACTGTCACTTGGAAGAAATACATTGTTTCCAATCAGTTTCACCAATCAATGGACAAGAGGTGTGGTCTAATCAGCCTATAAATGGTTTGACAGAGTACCTTGCAATGTTCACACTCTTCATCTTCCTTCTTGTTGTCATAGAAACCTTTAGGTGCTACTTGAGATGTTGTCTGGGGCTTTAGTAACTCATCAGGTTGAACAGCTGGCTCTGAAAGTACAAGGGGACAAACATGAGTTAAGATGGATAGAATTTCATGACGGTGACAATCCAGGCCCCATATATCACGGGCAAGATCCCGCTTACAACACGAGCAATGAGCTCATGTTAAAATATAGGTTGAAGAACGATGTTGCCCTGTAATTGAAATAGCTATTGTACTATGAAATAAAATTGTACTAAGTTTCACTTACTAAAGTTCCATAGAAACGTTTATATTTCAATTTTATCATATCTCTCAAGGCCCCGCTTCTAACATGAGCTCATTGCTCACAATGTCAGCAGGGCCTGGATAGTGGATAGACACTATGCTGATTGTATGATGCCAAATCAGAGATTAAGAAATAATGATCAATGCCACCAGTAACCTTATGGGTATCCAACTACTATACAAAAAAGAACATATGAGTTAAGATCAAATGGATCAAACAAACAATTACAGATCACTTCATTTGTGCTTTGAAAATGTCCCCATCATTTTTCCTGATCTTTTGGTCCATAAAATATAAAATATTAATTCCTTTTGGGATGACAAATTACAGATTATGGATGATAATCTTCGTTGATCTAAATGGTAAGATTCATACAGAGAAGTTTAGATCAAAGAAAGTCAAAAGCGATCAATTAGATTACTGCCTTTCTACTGATTTAAAACAATACAAGTTGAAAATAAAGATTGCAAATGATAATCTCATTAAAGCTTACTCATGTAGAGATAAATTAGGATCAAAAAGAAACAGTAACAACCAATCAGATCCCTGCATTTGTATGATGAAACAGATATAAAACAGAGAATGAATGCCACCAGAATACCACAGAAGATAATCTTCCTTGATCTTAATCCTTAAAGTTGATTATTCCCAGGGGTGATTCACATAGAGATAAGGTAGGATCAAAGAAAAACAGTAACAACCAATAAGAACACTGGATTTGTGTGATTATACTGATATAAAACATTACCTGCTGAGAGGATAGATAACAGAAGATAATCTCCATTGATCTTAATCTTATAAGCTTATAACCCCAGGGGGTGACTCAAGTTGAGATAAGTTGGATCAAAGGAAAACAATTACAACCAATCAGATCACTGCAATTGCTAGATCCTACTGTTAAAAAACATTACCTGCTGAGAGGTAAGATCATAGAATATAATCTCCATTGATCTTAATCCTTTAAGCTTATTAACTCTAGGGGGTGATCAGAGAGATGATTTAAGATCAAGAGGATCAAGGGAAAACAATTAACTCCAGGGGGTGATTCAGAGAGATGATTTAAGATCAAGAGGATCAAGGGAAAACAAAAGCAACCAATCAGAATGCAGGATTTCTGCAAAGAGGTATATAAGTCAGAATTTTTCTGTAGAACATCAGACTTATGTCAATGATCTATACAGTGAATACAACAGTGAAATAAAATTTGATATATATTAAGTATGGCCTACGAATGTGATACTCCAGCAAGACATGCTATGTTTAAAACTGCTACTCCAGTCAGCAAGAAGACTACAAACACATTCGGGTCACCATTCTCAATTCGTAGCCTGCTGAATCTGAGTGATGAGACATCATTTGAATCTACACCACAATCTAAAGTAGCAACCTGCAGCAGCAGCATCATGTCAAGCCTCTCCTCGCATCCTGCTGACTTAACCAGGACTCTAGCTGCTGATATAAACACTCCAGCTAAGATGTCACAGTCGCCCAAGACTGTATCGCCTCAGCTGATCCCAGTACCAGCCTGTATCTCTGCTCTGGAGGAACACTTCTACTCACTCAAGCACCAGATGCGTGATCCTACCAAGCTGCTGGAACTAGAGGTCTACTATCGTCAACAGGTCCATCAGCTGGAATATGGGCGATATGCCCATTTGACAACCTGCTTACCCATGTATCAACATGCCATCAACATCCAGTTCGACCATCAGCTCCGCCAGCTGGTTGATCAAGTGGAATGCAGCATGAGAATCTTGGAGACATCTACCATCACTAAGGACAGCATTCGCAACAACCTTACCATAAGAGAGGCTGGGAATTCACTGGAAAGCTATCTGCCTCAGCCGATAATGACATCAACTCCAAAGAAGAAATCTGGGATTCTCAAGAAGAAATATCGTAACCGTGGAGTATACAGCTATCACGCTAAAGAAGTGCTCGAGACTTGGTACGCAGTCAACAGCCCCTACCCCACTACCGACATTATCCTCTCTCTCGCCACCAAGGCTGGGCTCTCCACGTCCCAGGTTCGCAAATGGTTCTGCAACAAACGACACCAGTGTGGACATGTCAACAGGAAGCTTGTTCGCCATCTACATCAGCATAATGAACCCGTTCCCAACAGCTCTGTGCAGTCTTGGATGTAACATTACACATTCACCAGTGGACTTACAGTGAATGCAATATTAAATTGCCAAATTGTATAAAATGTGTACATATATTTGTAAATATAGTTTGTCGATTAAATAATTTGTTTTTATAAAATAAAGTATATAAAAATCAAATACTTTTTTCTGTTGTAATTTGTTTGGTTAGCCTGTTTGGTTAAGTGAAACATAAATACAAGTTCTCCATTGTACTCTAAATATTCTTTATTCATAACTCTATGCAATACCCTAAAAATCAATTTGAAAACCGAGAGAAAATACACAGTCAGTTGTAAAATGGTACAATTCACTTTATTTTTGAAATTGTAGTAAGTAACATGTATAATCATCTTATTGTTGAGATTTTAGATCGCAAAATATAATCTTTCTTGATCTTTTAAGCTTATAACCGCAGGGAGTGATTCATGTAGAGATATAAGTTAGGATCAAAGGAAAACAATTACAACCAATCAGATCACTACATTTGTTAGATCCTACTGTAAAAAAACATTACCTGCTGAGAGGGACGATCATAGAATATAATCTCCCTTGATCTTAATCCTTTAAGCTTATAACCCCAGGGGGTGATTCATTTAGAGATATAAGTTGGGATCAAAGATAACAGTAACAACCAATCAGATCACTGCATTTGTTAGATCCTACTGTTAAAAAACATTACCTGCTGAGAGGAAAGATCACAGCACACAATCTCCCTTGATCTTAATCCTTTAAGCTTATAACCCCAGGAGGTCACTCCTGTAGAGCTATGAGTTGGGATCAAAGATAACAGTAACAACCAATCAGATCACTGCATTTGTATGATCAAACAGGTATAAAACAGATATCTCAGCTGAAAATGAATACCACCAGAATACCATAGAAGATAATCTTCCTTGATCCTAATACTTTATGCTGATTATCCCCAGGGGGTGATTCACCTAGAGATAAGGTGGGATCGAATGAAAACAGTAACAACCAATAAGAACACTGGATTTGTTTGATCATACTGATATAAAACATTACCTGATGAGAGGATAGATCATGGAAGATAAACTCCATTGATCTTAATCTTATAAGCTTATAACCTCAGGGGGTGACTCAAGTTGAGATAAGTTGGATCAAAGGAAAACAATTACAACCAATCAGATCACTGCATTTGTCAGATCCTACTGTTAAAAAAACATTACCTGCTGAGAGGAAAGATCAGAGAGGATAATCTCCCTTGATCTTAATCCTTTAACTCCAGGGGGTGATTCAGAGAGATGATTTAAGATCAAGAGGATCAAGGGAAAACAAAAGCAACCAATCAGAATGCAGGATTTCTGCAAACAGGTATATAAGGCAGACAATTTCTGTTGAACATCAGACTTCTGTCAATGATCTTTACAGTGAATACAACAGTGAAGTACAATTTGATACATCTGAAGCATGGCCTACAAATATGATACTCCAGCAAGACATGCTATGTTTAAAACTGCTACTCCAGTCAGCAAGAAGACAACAAACACATTCGAGTCACCATTCTCAATTCGTAGCCTGCTGAATCTGAGTGATGAGACATCATTTGAATCTACACCACAATCTGAAGTAGCAACCTGCAGCAGCATCATGTCAAGCCTCGCCTCGCAGGACTCTAGGACTCTAGCTGCCAATATAAACACTCCAGCCAAGATGTCACAGTCACCCAAGACTGTATCACCACAGCAGATTCCAGTACCAGCCTGTATCTCTGCTCTGGAGGAACACTTCTACTCACTCAAGCACCAGATGCGTGATCCTACCAAGCAGCTGGAACTAGAGGTCTTCTATCGTCAACAGGCCCATCAGCTGGAATATGGGCGTTATGCCCATCTGTCAAACTGTCTACCCATGCATCAACATGCCATCAACATCCAGTTTGACCATCAGCTCCGCCTACTGGTTGATCAAGTGGAACACAGCATGAGAATCTTGAAGACATCTACTATCACTAAGGACAGCATTAGCAACAACCTTGCCACAAGAGAGGCTGGGAACTCACTGGAAAACCGTCTGCCTCAGCCGATAATGACATCAACTCCAAAGAAGAAATCTGGGATTCTCAAGAAGAAATATTGTAACCGTGGAGTATACAGCTATCATGCTAAAGAAGTGCTCGAGACTTGGTACGCAGTCAACTCTCACAGCCCCTACCCCACTACCGACATTATCCTCTCTCTCGCCACCAAGGCTGGGCTCTCCACGTCCCAGGTTCGCAAGTGGTTCTGCAACAACCGACACCAGTGTGGACATGTCAACAGGAAGCTTGTTCGCCATCTACATCAGCACAATGAACCCGTTCCCAACAGCTCTGTACAGTCTTGGATGTAACATTACACATTCACCAGTGGACTTACAGTGAATGCAATATTAAATTGCCAAATTGTATAAAATGTGTACAAATGCTTGTAAATATAGTTTTTTGTAAATTAAATAATTTGTTTTAATAAAATAAAATATATAAAAATCAAATACTATTTTCTGTTGTAATTTGTTTGGTGGTTAGCCTGTTTGGTTAAGTGAAACATAAATACAAGTTCTCCATTGTGATCAGGATATTCTTTATTCATAACTCTATGCAATACCCTAAAAATCAATTTGAAAACTGAGAGATAAAACACAGTCAGTTGTAAAATAGTGCAATTCACTTTATTTTTGAAATTGTAGTAAGTAACATGTATAATCATCCTATTGTTGGGATTTAAGATCGCTAAATATAATCTTTCTTGATCTGTATATTTTAAGCTTATAATCCCAGGGGGTGATTCATGTAGAGATATAAGTAAGGATGAAAGGAAAACAATTACAACCAATCAGATCACTGCATTTGTTAGATCCTACTGTTAAAAAAACATTACCTGCTGAGAGAAAAGATCACAGCATACAATCTCCCTTGATCTTAATCCTTTAAGCTTATAACCCCAGGAGGTCATTCCTGTAGAGCTATGAGTTGGGATCAAAGATAACAGTAACGACCAATCAGATCACTGCATTTGTATGATCAAACAGGTATAAAACAGATATCTCAGCTGAGAATGAATACCACCAGAATACCATAGAAGATAATCTTCCTTGATCCTAATACTTTATGCTGATAATCCCCAGGGGGTGATTCACCTAGAATGGTGGGATCAAATGAAAACAGTAACAACCAATAAGAACACTGGATTTGTTTGATCATACTGATATAAAACATTACCTGATGAGAGGATAGATCATGGAAGATGAACTCCATTGATCTTAATCTTATAAGCTTATAACCTCAGGGGGTGACTCAAGTTGAGATAAGTTGGATCAAAGGAAAACAATTACAACCAATCAGATCACTGCATTTGTTAGATCCTACTGTTAAAAAAAACATTACCTGCTGAGAGGATAGATCAGAGAGGATAATCTCCCTTGATCTTTATCCTTTAATAGGGGGTTGTTCAGAGAGATGATTTAAGATCAAGAGGATCAAGGGAAAACAAAAGCAACCAATCAGAATGCAGGATTTCTGCAAACAGGTATATAAGACAGACAATTTCTGTGGAACATCAGACTTATGTCAATGATCTTTACAGTGAATACAACAGTGAAGTACAATTTGATACATCTGAAGCATGGCCTTCAAATATGATACTCCAGCAAGACATGCTATGTTTAAAACTGCAACTCCAGTCACTAAGAAGACTTCAAGCACATTTGAGTCACCATTCTCAATCCGCAGCCTCTTGAATCTGAGAGAGGAGACATCACTTGAATCTACACAACCGGCTAAACTCGCACCCAGCAGCATCATGTCAAGTCTGACTCTAGCTGCCAATATAAACACTCCAGCCAAGATGTCACAGTCGCCCAAGACTGTATCGCCTCAGCTGATCCCAGTACCAGCCTGTATCTCTGCTCTGGAGGAACACTTCTACTCACTCAAGCACCAGATGCGTGATCCTACCAAGCTGCTGGAACTAGAGGTCTTCTATCGTCAACAGGCCCATCAGCTGGAATATGGGCGATATGCCCATCTATCATCCTGTCTACCCATGCATCAACATGCCATCAACATCCAGTTTGGCCATCAGCTCCGCCTACTGGTTGATCAAGTGGAACACAGCATAAGAATCTTGGAGACATCTACCATCACTAAGGACAGCATTTGCAACAACCTTGCCATAAGAGAGACTGGAAATTCACTGAAAAACCGTCTGCCTCAGCCAATAATGACATCAACTCCAAAGAAGAAATCTGGGATTCTCAAGAAGAAATATCGTAACCGTGGAGTATACAGCTATCACGCTAAAGAAGTGCTCGAGACTTGGTACGCAGTCAACTCTCACAGCCCCTACCCCACTACAGACATTATCGTCTCTCTCGCCACCAAGGCTGAGCTCTCCACGTCCCAAGTTCGCAAGTGGTTCTGCAACAAACGACACCAGTGTGGACATGTCAACAGGAAGCTTGTTCGCCATCTACATCAGCATAATGAACCCGTTCCCAACAGCTCTGTGCAGTCTTGGATGTAACATTACAAATTCATCAATGGACATTCAATGTTTACATTATTAAATTGTTCAAAATGTGTAAATATACTTGTAAATATAGTTTTTTGTAAGTTAAATAATTTGTTTTTATAAAATAAAATATATAAAAATCAAATACTATTTTCTGTTGTAATCTATGTGTTTCGCCCTGTTTAGTCATGTGAAACAAAAATACAACATTCCCCATTTGTGGAACTTAAGACAACCTATAAATATAATCTTCCTTGATATTTTCTCCAAGGTGTGACTCATGTAGAGAGATGAGTTGGGATGAAAGAACAGTATCAACAAACAAGAATGCTGCATTTCTGAGATCAAACAATAAATACTGTAGAACATTTTCCACTGGGATAACTGTATATAACCCAAGACAATCAGATCACTACATTTCTAAGATCCTCTAAACATATGTGCTTGGAATCAAAGACAAACAGCAACAACCAATTAGATCACTGTATTTCTAAAATCCTACTAATATATAACACTAGCTGTTGAGAGGAAAGATCATGGAAGATATTCTACCCTTGATATTAATCCTTTAAGCTGATTATCCCCTGGGGATGATTCATGTAGCGATAATTTGGATCAAAGGAAAACAGCCAATCAGATCACTGCATTTGTTAAATCCAACAGATCAAAATCAAACATTACCTACACATTTCATAGATGCTTATCTCCTTTAAGCTGATTATCCCCAGGGGGTGACCCATGTAGAGATATAAGTTGGGATCAAAGATAACAGTAACAACCAATCAGATCACTACATTTGTTAGATCCTACTGATAAAAAACATTACCTGCTGAGAGGAAAGATCATAGAATATAATCTCCCTTGATCTTAATCCTTTGAGCTTATTACCCCAGGGAGTGATTCATGAAGAGATATAAGTTGGGATCAAAGATAACAGTAACAACCAATCAACAGCTTTTCTTAGAATTCAATAAAAGTAAAACATTACCCTGTAACATTAAAGATCACAAGATATCCCCTGAACTTCATCTTTCCCCAAGGGGTAACTTGTGTAGAAGTGCCAACAGGGATATACCAAAATGGGGTAAAAAACAGAGCAAGAAAATGAAGCATTTACTACTATTATACTTACATCTACTATTATCTAACAAGTAAAGAAGCAAGGTCTAATACCCCTCTCCACTACCATTTAAGAACCTTATCAAAATCCAAGACCACAAGCTATATTTTTGATAATGATTTTGACCAGTTAATAAAAGAACCAACAAGAATCACACCAACATCTGCTACTTGCATTGATCTCACAGTCACTAATGTCCCAGGTCTTATAAATTCTTCTACTGTAATTGAACCTATAGGCTCATCAGACCATTGTTCAATTTTTACTCAACTCGATGTACTATTAAATAGAGAGGAAGATCAATTTAAACTTATTTGGAAATATGATACTGCAAATAAAGATGCCTTGAACCTTGAAATTGAAAAAATAAATCTGGGATTCTCAAGAAGAAATATTGTAACCGTGGAGTATACAGCTATCATGCTAAAGAAGTGCTCGAGACTTGGTACGCAGTCAACTCTCACAGCCCCTACCCCACTACCGACATTATCCTCTCTCTCGCCACCAAGGCTGGGCTCTCCACGTCCCAGGTTCGCAAGTGGTTCTGCAACAACCGACACCAGTGTGGACATGTCAACAGGAAGCTTGTTCGCCATCTACATCAGCATAATGAACCCGTTCCCAACAGCTCTGTGCAGTCTTGGATGTAACATTACACATTCACCGGTGGACTTTCAGTGAATGCAATTAAATTGCCAAATTGTATAAAAATGTGTACATATATTTGTAAATATAGTTTGTCGATTAAATAATTTGTTTTTACAAAATAAAGTATAACTAGATTTGTAAATTGAACAAAGTTCAATTTAAGACTCCAGATTGATTTACTTGAGTAGGTAGCTGAGTAAGTAACTGAGTAGCAAGCTGAGTAAGTAGATGATTAAGTAATTGAGTGAGTAGCTGAGTAGGTAGCTGAGTAGGTAGCTGAGAAGGAAGCTGAGTAAGCAGCTGAGTAGGTAGCTGAGTAGGTAGCCGAGAAGTAGGTAGCTAAGTAGGTAGCCGAGTAGGTATGTAGGTAGGTAGGTAAGTAGGAATTTTTGACCGAAAGTCGGATTGAAATTTGGTTTGCAGATTCAGATTCCTGGGAAAATTCTACCCTTATTTCATAACTCATACATTAAATTTGGAGATTTTTTATTTTGACCCACTTTTAGGACGCCATATCTCAAAAATGGGTCAAAATACTTTCTGACGGCAAAAGGCTATCACTATTAACACACTCTTTTCTACCTGTATACAAAATTTTGAAGCAAATCCTAAAAGTGTAGTGCCAGAATCGTAAAAATAAGGAAAAACTAGGAATTTGACCTAGATTTTGACCTAGGCATTTTGGTGTCCAAATATTGAAACTAGGTAGCTTTTGAGGTCCCCTTCTTTTATAGGAATTCATTATCTTAAGCTGTACTCAGTCTATATCTCGTATTTTACACTTCGAAAAAATCTTTTTTCCTTGACTTTCTATCAGAATAACATCAGATCGATTTTCTGAAATTTCAAAACGCCATAACTTCCGAACCGGAAGTCGGATAGAAATTTGATTTAAAGATTAGGATTCCTGACAAAATTCTACCCCTAATCCATAACTCATACGTTAAATTTGGCGAATTTTTATTTTGACCTACTTTTTGGACACGCCATAACTTTGGAACCGGAAGTCGGATCGAAATTTGGTTTGCAGATTCGGATTCCTGATAAAATTCTACCCCTAATTCATAACTCATACGTTAAATTTGAAGAATTATTTATTTTGACCTACTTTTGGGACACCATATCTCAAAAGTGGGTCAAAATACTTCCTGACGGCAAAAGGCTAACACTATTAGCACACTCTTGGCTACATGTATACACAATTTCGAAGAATATAATTAAAGTGTAGTGTCAGAATCGCAAAAATAAGGAAAAACTATGAATTTTAACTAGATTTTGACCTAGGCATTTTTGTGTCCAAATTTTTAAGCTAGGTGGCTTTTGAGGTCCCCTTCTTTAAAAAGCTTCCATTATATTTAGCTGAACTCAGTCTATATTTCGTATTTTTCACTTCAAAAAAATCTTTTTTCCCATTGACTTAACATGGGCACCAAGTTTAGCGATTTTTGAGCTTTCAAAACGCAATAACTTCCGTACTAGATGTCGGATCGAAATTTAGTTTGCAGATTCAGGTTCCTGAGATCATTCTACGCTTATTTCATAGCTCATATGTTGAATTTGGAGAACTTTTTGTTCTGACCTACTTTACGGACGCCATATCTCAAAATCGGTACGAGTAATTAAAAATCTGATGGCATATCTTTGAAAGAGCTGTTTCTATGCTACATGATGAAAAAAAGACAAAGTTGTTTCAATAAATAACGATGAAGATAATTGAAAGAATGTTGAAAATGCAAGATTTGACCTAGTTCTTGACCTTTGACCTAGATAAAAATTTGACCTAATTTCCCATCATCCCAGATGCATTCCCTAGTTTATCATGTAAGCAGCTTAAAGTAAGCTCTTCTAGTTGGTGAGAAATCTTGTAAGGAGGAAGATTCTGAAAGAAAAATAATAATAATAAGAAAACTGGCAAAAGCAATAGACTCCAGATTTTCATCTGGAGTCTAATAAAGTATAAAAATCAATCACTATTTTCTGTTGTAATTTATGTGGTTCGCCCTGTTTAGTCATGTGAAACAAAAATATAAGTTTCCCATTGGTGGACCTATAAATATCATCTTCCTTGATCTCTATCTTATAAGCTTATTTTCCCCAGGGTGTGACTCATGTAGAGATATAAGTGATGAAAGGGATAAAAGAACAGTATCAACAAACAAGAATGCTGCACTTCTTAAGATCAAACAATAAATAGAACATTTTCCACTGGGATAATTGAATATAACCTCCCCTTCAATCAGATCACTGCAATTCTAAGATCCTCAAAACCTATGTTCTTGGAATCAAAGACAAACAGCAACAACCAATAACCTAGAAGCGAGTAGAAATACTCTTGAGTTACGTCATTAAAAATTCACAATTCAAAATTGATGTCATATTTGGAATCTACATGTAAAATTACACCTAGAAATGTGGTTTTGAAAAGAGTTTATCAACTTTGAAAAATTAATTTTCTTTGAAAATGTGACTTCTTGGTCGGGGAGATTCCCCATAGACCCCATGCTGTAAAACCACAAAAAGTGAAACTGGTAACTACCTACTCGCATCTGAGTAATATCCCAGATGCGAGTAGAAATAATCTTGATTTATGTCATTAAAAATTCACAATTCAGTCAAACTGATGTCATATTTGGAATCTACATGTAAAATTACATCTAGAAATGTGGTTTTGAAAAGAGTTTATCAACTTTGAAAATTTAATTTTCTTTGAAAATGTGACTTCTAGGTCGGGGAGATTCCCCATAGAGCCCATGTTGTAAAACCACAAAAAGTGAAATATCTTTTCTTGTGTTGGGCAGATAATATTTTCTTTTACTGGACATATTTTAATTTGTATAATTATCAGATACATAAAGGTAATATGAAAAGTGAACCATTAAAACTGATGCATATTCAAGTTTAAGGGAATTTTGTAATACCCTGCCATGTTAATTCCCCCGAATCAGCCACCTGGTGGCGAAACTGGTAACTACCTACTCGCATCTGAGTAATTAGACTCAATTATTACTGGACATATTTATAAGTTTCCCATTGGTGGACCTATAAATATCATCTTCCTTGATCTCTATCTTATAAGCTTATTTTCCCCAGGGTGTGACTCATGTAGAGATATAAGTGATGAAAGGGATAAAAGAACAGTATCAACAAACAAGAATGCTGCACTTCTTAAGATCAAACAATAAATAGAACATTTTCCACTGGGATAATTGAATATAACCTCCCCTTCAATCAGATCACTGCAATTCTAAGATCCTCAAAACCTATGTTCTTGGAATCAAAGACAAACAGCAACAACCAATAACCTAGAAGCGAGTAGAAATACTCTTGAGTTACGTCATTAAAAATTCACAATTCAAAATTGATGTCATATTTGGAATCTACATGTAAAATTACACCTAGAAATGTGGTTTTGAAAAGAGTTTATCAACTTTGAAAAATTAATTTTCTTTGAAAATGTGACTTCTTGGTCGGGGAGATTCCCCATAGACCCCATGCTGTAAAACCACAAAAAGTGAAACTGGTAACTACCTTCTCGCATCTGAGTAATATCCCAGATGCGAGTAGAAATAATCTTGATTTATGTCATTAAAAATTCACAATTCAGTCAAACTGATGTCATATTTCGAATCTACATGTAAAATTACATCTAGAAATGTGGTTTTGAAAAGAGTTTATCAACTTTGAAAATTTAATTTTCTTTGAAAATGTGACTTCTAGGTCGGGGAGATTCCCCATAGAGCCCATGTTGTAAAACCACAAAAAGTGAAATATCTTTTCTTGTGTTGGGCAGATAATATTTTCTTTTACTGGACATATTTTAATTTGTATAATTATCAGATACATAAAGGTAATATGAAAAGTGAACCATTAAAACTGATGCATATTCAAGTTTAAGGGAATTTTGTAATACCCTGCCATGTTAATTCCCCCGAATCAGCCACCTGGTGGCGAAACTGGTAACTACCTACTCGCATCTGAGTAATTAGATCACTGTATTTCTAAAATCCTACTAATATATAACACTAGCTGTTGAGAGGAAAGATCATGGAAAGAACATTACATACACATATCATAGATGCTTATCTCCCGTTGATCTTAATCCTTTAAGCTGATTATCCCCAGGGGGTGACCCATGTAGAGATATAAGTCGGGATCAAAGATAATCGACCAATCAGATCACTGCATTTGTTAGATCCTACTGTTAAAAAACATTACCTGCTGAGAGGAAAGATCATAGAATATAATCTCCATTGATCTTAATCCTTTAAGCTTATAACCCCAGGGAATGATTCATGGTGGATATTGAAAAACAATATCCACCAATCAAATCAAAGCTTTTGTTCAATCCAACTGGTATTCAAATTTACCCGTGAGAGGAAATTTTACAATAGAAAATCTTAAAATAAAATAAAACACACCTCGTGAGACTATTTACTGTATAGTGAAACAAAATGCATATTTTAAAAATATATGCTTTCACTTATGAGTGAAATCTCTCTATTACCAGGGTAAGACACTGAAAATATTCGCTCAAGACATTTATCGTTGACTGCACACATTAGAACAATTTTAATTGAATGCAACATCCACATGCAAATAAATCTACACCAGGATGAAGATGTGGCCGATGGGATCTTGTTTATAAAGCATTGAATATGGGTGAAGAAAAGTGGGAGGGAAACCATGTAGACTATGAAAAATAATTTGTCAGTAAGCTCAAGCATGATTACCACATAAATACATAATAAAACATAAGATTATAATTTCATTTCCCAATTTTATTACACAAATATATGAGAAGGTTATGCACAATTTCACAATTATATATACAATTATATTTACATTAATTTATACATTTGGCAGATTCATTAAGAGTTCATTTCAACTGAAAACAATACTAAATCCAAGATTGCACAGAGCTGCTTGGCACAAGTTCATTTTGATGATGTAGATGATTAAGCAACTTCCTGCTGACACGTCCACCTCGGAGTCGTTTATTGGAGAACCACTTGCGAACCTGGGATGTGGTGAGATCAGCCTGGTTAGCGAGAGAGATGATAATGTCAGTGCTTGGGTAGGGATTGTGAGAGTTGACAGCGTACCAAGTCTCCAACACAGCTGTAGACTGTTGGCGATACACTGCATGGCGATGAGATTTCCTAGGATTCCCAGATTGCTTCTTAGGAGTTGAAGTCATTATTGGCTGTGGAGGAAACTCTTCGAGAGAGTTCCTAGACTCAAATGCAGCGAGGTTGTAGCTGATGTTGTCTTGGGTGATGAGAGATGTCTCCAGGAGTCTGATGCTGCGTTTTACTCGACCAATCAGAAGGCGGAGTTGATGGTCACACTGGATGTTGATGGTGTGTTGATGCATTGGTAGACAGTTGGAGAGATGTGTGTAACGCTCAGACTCCACCTGGCGGGTCTGATGATGGTAGAAGGACTCTAATTCCAGTAGCTTGGTAGGATCAGATAACTGGCACTTGAGTGAGTAGATGCGCTCCTCCAGGGCAGAGATACAGGCTGGCACTGGGATCAGCTGAGGCGATACTGTCTGGATCAGCTGTGAAGGCATTTCTCGAGTGTTGATATCTGCAGCGAGAGCTTTGCTTAGCTCATTGAAGCTAGGATGTGAGGCCAGGCTTGACATAATACTCCTTGGAGGTACTTCAGTTGGTTGTGTAGATTGTGATGAAGTCTCTTCCCTCAGATTCAGCAGGGTACGAATTGAGAATGGTGACTCAAATGTGTGTGTAGTCTTCTTAGTGACTGGAGTCTTGGTATCCACACTGCAGGCTGTTTCAAACAGAGCACGTCTTGCTGGAGTATCATATTTGTTAGCCATGCTTAAGAATTTTTAGTATTTATCGAGATGTAGTCACTGTATAGAGCATTGACATAAGTCTGATGTTCTACAAAAATATTCTGTCTTATATACCACTGCGCAGTAATCCTGCAGTCTGATTGGTTGCTTTTGTTTTCCCTTGATCTTCTTGATCTTAACTCATCCCTGCATGAGTCACCCCCTGGAGTTAATCAGCTTAAAGGATTAAGATCAATGGAGATTATATTCTATGATCGTCCCTCTCAGCAGGTAATGTTTTTTAACAGTAGGATCAAGCAAATGCAGTGATCTGATTGGTTGTAATTGTTTTCCTTTGATCCAACTTATCTCAACTTGAGTCACCACCTGGGGTTATAAGCTTATAAGATTAAGATCAAGGATGATTATCTTCTGTGATCTATCCTCTCGGCAGGTATTGTTTTATATCAGTATAATCACACAAATCCAGTGTTCTTATTGGTTGTTACCGTTTTCCTTTGATCCAACTTATCTCAAATTGAGTCACCCCCTGGGATTATAAGCTTATAAGATTAGGATCAAAGGAGATTATTTTTGTGATCTCTCCTCTCAGCAGGTAGTGTTTTATATATGTGGGTTTTGAGAAATGCAGTGATCTGATTGGTTTTTATGATTTAAACTTAATTCTACATCTGGATCACCCACTGGGGTAAATCGACTTTAAAGATTAAAATCAAGGAGAGATCGGGTTCTGCGATCTATCCTCTCAAGTCTCAGTATATGCTTTCGATCTGATGAAGCTTACAAATGCTGTGATCTGATTGGAAGATTTTCAACTTTAACCTCAACTTATCTTTACACGAGTCATCCCCTCGATCTGATCTAACATGTTTTTATTTGACCCAATCATCAAAACCAGTTTACAATTGAAGATTTCAGACTTATATTTCATCATTTTATACTTAGTACGGCATGTTTCTCAAGAATAAAATCGGTTATAATGAAAACACGCGCTACGCGCTAACGCGCCACGCGCCAATGCGCTAATAGAAAATGATCCTTCCCCCACGATGTGTGCGCATGTTTTAAGCACATGTTTATGATTGGTCTATACCCTTGGCCCAGGGACATGTATAATTAGGGTTATGACTCCCTGGGAACTTGTCAAAACATTGACACTTCAAAGACTGTATAAATCACCGCTAACCTGTCAATCAGACTTTGATGTGAACTTTGCGGCCGCAGGAAATAAACAAAGCCTCTCGAAAATTACACTTTTCAAGTTACGATTTCTCTAAAAATATAAGACCAATTAAGATGTTCTTCACACCGTTAAAAAACAGAATTCAACTTCAATTTAGGAAATAATTCCAAAACTAAATGAACGTGTACTTTTCTCTGTATTTGACCTGAAAGAACATGAGTAACTTAGAATTAATAAATATTTACGGCCAATTACCGGACAATGATAAAACACGCTGGTGGGTTAAATCGTCTCTTATTTAAAACTTTAATTCCAAATGAAATACAATCCTGTTTTCAACAATATTCCTGGTAAAATAGGTAATACAATTCACTGGGACTGACGTAATTCAAAACTTTTTACTTTTTAAATCTAAAATCAAATTGAGAAAAACGAAAGCAAACATGAAAGGGGGGTTCATAGGGGTCTTGGAAATCCATATACACTATTTTTCACAAGCCCTTCAGTCTTATACCATTTACAGCATTTTTCACCCCTTTTACATGTATAACATACAGCGTATGCAATATTTTTCACATCTCCCTATATAGACGGTGAACCAACACGATCCTCAGAGAACCAGAGGGTGCATGAATGCACCTACTCCCTATAGTACTATATTTTACAAAAAGGTCGGGTAAATAATATATCTGTACGATAATTTTGAAATTACCGTTGAGAAAAGTTTGGATAATATTCAGAAGGAATTAACATAATTATTTGCATTTGCAAGAATCCACGTAGTACCAAATGTAATCATACGGCAAATAGGCAGTACACAGCCCCGAAGCCAGGGGGGTTCGGAGGGTGACTTTGGAATTTTTGAAAAAGTGACCCCCCCCCCTGGGAAATCCTGGTTACTGTCCTGGCATATGGCATATAGAGACTACTATATAGATATCTGGATTACCCCCATAAACGTGGGACTGATTTTTCAAATCACCCCCACAACCAGGCCCGTAGCCAGAGGGGGAGCTGGGGGAGCGGAGCTCATGCAGTTTTTCACCATTCTGAGATTTTTTTTCATGATTATTAGCCAAAATTGTGAAAAAGCTTCCCCTGGAAAAAAGCTGGCTACGGGCAAGCCCCCACAACTACTTGTGTATTGAAATCCCAAATTTATGGGGATAAGCTGGATCTGCAGTATTCGTTCAAACTGCCTTTAAATTTCATAATAGGCTTCTTTAATTCTTTTAAAACATATGTTTATTTAACTTATACGATGCCATATACGATAAATGTTGCCCCCTCTTATGCGGCCATACACAATAGATTTTCACCCTCCTCTTATACGATAACCCTATACACCCCCCCCCCCCATGAAAGCGAAAGAGAGTAACCGGGCACGAAAAGAAAAATGGAAAAATATAAATGCGACGCCTGAATTATTCCACCGTTTGGTAAGTCATGTGAGATATAACTTCAAATACAAAGAGTAAAGATATAGAGGTAACATGCGACAAATAAACATTATATTAAGTCATTAGTCAAGTAGTCGGGCCCCCGGGTCAGATTTCGAAACGGGATTTTTCTCGCCGATGGATGGACCCAAAGAATGCAATGAAATAGGGAGCATATTCGCATATCTGCGACCATTCATCTTGTAAGGTGCTACTTTCTATCTTCCTTTTAAATCAGATAAAACACACTGACAATCGATAATCTTTGCACAGTTAACGATCAAACATTGGGCTTCTTCATACTTCTGCTTTCTGATGCGCCACCTAATCTCTTCACTCACTCGATTTTTATACATGTTCCCGGGCCTATGGGAACGATCATTCTGAACAGTGCGCTAGTGCGCTAGCGCGTTAGCGCGTAGCGCGTGTTTTCATTATAACCAATAAAATCATTCTGAAACTTCCTCTTCAACATGATTTTTTATCAATCTATCACTCAATACACATTTATATACATTGTTCCTTTTCATCAATCATGACAATAATACTCATACTCAATCATACTCATACTCATTCATACTCAGCACTCATTTATTCACCACAGAGTATTCCATTCATGATTGTCATCACTCTGAAATTCAAAAATTGTTTAAAATTCCGAATGGTGCTGACCACTTTTCATGTATTTGTGAACCAATGAATATTATGTAAAAATGTTTCTATTTAGTTCATAAAGTTTTGAAAAAATCCACTGCCTCCACTCTGAATTCATCAACATACATAACCAAATCATTACACATACCTGAAAACAGGGGGTTAAAGTTCAGGTGGAAATCTTGCGTCAACCCTCTGGCCCAACCCCTATCTAATTCCCTACTTAGAGAAGTTAAACAAAGCCTTGATCCAAGACTAAATAAATATCTAACTTACTTTCTGGGATGTTTAAAACTTGTCTTGCCTCCAGAATGACTCTCTTGTAGCCTCTCCTGGTGATGTCCACAGCTTGGTTTGGGTAGCAAAGTGACAGGGCAGCCGTCATGGATATAACACTATAGGTGCCCTTCTTTAAAACACCACCTAAATCATAATGTATGTACATGTAAAGGCATCAATGTAAAAAGCTAATAAATATTGTGGTTAAACTCAAGTGTATAGAATTGTCACTTATATTCAGGTATGATTGGTAATATGATCCTCTATTGTCTTTTTAAGATCATAGCAATTACTCAGATGCGAGTAGGTAGTTACCAGTTTCGCCACCAGGTGGTTGATTCGGGGGAAATAACATGGCAGGGTATTACAAAGTTCCCTTAATCTTGAATATTCATCAGTTTTAGTGGTTCACTTTTCATATTACCCTAATGTATCTGATTAAAATATGTCCAGTAAAAGAAAATATTATCTGCCCAACACAAGAAAAGATATTTCACTTTTTGTAGTTTTACAACATGGGGTCTATGGGGAATCTCCCCGACCTAGAAGTCACATTTTCAAAGAAAATTGAATTTTCATTCTTTGAATGGTAGAATATCAACAACAAAAGTATTTATCCTATCTGGTCAGAGTGTAGCAAATCGGGTGGTGAGCTCAGGGTACATACAGTACTACATACCTTTATAACCTGCCACTATTCCTCCCAAGCCAGCTACTGTAATAACACCTGCTCTTGGTAGGATGCCAGGGTCATTCTGGATGTAATATATTGTACCTAAGGATGAGTATACGAGTCATGGTTAAAAACGAAATCCATGCATGCATGCAAAATTCAAGCCAAGTAACCAGCTTCATCTATTTGACAAGGCAAACTCTATTGATACATTTACACATCAAATATGAGCAATGAAGTATCATTGCAGTTGAGAAATAGCCCAAGAGGGACAATCTCTTGCTGATTTGACTTGGTTGTGGTCATTTTGTAGCAGAAGTTGTTCAGGTAATAAGAACTCACAAGATGACATATTTTGACTTAATGACAAGATACAAGTACCAAATATGAAAAGATACCTTGAGTGTGGGCCTTCCCAGTTTCATATATTTCTTTTATTCTGTCAGTTGTTTCCTAGATTATAAACAGAAGAAACAAATATATAATTATTTACATTCTGGCATTAAAAAAGTAACAGCATTTCTTTAAAAAAAGTGGTGTTTTTTGGCCCACCATGTATGTTCATGCAATCTTGATAGCATGCACTTCCTCTACACAGTATTTAAATTTGAATACTAATCTTTTTACATAAGCACACAACTTCATTCTTTGTTTACAAAGCTTACATGTAGAACAACTTTTAAGGTGACTCCCAAAGAAGTCCTTAACTCACCTTAAATCTAGCCATATAGGTCCAAACTTGACGTCTTACTGTTGAAACATTTTCTCGAAAGCCAGATATATGTTCATCAACATATTCATACTTTGCGTCATCATTGCTGGGAACATCATAGATTGGGAGCTGCAAGATTAAGGTAATTTACATGTGGCTACAACATGTGTCTACTAAATTAATGAGTTGCTATTACATGTGGCTACCAAATTAAGAATACTTGACTAGAGCAACATCATTAACCCTTCCCCCGCCTTTGAGGATGGAGAGGGGGTAATGTTCAAGTGTCTCTTATCAAATTCATAAAATGTTCAATCATAAAAACTAAAATATGAGTAGAAATAACTTAGAATACAAGTAGTTGCCAGTTACCATCATCGCTACATTGTGCACTATATACACATATACACATCCTTATTGTATGATCTGTAAAATTAAGCCCTCTGATTGGACAGTTCCTATGCTGTACCAATCTGTATTGCTACTGAAATTGTCCCCATTGATCACCTCCGAAGCAATACAGAAAATATTGGTATGGATGTCTCAGTAGCAATATAGAGAATACAAAATATTTCCAAAGGATTATCTCCTAAGTAAAATGTATTGGCCTAAGATCACACGATAAATCGTTATAGAACGATTTGAAGTGCAATACAGGATATATTGTGCTCTCGATATTCTGTATTGGCACTCGACTTCATCTCGTGCCAATACTGAATTTTTCGAGCACAATATATCCTGTATTGCACTTCAAATAATTGAATAACTTATACATGCAGTAAAGTAGTGTAAACCTACTTCATTTCTCTTCACCAACTGTTTATCTTCTGCAGCAAAGACCTTGTATGAAAGAGTTGTAGGGACGGCAAACAGCAAGCCAGCTCGGGCCACACGTACCCACACTCCCTATAATGGGTATAACATTGATTGATTTGTTTGCCAACATTTGAGCTGAGAATACTAAACAATAGGAATGGCAACTCATTTCTCCCCAGCTCCTGTATCACACCTAATACAATACTACTATACTTGTCTACTTCCGTGATGTCACATCCAACATGATCAAAGGTACATTTTGTCACCATATTGAATTGAAAAACCTCCACTCTCCAGAGATTTACTGTATTTAGGTAAGAAAATGTCTAAGCATAAGACATTTACGCATAGAACGCTATAAACTACAATTGTATAGTTATCTATGTGTGTTTACTCAACTTAACTGTTGTTGGGAACTCAATACACATGAAATGCAATGCTAGTAGTAATATAGCAAAATAACTGAGGAGTTCTTTTGTAAAACACAAATTCCAAAGGAATGAAAAAAGACTAGAGAAAACATTGCACACATGCGCATGAGTGATTATAAGGTCAGTGTGTACTTTTTTTGCAATTTTGAAAAGTAGTTTTGGCTGTGTGGTGGGTGTAATGGTTAGAGCTCTGGGCTTTTGGTTCCAAAGTCTGGATTCAAATCTCACGAGTGGAATAATCAAGGTACACTAATGCACCTTTTGTGCAAAAATGAAAGATGTAGACCATGTGTGGAATGAGTTATGTTTATCTGAAAACAGCACATGATGGTTATGAAATTTCATTGAAGTACACACTGACCACCAACCAGATCATTTGATACCCTTTGCATTCGTTCGACTTCACTTCTTAAAAGAGAGCTTCCAGTTCACTCTTTCAATTACAATAAATCTCTGATCTCACCGAGCCAAACAGAGTTGGTTGTCGAAATACAGACAAATTTCTATATGGCCATTTCCATGTAAGTAATAATATGATACTGAACAAATATTTCACTCTATTGAGGTGAATACCTGTACATCTTTCACAAGTGATATTCCACGAAGCCCGAAGGGCAAGTGGAATATCACCTTGTGAAAGTGCTACAGGTATTCACCGAAAATAGAGTGAAATATTTGTTTTATTATATCACTGTCTAGCTAAACATCTCTAATATTATTAAGTCATTAAGTCTTCGGATATTTTTACGAATCTACTCGGTTCGTCTGCCATTTTGACTTAACTGAACTAAATTATTTACACTGAACGAAAACAAATTCTTTGAAAATTCCCGGGAGCGTGGGATATCGCTAGATATCTCACGGTTGTCTTATCTGATTAGCATTGCCATTGAATATCGCCAGATATCCCACGACATGTGACCCGGTTTTGACCAATCATACTGTCGCTAGCTAGATAGTGATATAATAATTCTAGTTACTTCATCAAAATAAGCTTTAAGGAATTCTAGGCGATAAAAATGAACAAAATATTGCTTCTGGGACAAGATCAAACGACTTTTACATATTCTTTACCCTACCTATTTTGTAATTTAACAATCAACACAAGTATACATCAGTGGTAGACTATATCCTATTTAGTCTGAATTATATTCAGACTATAAGCAGGCCTGTCAACTTGGGAACACCTAACATGAGTGACTCGGAAATGTTGAACACCTCCCCTCAAAATGTGGACACCTTGGTCCAAAACTGGACACCTTGATCCAAATTTTGAACACCTTGGTTTAAATTTTATTACATCTTGCCAAATTTTGAACACCTCAAATTTTTCGCGCTCGCTACGCTCGCGTTTCGAACATCCGTCAACGGGGGGGGGGGGGGGGGGGGGGGGGGGTAGGTACGAAAAATTTAGAACAGAATGCGTGACATATACGTAATTCGCGTGAAAAGTCCGAACGGAATGCGTACATTTTTTTCCAACGTTCGTCATTTTTAGAAATTTTTCTACAGAAATATTTTTGCTTGACACTTACCAGGTAAAATGCGTATTTGCGTGACATTTTCTGTCACGCAAAAATAACTGGCGTGACTTCAAATTCTTCAGCAAATGCGTGACAAATACGCAAATTGCGGGACAGTTGACAGGCCTGTATAAGGCACCTATGTTAAAGTTTGGTAATTCTAAATATTTGTTTACATAGGAAGTGCTATTCAAAATGGCCGATTGGGTAAAATTAATTTGCACATTTGTTCCTTCAACTAGCTTTATTTCCACTTGACAATATGCTGTGTTACTTTTTATTGCATTTAATTGTACCTTACTATTTAATTGAAATTTTGTAATGTTTATTTTATTGAAGAAATGGTTCCTCTAATTGATATTTTTGTGCAAAAAATTTCACTGCAATTTCCACAGGAAAGTAGTACATCATAACAGACTGACTTCTAGTCAGTCTGTTGGATACATACTAACATACTTACATCAGTGGCATAACCAGGATTTTGATTGTGAAAACTTGGGGTCCGGGGACATCCCCCTCGGAAAGGGGCCAGAATCACTTTTGGCGATGAATATTGCGATGTATCGATTAATCACGACAACACTATCAATGTCTAGTATTGACAAAAAGTTACTGAAGCACTCTAGAAGTGACATTCCATGCTTAAAAATGATATTTTGTAGGATTTGAGTGATTGGATGACATTTGCAACAGTAGGTCCAATAAGATCTTTTGTAAATTAGCAAATCTAAATGAAAATAAACGCTAACGGTATGATAATTTATTATACACCAATACAGTTTAGTTTTTGCAGATCTGAAAGGTGGGCGATAATATATTATTTTTCTTGTTGAAATTTTGACACCGACTTTACAGGAATCTGGAATACAATAAAGTAATAATGCAATCTTAAATGTAAGAGAAATAACATTATCTAATAAAAAATATACAAAATATGTGATATAACTCTAAACATTACACCAAAAATGTTAAAAATTGAGACAATTTTTTTGAGATTTTACCTGCATATTTCTAAATTCTCAACTTGTTTCAGTGAAACGAAAATGTAATATAGAAAATGTTTGGCACTGCCTTTGCCATTTTCATGAACTAGAGCTTTTGATGATGATTATTTCTCATATTTGACATTACATTTTCAATTATATTTATTCAGGCAGATGAAGTTCACACATTCAATTGGTAAACTGAAGATATATGACTTTTAGTTCTACACTGAGCTCAATAGTACTTCGTTAGCTTATGGGTCTGTAAGAGGTACCTGCCTTTTGTAACACATGATTGCCACAAATTCAACATTGTAAAGGGAACTTTTGAATTGGCTTACATTGTATCTTATAAATATACAGTCAAAACAGTAATGTTTGTGAGTACTTTGAATTTAAAAAATAAGCAATCAAATGACCATATTGAAACAGTTTATGTAAAAATAGAAAAATTTTATTTTTCCTAACTTTTGTTTGTTTGTTTTCTAGTTTAGCTATCATATCTGTGTCCCCTTATATTTTGATACTTCTCTGCCATGTTATTATCGGAAAAATTAACATGGCTGAAACTCCCTAATTTACAAAAGGCCATAGCTTTGCTGCACATTATACATTACTATCTGGAATATACAAAAGTTAGGATAAATATAAATGTTTCTATTTTTACATAAACTGTTTCAAAATGGTCATTTGATTGCTTATTTTTTAAATTCAAAGTACTCACAAACATTACTGTTTTGACTATAGTGCAATAAACAAAATACTTTGCACATTTGGGTCTTTACAGTATTCCTTCCATGCAAGAAGAATGTTCATAGGGTGGGTTCATTAAAGCTTTGAAATAAAGAATACTTGAAAAAGTAGCTGCGAAATTGACAAGTGTATATTTAAGAAAAGGGGGTCATATCAAACATTGACTAGTTTAATGCATTAACTTTGTCGTTTGTACCTACAAACTTTACATCAGAGAGATAGTGACTGAACTATGCTCAGTGAAATTTTGGTGCATTTTAGAGGAAAAATAAAGGTTTTGTGTTCAAAAAACAAATGTTCCGATTTTTTTGGACCACCCTGTATATGGCAGATTTAAAAGTTGGACCAAGTGTTCACATTGACAGGTGTGCAGATAAGATGTGTACAGATACACAATCTTACAACATAATCATTCCATTCAATATGACAATATCTTACTCACTTCGAGAGCCATGTTAGATTTTGAAACTTATTATATCAAAATCCAAATAGCTTTCGCAGGAAGTAAACAATATCGTCTTGAAATACGAGTATGGTTTACTGTGCTGCCATCTTTATAGCGGCCCAGAACCTATGGTTTACAAAAGGGTGAATGGATTTTTTTTCCAAAGCGATAATTTATTCCTCCTGTACCCAAGAATATACATGTAGTGGTCAGGAACACTTTTGTATCAAAAGATTCAAGAGACTAATGCATCAGAATGTTTTGTCAATCCTTAGTGATTTGCAACTGCAAAGATCTACTCCATCCAAATCCTTGATCATATTGTTTTATCTACAAATATTTTATATGAAGTTAATATTATGAAGTGACATGTGTTCTAGGATGAAGTCACAATTGGTTTAGAAATCCCCCAAATTGGGTCCTGGTTCTGCTTAATATGTAATATCTATCCTATATGGCAAAAGAACAGATTCTTAGCTTTTATGACTCCAAATAAGTTGATTTTCTACTAGTCATGAAAATGATGAACACGTGGGAATTCTTCAGATATGTTAAAATAATATAGATGGCAGGTCTTCATATTACCAACAATGCCAATGATCACAACTAGGGGTCCCACGATACAGTATCTTCAATTTCGATACGAGCAACGATATTTACCTCACGATACGATACAAACAATACGAGCAATGTAAGTGCATAACAAATAAATTTATTTAATAAAAACAAATACGTTAACAAGACAAATGTCTTTCTTTTTCTCCATTTATTACCGGAAACTGGAAATACATTCTACGCCGGATTATGCTAGGCGGATAACAAAATGGAAACAGAACAATGGGTAGATACAATCGTATTTAAGCTGCTTTGGAGCATGATTTTGCTGTTTTGGGGAGTTAAAAATGATACAATTTTTTAACTGATATTCAAGGTGAGTATCGATACGCTCGTATCGTGGCGTATTGCTCGAGCAAATCCGAGCAATTGCGGGACCCCTAATCTCAACACATCAACAGATCTCAAACATAATGGCATAATCACTGAACTAAAAGTACATTCTTTTGGTATATATTTTTGCAATTTTTTATTCATGGCTTGGGAGATATGGTACATATATTAGCATTGTTCATAGAAAATCAAGTAAAAACAAAACAGAATACAAATGAGATATCAATCAGTCCATCAAGATCACATCGTTAACTCCATTATTGCATTTACTATATCATTATCGTTATTTTTGAGGGCTTTTACTGCTTTTCCACGCGAGACGTTCGCTTGCGACATGACAAGTTCAATGTCCTTTCCTTCCACACCACCCTCATCAATCTGCAAATACAATGACGTTTTGTAAATACCAAAGTATAAATAAATAAATATATGTTCAAAGGGGCACACTTGCACTCAACTTTTTGAAATTCACTGAGCAGATAATTTTACACCATCAACCTAAATGTGCTTTTAACAGCGAAATCATAATTAATAAATAAGCACATCTAATTAGCTTGGGAAAACTGATAGCTAAAAGTGTCTCAAATGTTAGAATGGGTGCTTTCTATACACCACCAATCAAATAACAGATATCTATAAGTTACATATACACAGTATAATGTCATGGTTTTAAAGTTATCAGTTAACACTGTTGTCAACTCGTCTTTTTCAATACGCTTATTACTGACCTCTTCCTCATCAGATTCTTCTGCGATGGGTTGTGTCACCATGCTTTGCACATCACCCATAGCAGGTGCTGCGTCGGGGGTTTTGAATTTTTCAGCTGCAGCCATCTGTGCTTGTTGGGCCAGGTCTTCAATCTGAAATAACAAATTTTAACGGATGAAATATTACTCTATAATGTAGAAAGGGAATGTCTTGGGATTATTCATGTTAACAAAGACTGAGCCCACAAACTATGTAGTACATGGGTCTCAACAAAACAATAACATTTTTATGAATTGTTTTGTTTGACAACTTGAATATAAGTCTTACAATGGTGGTGTAAGCTTATGGGTTTGTATCACATTTCTATACCTCTCATCCCAAATCAATGCAGTCATGGCACTAAAGCTACTACATCTCTGGCACAGAGAGGACCTGACTTAAACCTTTTATCAAATTAACGGCTATATTCAATGGAGATTGCCCATGTTCAAAATCAATGTTGAATGATGGTAGCCTCAAGTATTTGGACTCCTAGCCTTTACATTCAGGTTTGAGTTTATCCAACATCTCCACAAATATTGATGGTTTAAGAACATTTTAATCATACCTTGGCTTCTCCAAATACTATGTAGGTATCAGAGGCGGGACTTTTGAATACATCTGGTCGGCTGATGACAAATAAAATGTTCTTTGATTTTCTGATTGTTACTCTGCTCACACCTGTCACTTGTTTAAGTCCTGGAAGAAGAGAGCAATATTATAGTACCTGAATTACACAAAAATTACATCTAGAATACAGACAACTAAATTAGAGAAATTACAACTAAATAACAGAGAAATTATAACTGGAACACAGACATAGAACAACTAAATTAGAGAATACACAAAAATACACTGGATAACATAAATAGTTAGATTAGTCAGAAAATGTGCCCTAGTCACATGAATTACAACTAATATATATGACAAGAAGTCAATGCCTGGATTAAATAGAAATTTGCTTGTTTTCTCGAATGTTATGTTCATTCCCATGTTTGTAAATTAAAGAACACAAGGTTCTGAACAATCAGATGGTTTTGTTCGATAACTTGAATATAAGTCTTACAATGGTAGTGTAAGCTTATGGGTTTGTATCACATTTCTATACCTCTCTTCCCAAATCAATGCAGTCATGGCACTAAAGCTACTGCATCTCTGGCACAGAGAGGAACTAGTTTTATAACACAAACTTTCTCTTGACTTACCAAGTTTGGACATAGCCTTTCTACTTTTCTTCTCACTTCTGCTCTGTTTTGCCTTGCTTACCATCTCCTCTGTGATTCCTGCAGCAGCAGCTACCTAAAAATGGCAGTTAGAATATAAGAATTAGACACTAATTACATAATCTAATGTTTCAATATTCAACATTAGATCTACTCAATTCATTGTACTTTATGTATGAATTGACTACAGCCATTTGAATCAAGATAATCTACATATAAAAAGCCATGAAAGATAATTAATAACTGATCAACCTCAATGAGATCTCCTACTGCTCAAAGTGTTACTTCAGAGAGATAGATCTAGTCTAAATATACCTGGCTTTGGACAGCTGCAGCGGCTGGATCCTGCTCCAAGTCTGGCATAGAATCATCACTATCAGACTCGGTTCCCGATCCATCTGCGACCTTTGGTGCTGGGTCTGCAGCCTTAGCAGGCTCAGCAGCCTTAGTGGGAGCCTCAGCAGGAGGGGCAGCCTCCTGGGCAACTGGCATTGTCTCAACTTCAGCTTCAGATGGCATGATTATTATTCTGAAAATACCACGATTGATTATTAGACTAAACGACAAATCAAGATATTTTTACAAATAAGCAAGCTGAAAGTCACATTCCAAGACATCCTTGTCTGTCAGACATGACGATCAAAACCTGGATAACCTGAAAATGAATGAACATTATTTCTACTTCAAACTTTTCCTTTTGTTGACTATTTCATATATAGAATACACCAATTTATTAATTAGTATCTAATTATACCGACAAATCTATTACCGGCTCTAGTACATTGACTATATTCGTCAGACTAAAACAAATGTGATGGAATGTCAGAATCAACAAGAATTTGAAGTTTGACAACATGCCTATTTTGAAGGAAGAATATGAAAGATTTATCATAAATAAGACCACAAAAATCAATCAAATCCATTAATAATATACAAAAGTTCTTTATATAAGCCTTATATACTGTAACAATGGGGGATAAAGCTGATGTAAGACGATTTTTTACATACCTTCACTGAGACTTTTGTCACAGATTCCAATATGGCGGGAAAGGAAGTAGTGTTTCGTCACTTCCGTGATCAGAGCTCTTCAATTCGAAGTAAAATATTTTCAAAACTCGCACCTGGCAACAAGAAAAGGTACATATTTTTGCCCATATCTCCACTGTACAGCAAGTTATTAACAGTATTTAATGTTCTCTGTAATAATGAATATTTCAGTCAGCAATGTTATGATGATTATGCTCATTGAGTGTGGATAGAGCTCATTATTAGTTGATGAAGTTCATGAAAATTTTAAAAATAAAAAATATTTTTAAGGTACAGCTGGAAAGTAACATTTTGGTAAAAAATTGCTATACCAGCACATGTTATTTTCTGGTACAAAATAAAGTATGAAGACATGTGTCAATTGCCTTGCTTTTTTCAGGAAAGTATCATTACACTGTCTTCTTTAAGAATATCTAGAAGAAGTTCAATGGGAACTCCAGGAAATTCTGATATTTCACAATTTCTTTTTTTCCAAATTTTCTTTCAAAGTTTCCAGACAACACAGGAGCTACCATTGACCTGTTTCCAGGTTTACTAAAAGTAGACAGTGTAATGATACTTTCCTGAAAAAAGCAAGGAAATACACACATGCCTTCATACTTAATTTTGTACCAGAAAATAACATGTGCAGGTATAGCAATTTTTTACCAAAATGTTACTTTCCAGCTGAACCTTAAAGTGAAAGCAGAGCTAGCTTTACCATTCTCTAGGCTATATGGCCACTGTATTGTGGCCATAATCGATACTCCATTGGTCTATTAGACTTGACTTTACATGGGCTGTTCGACTTCTTTTCATTTTGATTGATGTAAATATAATCAGAAACATACCTTTATTATCTTCTCACGCAATGTTAGCCCATATAAATGTACAGGTAGCCTACATGAGTCATGACTGTTGTCTGAATCCCAGTTTTTTTTCATATTTTCAAGTTGAACAGTAAAATAATAATAAAAGTTCTTTCCTCCAATTTGGAAATGTGCCTGCAGGACGACCCCACATTCTTATACCAGGGAGCTCCTGGGCTCATAAACAATAAAGGCCAATAATAACCCATAATTTTATGGGAGTACATATATATATAGACAAAATATGAATGTGACCTGTATTGCAGGAGAGAGTTGACTTAATAGAAATCTAAATGGAGCCAGTCAGTAATGATACCCTTTCAAAAACTCATTGTGGTAGATGGTGTTTAGATGAGAGTTAGTTCAACAAATCATAACCAATTCGGATTAATTTATTAATCTGAATTTTCCTGGAGTCCTATGCCACAAGATACAAAGTATGTCAGATAAGTAATAAGGCTCAGACTACAGGTTTAACTCGTTGAACTAGATGAGAGTGAGATCTCGGTCATTAGACCTTGGTCTCTTTTCAATGTGAGGTTTTGGTACAGGCACATTGATTGATTGATAAATTTTATATGAGTATATCACCCATTATAACATTTCTATTGATAGGGGTATGATTATATTCCCTCATTTGATTTATATTTTTCCTTTCATTTTTAGGGGGTATGTTGTCCTTGTAGATGCACAGTACCTGCTTTGAACCAACAATCTAGAAAATCATGTCGGTGAATTCTTGAAGCAATAACAGAAACTACAAGTGGCATACTATGGTAACCGTTAGAGCATATTAGGAACTGAACAATATATTATTGTGCTGGTGTCTTAAGCCAGGAAGATGCCCAGTGCGGGGGCCATAGCCCCACCGTGTATTGTGCCTTTAAGGGCCCCTGTCCCTGGTGTGCCTACGACACATATAGACTGCTCTACATACATAGAGATTGAAACAGGTATAGCTGATGTATATCATAAAATCCCTTTTGTTATCATTGCATGTAACTTGACTGCATCATTGTGGGATCTACAGCATGTCCTATCACTTGGAATGCACAAAATGCAGCACTTAAAGTGAGAGTGATAGCCCAAATTATCTAAAATGGAATGAAATGCGTACATGTACATAACCCAACTTACCCAAGCCTCAATATGTGAATAATGTAAATTATATAACCAAGGTATATTCATCAAAATTTTTAAAATATCAAACAGACATGCTTAATAAATAAAGAGAATTGTTTCTGTATTTCAGAATCTCCAAGATGTAAAATCTACTTCACAACAAGTGGTGCTAAACCAAACCCATTCCAACTGAAGGTTGCAGGCAGAGAGCAGACATTCCGCTATAAGGCACCATTCACTTTGAAGACAGGAAAGAGGACACTTAAGGCTATAGCAGTGACAAGGTAAAGATACAAAACACCTCACTGTTCTTATTCTTTGGCCATGCTTTGCTTTTGTTCATTCGTTCGCCCACCCAGGACAGGGGTTTTCATTAGCAATAGACAAATTTTGCCAGTTTTTTGAGGAATTTCGCTACTGTTTTTCCATTTTGAAATCCTGCCTGTTGCCAGAAATTCTTTTGAAATCCTCTCTGTAGAATACTGCACTTTATGGAACTTGCCGTGGAGGCCCTGAATGAGAATGCTCAAAATAATTAAACCACTGGTCATTGAGACCTGCATTGGGAAATACTGATTGATAAAGATGGAGCAAGCAGAGAAGTTTTTCCCTAATGATGTTACATGATTTATATATAATGTTTAAACTTAAGTATAGCATATTGACACTTTGAACAATTTTCAAGAAAAAATGGTACAGAACTCATACATGCACTTGGTCAAAATTTGTGACATTTCTTATCATACTAGCCTTGCCCAAGTCGGTCTCTTTTACTTATCTTAGATCAGATAAGTAAAAAAATACCGACTTGGGCAAGGCTATTATCATACTTGAAACGTGATATTTTGTCAATGTTTTGTGCTGATGTGTGGACACCACAAGAAATCACGTCATCAAGATAGTGTATTTATCCTTTTAACATGAATGTTACAGATGCAAAGGCAGACCACTGCCAAGACCTAGTAAGGTTTTGAGGGTGTTGGACAATTTACAAGGCAAGTATTTTACTTTACAAGTGCAATATTCATTACTGAGTGTCTTCTTGTTATCTTACTAGGGATGGACTCCAGGAAAGTGCAGTTGTTACAAAGACATTTACAGTAGACGACACATCAGGGTTTAATAATTACACAGCTGATGATGATGAATCCCTTGCCAGTGTCAGATCTGTGGACACATATGTTTCAGAATATAACCCCAAGTTCAGCAAAAATAAACCCAGAAGTACTAAAAAGGTAAGAATTGTTGAACCTATGTAGTATCAGTAGCTATACTAGAGGTGTGAACCTTTTACTTATTCAGAATCAAAAGTGTTAGGGCAAATAATTATGAGTCTATTTATTCTTTCGGTTGCATTCTTTGTACATCTCTGTACATTTATATGGTTCAGAGTTTTTCTGTGAATTGTTTCTGCAATATTAGTGCCAATGGAGTATGATTATTTTTTCAGCCAACTCGAAATTCTCGAAAAGAACCACCAAGAAGTAAATCAGTTGACTTTAAACAAGCATGGTCAGAAAGCAATGGGGTAAATAATGGAAGTGACCATGTTAATATTCCTGATGGACCATTCAATCCAACCAACTATAGCGGAACCCAGGTAAATGTGTGGGGGGTACCACCACATAATATGGCAGGCTGGTTGACTGCCCCAGGGGGTCCTGGGGGTGTGAGTTACCCTACCCATGAACAACAACTAGGGTACATGACAGAGAAAATGTTACAAGTAAGTATGATTCTTGTTTAATTATATATTCATTCGATTCATCCCAATTTAATGATATTGAAATGATAATTATTACTAATATGGATATTACAAGAGTCACATTGTTGTGATTGGAATTGGAGTTTGCAGAATCATTCATTGCAACAGTAAACCATTTTATGACTTGATTCAACACAACTATATCTATTTAATGAGAGTGCGGTTCTCTTTCCTTCGTATATTATTACTCCAAACTATCCTAGTTTATCTCATACTTCTGCCCTGCTCTGATAGTATAAAATTTTAGCCATCATATGGTACTGTAAATCCTTATTGCAGAGTTTAGATGAACAAAAGCAGCAGACAATGAATGACATGAGGACAGCCATGCAGCAAGAAATACCACCCCCTGCCATAGAACCCCCACCACCCCCAGAACCCGTCATAGAATATGTAAAGAAAGAACCAGAGTTACGGCCAATCAGCAGAGGAAATGGTGAGCCTTCTCAGAATTTTGAAAGTTCTATTTTTATGAATATTTCAGTTAAAGCTCGGATTTGTTACTTTGGAACAATTTAAAAATGATTTTCCTCAGAGTATAAAATCTTCAAAGTTATAAGTAAAGAAATATCTATTGGGATGATTAATATGAAAGATCAAAATGCCTCATTACCAATGTCAATCATTTGTCACCTTGACAATGAACTTGGAAGTACTGGTTGCCTATTGGGCAATGGACTGAATGCCAATATGTTAATTGGGAAATTGTGGTATCGCAACTTGAACATTTTTGATATATACCATGTTACATTCAGGTGATTGGAAAGAGCAGCTGGAGCACATATACGCACACCTCATCGAACACACTAAAAATCATCCCAACTTCAAAAAGAATATTAGCAGCCCAAAATTTGGACAGGTACACCTTAATATTTTTGAATTTTTTATTTTATATTATTACAGTGAAAACTGTTTAGTGAAACACCTCTTAAAGTGGAAAACTCTTCAGAGTCTCAAGACCAAATGACGTAATGTTAAATGAACCTTGATAAGTGGAACATATCCCAAGTGGAACACTTTTTATACGTAAAGGTGTTCCACTTAGACAGGTTCTATTTTATATTGATTACAGAACATGTACATGTGTGACATCTGGCATTTGACATTCTAACTTCTGGGATAACTGCAGTTATCAAAAATGAGGAAAAATTTGTCATTTTTGTCATATTTTACTCAAAAGTTGCTCAACTTATATGAAATAAACTATATTCGCTGAAGTGGTCATTTGACATATAATAGGGTTTTAATGTACATGTACCTGTATGTATTGGATCTTGTATTTTGTAGATATCAGGTGTTGTCTACAAGGAGGAAGAAGACTGTTTTAATCTCAACATCACTCTAGCCAAACCTGGTGTCAGACCCAAGCCTAAACTGAAGACAACAGTCAAGGCACTGGATACAGCAAAGAAACTTTCCAAAGCTGGATCAAAAAAGGCTGGTAGGTACCCTAGTTTACAAGAGCTGACTTTGCGTATGCACTCTTTAAATCCAAGATAATCATTTGATTTGCTTTATATGCAATCAGAAAATCATTTTGTAGCATTTTCTGCCTTAACACTTTTAGTTTCATATCCTCTGATATATCAATGTAGCCTTTAAGCAATCTCCCTATACATTTGAATTACCCTGTATCAGCCTTCACATTGAATTTCCAATCATCAGGTTTAGATTCGAATTGATGGGTCAACACATTACTTTTTTGGTATTTCAAACATGGCTTATAGTAAACATCTGTTTTTAATTCAAACTCCCATGAAAGGCCATTTGATTGTCACTATCTTCTAATCAACAAAACTGTAGAATCATCTGAAACAGTCAGGGGAAAGTGTAGCTATCTGATGGACATTCAGAAGCTATTGGCATTGGTGTCTGTAACACATTGATACACTTTTGTAACAATATGCAACATCTTACCAGGTAATGACATTTTGTTTTCATTTATTCTAGGAAGCGACACTGAAGCCACTAAAAAGAAAAAAGAAAAAGTTGTTGATCCGTATTTTGAAACAGAAGAATATGAGGTAAGTGAAAGGGACAAACCAGAGAAATCTCTTTCTGAAACTTTTTGTCTTGTGTGGGTTTATTTGATTCTTACTGAATATTGTTTGTTATCATTAGTTTTACTTCGTCTTATTGATTTTAACACTAGATTCATTATTGAGCATGATCTTTCAATTTCTGTCTCACTTTGCAAGCCTCAGTATTAACTCATTGACTACTCAAGAGTTTCAAGCGACCAAACACTTTGTTTTATATAAGATAAAAATGCTTTTTTGAATAACCTTTAGGTAGTTCCACTCTTTGAGAAAGAAACTGAAAAAGAAATGAGAACATCCTATGACTTTTTTATTTCAGAATATCATTTTAATCTACTCGGTGATAATTGATATCTGCATTCGTTCTCTTTATTCTTTCGTTTGCTACGCTCTCATGCAGATATCAATATCACTTCCTAGTTAAAAATGACATTCTTCAAAATCATAGGATATCCTATAAATATCCATAAAAAATGTGGAAATATTAATATTTTCACCATGTGGATCTTAATAAGCTCAATTGACTTGTAAGGATAGCATGCCTTAGTAAATCTAGTGATTTGCATAGATTACAAAGTCATTTAAAACCTTGGTTAGTCAATGGGTATAACAAAAACTAGCTGTGACTATCACAAATCTATCACATATTGTGTATGCATGCTTGTATTAACTATTAGTCTCCAGGACACAATATCAATGTTTTTGGTTGAAGTAATTTATTAAAAAGGATCAGAACCCCCCCCCCCCAATCTCTTTTTGTGAAAGCTGATTCTTATTTGAAATATCTTCAGCAGAAAGTTTAATTCCAGCATTAATTTTAATTTCACAGAAGGTGAGCCTTACCCCCTCCCTCACCTAAATGAAATAATTCAGCTATAACTGAAACATTGGTATTTAACCTGGCTTCTTACATGGATGTGTAGTCCAGTACTAACAATAACATGTATATCACAATTATCACAATAAGCCACCAAAGTATAGGCGTAAAAAGGTTGAACCAGTACCCAAACAACGACTCTCAGATGAGTATGAGCATGGCAATCACAGAGACAAATTCTCTGAGAAATCTAGAGATTCTGATGATCTATCTGATTCTGGCAGTAGGAACAGTAAGCAAAAAAGAAGGAAAAATAGTCTAGATTTGGAAGTGAAAAAGGTATGTGAATAACATGATCCTTGGGCAATTCACCTATCACCTATAATGATTGTCATTTTGAGAATTGATTTATTCAAGCAATTTTGTTTGACACCAGGCCCGTAGCCAGCTTTTGCCAAAAGGGATTCAAAAAATGAAAGGGGTTCACATTTGACAACTTTGGCCAGGGGGGTTGGGGGCTACAGGCCAGGAGTGGAGACCTTGTAGATGTTAGATCTACTTTGCCTCTCGTTATATTCTTTTAATTTGTTTTTCTGGATTTTTGAACATATGAGATGAATGCTTCAGTCTTTTGGCATAACTGTTCCACATTGACATAATTGCATATACTGTACATCTTTTATAATGTCAAATGCGCATGGGATATTTGACAGATTTTCAAATAATAGGAAGGATAAATGCAAATATATAGCTGCTAAGAAAGTTCAATATTGATCTGAATGTACAGTACATGTACTTTTTGTTTTCTATGTCTTTCCAGGGATCACATATTGCTTTATAGAGAATTATTCACTATACTGCATTATTTCATGTCACACACTTCTAAATGCTTTAACACTAATATGTCACTTTTATTTTTTGCTTTAACACTAGTATGTCACACTTATTTTTGCTTTAACACTAATATTTCAACCTTATTTTTGCTTTAACACTAATATGTCACTCTTATTTTTGCTTTAACACTAATATGTAACACTGCTTTTACTCTAACATTTCATTGTTACTGTGTGATCAGGTACCCCAGAAACCAAAGCCTAATATCCGTCAGTCACTTTTGAAAAAAGCTGAAACAATTCGTAAAAATAAACTGACATTTGATGGCACTCCTGAATCTTACCACTTTGCAGAGGACTACTGGGTAAGATATAGGAGTATACTATGGGTGTAATAAGAGTACACTATGTGGGAGTACACTATATGGGTGTAGAATGGGAGTATACTATGGAAGTAATATGGGAGTACACTATATGGGTGTAATATGGGAGTACACTATGGGTGTAATTGGGAATATACTATAGATGTAATATGTGAGTGAATTATGGATGTAGGAGCACACTATGGGTGTAATATGGGAGTACACTATGGGCTTAATATGGGAGTACACTATATGGGTGTAGAATGGGAATATACTATGGAAGTAATATGGGAGTACACTATCGGTTTAATATGGGAGTACACCATCGGTTTAATATGGGAGTACACTATCGGTTTAATATGGGAGTACACTATATGGGTGTAAAATGGGAGTATACTATGGAAGTAATATGGGAGTGCACTATTGGTTCAATATTGGAGTACACTATCGGTTTAATATGGGAGTAAACTATGGGTGAAATATGGGAGTACACTATATAGGTGTAAAATGGGAGTATGGATGTAATAGGAGTAGACTATGGGTGTAATGGGAGTACTTCATGGGTGTTATGGGAGTAATAGGAGTACACTATTGGTGCAATATGGGAGCACACTATGGATGTACCGGGTGTAATATTGGTGTAAGGGGTTTCTTTAATTTTCTTTGGTATTGTAAGGGTTTTCTCGTTTACTTTTATACTTTTATTCATTATACAAATTCAATGTTTGTTTTCATATTGTTTGATTTATTAAAATATCATTTCATGCTTACTTCCAGCAAGAGGGTACTGTGAAAGCTTGGCCTGACTTTAACGCTGAAGGCGATGCTGAGATAATACGTAATGCTATGAAAGGATTTGGTAAGTTTATCAATGATTCTTCTTATATACATGTATTCTATTTTTTCCTCTGAGCTTGGAAGTTTTATGACTGTCCTCTGTAAGTTGGGTATTTGAAAGCACAAATTTAAAGCCATCATGTCCATGTTGAAAGCATGAGTAACCTGCCAAGATGTATGATTCTTGTAAGATGCAGCAATAGGGAAAGTTCATCAGGTTTCCATTTTCTCTTTCCTAATTCATGCTCCTTCTCAAAACCTTCACCAATGATAAGTTCTGCTCTTACAATAACCATAATAATATGATCAGGTAACTCAGTCGGGATTATACCTGTACCTCTGATGTACATTGCAAAAAAGCCTGGTATGCCCCTATATGTTACATTGCCTGTTTACAGGAATTAGTTTCCAAAATATGACAGCATTTAATATTTAATTGCTCCAAAGATTTAATATTATAAGGAAAACCCCTTATGTTTTTGAAAATGTAAGAATAAATGTTTGACATCTGAGGTTTTATGGTAACATAAACAGACAATTAATTTATAGGGGCCTTGTAGGTGCATATATGTTTAAGTTTACTCAGGTCCACATGATTTTGGGCATTGGCCATGAGGGTTGTTGCCATGGGACACAAGGAACCTCTTAATGTTGTTCTCAAACTGCGCACGCTGGTTGTCAAACAAATCCAACAGTCTTTTCATTTCCTTGACATCTGCAATACAAACATTTGATAACTTCAAGATAAAAAAAGGATTTAAAATTGAACTTGAAGGAAATATTATGGATGGCCCCCCATGGATACACCACACTCATGTTTTTTTATTAGATATACTTGCCAGGTGAAATAGATGTAAGGTAGTTTTGTAGATCAAATTTTGTACAGCACTGTACAAGAAATGTCATTCTTAGCCAAGTTACCTCTAGTGATACAGATTTGGATGGAGAGGATAGAAAGACTTACGTGTACAGCATTTTTTGTAAGAGAGATACCCACGGCAACAGACTTCTTTATTTGAGGGACATGGTTGTGGAGTGTAGACTGAATACGATTTTGTTACTGTATAGGGTTTTTGACTGGAATAACAATGTCAGTATCCTGTAAAATTTTCTTTAATGTGACTCTCTGTTTATGCATTTTTTCATTTCAGTGCTATTTAGCAAAATAAAGATTTACTTTTCATCCACCTTGTTTTTCCAATGCATTGATAAGTTCTCAAATTTTCATTTGATCCAAAGACTCAAATGGTCCACATTGGAGCTTACAATAAATTATAAAAAATATTTTTGGTCTGTCAAATCTTTATGTCAACTATTTTGAAATGTCAATTAAAAGATGGCACTGATATTCACATTAATATCAGGCATTCATTAATAATTCATGAATATAATGTCAACTATATTTGCCATCTATTTGTTCAAAAGTAGTTAAAAAACCTTGGTGAAAAGTGTGCACACGCTTCTAATGATATCAGAACTTCTAATGCTTTTTCTAAATGAGTCATGTTTTTCTCGCTTAGATGATTACACAAAAATGAAAGGACGATTCTCGGTTTGGAGAACGAAGTTCATCAATCTAAATGAGCATTATCCCTGCTTCGGACAAATTTGATTTTTTTTACATAATATAGATTTGAATGTCTTCTTTTGAATAGTCATAATTTAATTTGGGTAATTTTTCGCAAAAAAATATTCGCGCAGTACACTGATGAACTTCTTTCCCCAAATCGAGACTTGTAATTTATTGAATCGGTCAAATTGAGCGTTATCCCTGCTTCAGACCAATTTGTTAATTTTACATCTTGTAGATCTAAATGTCCTCTTTTGAATATTCATAGTTTAATTTGGGTAATATTTCTATATTTTTCATGAAAAAAATTATTAGCCCAGGAGACTGTTCTCCAAACCGAGAATCGTCCTTTGCATCTACCTCCCTAGCATTAGATAAAATCCACAATTGAAAATAGTTTTTCAAAATTGTTAAACGTCATCATTTTTTTATTAGTACATGTATTCTGTTTTGACTTACTAATATCGAACCCTCCATTTAGTACAAGTCCACAACAAGAACAGACCACAGTCTGTATATAGCTTAGTATATCTGTGTGCAACATACATCTTTGTGACAGTGTACCGTTTGATAGTACGCTTGGGTGGAACATTCACCTTGCAACAGCATTCAGTAGCATGCAGTTGACCTTTGATGCTCCGTCGGCCCCTTGCCCTGTTTGGATGATCAGTTGGGTGGGCCACACTCCTGTGTCAAAAATTTAAATTATACATTAATATGTGGGTAATAGGCTTGCACAGATACATTGACTCTCTGATGTCATTACAATGACATATTAGTCACTTAAAAAAGAACTACAGTAAAATATGAAGTGTATTTTTTCACGAAACACCCCTTTGAAAGTTTCTAAAGTATGTGGACTAAATGTCAATTTGTTAGAGGATAGAAATGTTGATCCAAAACTTAAAGGAGCAGGGAAAGTATCGCAACAGACTTTTGATAATTTTGGCAGTTGATAATTTTTTTGTGAGTAGTTTCTGGCTGTAAAAAGTAAATGCTTGGGAAAGGCGAATCTATAATCTTCAAGAAAAGTTCAAAGAATAGTTTCCAGATCAATTGGATTATCTTATAATCCATGTTTAATCCACCCATCAACAAGCTTTTTCAAAATACATTCATCATTTTCACCATCGTCCCTCATTTTTTTTACAATTTTTCATGCAAAGTTACATTGTACTTGAACACATGTTTCATCAAGTAAAATATCACTGGTGATCCACAAAATGTCGGAACATCGAAGGCACGATTTTTCTTTTTTCCTTATTTCACGCGTTGTAGGCAGAATCCCCACGACGTTTTTTCTCACAATGTACATCAGTATTATATGTTTTAGAAAATGCACATGTTTGCGAAACAATAGCTCAGAGGACAACAGAATCGTCGATTTACTTCCTCACTCAAGTTACATAGACGATTTTCCGAAAAACAGTTAAGATCTGCACTTTTAACCCAAACCGTTTATGTAACTTAAGTGAGGAAGTAAATCGACGATTCTGTTGTCTTCTGAACTATTTGTTCGCAAATATGTACAATTTCTTAAACATATGGTACTGATACACGTTTGTGTTGAAAAATGTCGTGGGAATTCTGCCTACAACGTGTAAAATAAGGAAACGAGAAAAAAGTACCTTCCGGATGTTCCGACATTTTGTTACCAAAACGAACCGTTTTGGTAACCAGCGTAATCGAGTGGATCACCAGTGAAAATATGTAAGGAACTCCATGAAGTTTGTTTTTGAGTTTTTTTTTGAAAAAATGAACCTCTTAAAATGCATGTTTACAAAAATAATTTAGGAGTGATGTAAAAGATGGCAATGTTTTTCAATAATAACATGCATAGGTGGGTGAATTACTCATGTGTGTTGTGTTTTAATCCTGCATTCACTGACTGAGTTAGCCTATTGAAAAATCATAGAGATTAATAATACAAACAGTAATACTATGAATACTTCTACTTCAAGCTCAAATAGCGCTTTCAGGGTCCTGTGTTGAAATACTAGATCACCTTATGTGCATGAACTTTCAAGAGAAACCATCAGTGCAAGCAATTAAATGAAAGCAACGTCCGAACATCACTTGAAAAGTACTAAAGTGGTGAAAAATTGCAGGATGTTGACAGAAAATGTGCCTAGGGGAGAGGGTCGTCTCTCAACCCCCCTCCTCCCCCTCCCTGGTCACGGGACTAATACATGTGATATGGCAAAGTCCAATTCATAGATTAAGTTTCCCTTGCAGTCTTGTTGGCATTTTTATTAGAGTTCATGTTTTGTTTATGTTAATGGGTGAGTGGAAGACCCTTGGGTGGGAATCAAATATAAAATGTTTTCTAAAATATACATTTGAAATACTTTGTGTATGTACAGTCACAAACTCTAGGCAACATTAACTAGTAATGGGGGAACACCCCAACTCAACTGAGTGAATGTGTAAACCATATAAGGAACAAAAAACATTACATAAAACAAACTCAGCATGCAAACATGTAAAACTGGCATGGCAAAACAATAGATTGTGAAACTGAATAATAAAAGCACATACGACTAGAAAACAAGGGATTAAGGACCTGTTAAAATGACATGAATGGGGATTGGTCAATATGAATAGTAGAAATATGAAAAATGTGAAAATTTTACATTTAGTTTTGATCATGAACATTAGAGAGGTTAAGTACACAGGCTCGTAGGCAGGTAGAGGGGGGTAGATAAAGGGAGCTGCTGCTCCCCCAAGAGATTCTTTCAAAATGATGCAGTTTCTCACCAATCTGAGCACTTCGCATGATTTTTTAGCCAAAACTGTCAAAAAGTTCATCCCTAGGCAAAAGCTTTGCCCTTGGTAAAACTGCTCCTACCCCTTGGTAAAAGCTGGCTACAGACTGTGTAAAACACTTGTGTGAGAACTTGAACATGAACGAGTACTGTTACGACCCCCAGTAATGTTGTCCATCTCTCAACTGGTTTAACTGGGGACCATTACATCAATTGGCATTATATCAATCAGGCAAAAAGAGGCCAGTGATGTGAAAATAGTCAATAGCACGGTGTTATAGCATGGCGGTTACGCCACCTCTGAAAACGAGGTTGGAAAGCTACGTTCACTGATTTATCCAATAAAATGGCCGCGATGGAAGAGAAAACTAAGGTTGGCGCATTATTTTCTACTTCTGTGTATCAATGAAAGGATGAACGATTTATGTAAGAATCGCATTCGGTGATACTTTCAGTAATGTATATTTTGAACGTAGCCTTTGCAAATTGATGCCTGGGGATAACATGAAATAAAAGAAAAACTGTCGAGTTTGAAATTCAAAACTACACAAAAATTTAGTTATTTGTTTATTTTTGTTTTTGTTGTTATTAGGGCATGGTCTACATTGCCTAAAAACCTTGTGGTATATAGATGTAACCTACATACGATCATACAAAGCCAATTGAGCATTGGAAACCACCTAATATGTTCTACTCAAGCCATAATAATGTATTTTGAATTTGCAGTAGTTATACACAGTTTACTTATACTTACAGTTAATATTTTGAGTGGCTCATGTACTGAGACAACACGAGAATGGATCAAAACTTATAAACTTTGATATCTCAGTCGGTAGGTTTACAGATAATATTCTGTTTCTTGTAGACCACCTGGCAGATTTGACCCAGTCTTTATAACCATCCATATATACGTCACCGAATGGAACTAGTTTAAAAGGAAATCTTATCTGTGAATATTGCCTACAGGCGAGAAAGAGGACATGCTGCCTTTCCCATCCGCCATTTTTTGTTATCGTTACCGCAAAATTTTGCAAATCGCCTTGACGTAACCGTCATGCTATAACACCGTGAATAGGGGACCATAAGTTTATACATTCCATGTGTACGTTCATCAAAATAGTGCGATCTTAACCTCCCTTATAACTGAAATTGTTGACTCAACCAATAGAATCATTCTATGTTTGTTTATATTTGTTCACATTAATATGGAAGAAAATCGGACATTTTGCTAAAAAGATGTTATTGTAAATCTTAGAAATAATGATAAAGGTAGTATACACACTCAATGGTATTGATTGTGGTTTTCAGAGACTCTCAATAGGGACTTAAAGCTTGCAATGTTTTTCACAACCTAAATGTGAATGGAAAATATTTAGCGATGCATTTGTATGGGCGATTGGTCATAGGTTGGCGTTTCAATTTTATATGCAAGCTTAATCTCCCTTAGTTGACATTAAGGTAAGAGTGTATGTTACTCATAACATTTTCTTAGGATAACATTTCTTGAATTGATGAATATGCAAAAATTATTCTTGGCATATCATCCTTCATTTCATTATTTGAATAATCAATCTGGAGATAAACTCAAATAAGGAAGTGTGTTATAACACATCATCATATAGAAACATGTTCAATGTTTTTTCAGAAGCTGGATCAAAATATTTGTCTTACTAAAATTATTGGCAAAGGTATGATGTACTAAATTCTTGTACTGTATTTATGATTTAAATAGCACTGTACCTCGTGAATCATTACTGATAAACAAGATACAGAAAACCTGTTCAAAGTAAATGCTATAATAAGGCATCATAGAAATTATCATAAAGAGAGGTATTTAGAATTTCTTAGCAACTTACACACACACACAGGTTTAACTGCACTCAAACATTAAACAGTCAACTTGACAGGTATTCAGAATTTTTTGGGAGATGCTGCGGTTATGCTCTATTGATTAAACAGGGGATCAAACAGCAGGGGATCAAACAAGTCCAACCATTCATTTATGAAAACATTTTGAACTAACGTTATGGCACACTAATGACATCTTATATGAGTATGCTGTACTAAAAGCATAGCCCCATTGGATCCCCTTATATTGGATTATCATAATCCTAATCCACGAGGAGTTCCTTATATATATTAAGTGATGAAACATGTGTTCAAGTACAATGTAACTTTGCATGAAAATTGTAAAAAAAAAATGAGGGACGATGGTGAAAATGACGATTGTATTTTGAAAAAAAGCTTGTTGATGGGTGGATTAAACATGGCTTATGAGATAATCCAAATGATCTTGAAACCATTCTTTGAATTTTTCTTAAAGATTATACATTGGCCTTTCATATGCATTCATTTTTGTACAGCCAGAAACTACTAGAAAAAGATTATTTACTGTCAAAAATCTGTTGCGATACTTTCCCTCGCTCTTTAATAATTGCTTTAAAGCTCTAGCTAGTAACGAATAGCAATATACTGAAATCAATTTTATTCTGTAATGAATAAACCATGAGTACTGGCTGTTAGCCTAAATAATTTCTCCCTAAGAACCAGTACGAATGGTTTATACATGTATTACTAAAAACTCACACTGACTTTAAGGAAAGGTACAGGGTGGTCAAAAAAAACGGCAACCCTAATTTTTCCTCATATCTTTGTCATTTTTGGAAATTTTGTCCTGATATTTGGCACACATGTACATCATTCAATTTCATACTAGACTGTGTTATTTCATTGGAAATTGGACAGATAGTCGCAATGTTCCAGCACTTTAAACAAGATGCCCCAGTTCTCCAATATCGTGCTGTAGGCAAACCTGCACATGTTTTCCAAACCTGTCAATGACACAACAGCATTCCTCAGCAAGTATGGCCTGAATGACACATGTGATCTCTATTCATGAGGTCAAATGTCTTTCTGGTGTTATTACCCTACACTCTGTCTTTTGGGTATCCCCACTGGTAAAGATTAAATGGGGCCATATCTGGACTATGGGGTGCCCATTCATTGTCTGTTGTACTGCTGATAATGTGGTCATTGAAGTGGTCCCAAAGCCAATATTGTGCATCATTTGGTGTATGGGGTATGGTTCTGTCTTGTTGGAACCACTGTTGCTGCCTTTCAACCCCCCTGGGTTCACCTAAAGTCCCCAAGAACTCCATGGGAATCATGGACTTTGACTTTGATGTTGACAGTTATTGCATATCTGTTAGCATCATCAAAGGTAAAGGACCCAATCTTCTGAGAACACACTAAACTGTGCATCTCTCTGTGTGAAGGTGCCTCTCCACAATTTCATAAAGTGCTTGGCTCCCCAAGAATACATAATTGTTACAGTTTACCAGTGTATCAAGTTGAAAATGGAGTTCATTTGGATAACAGACCAGCTCAGACAGCCCGAAAGTGGCCATCTGGGGTATGTTGCTGAAAATGCAGTAATATTGTGACTATCAGTCCGATGGTCATGAAATATGGTAGGTTGGTAGGAAATTGAATGATGTACAAATGTGTAAAATATCAGGGAGTTATATCTTAGAATGACAAAGATATTAGGAAAAACTAGGGTTGCCGTTTTTTGACCACCCTGTAAATGGTCCATGATCCATTGAAGTTTATACTCTACTATTCAACTGTAAAGTTAGATTGCTAACTATGTTATAATACATTTTTCAGGCCCGTTGATTTGCCGAGGGGGTGTTCACTTTGGCAAATTTGGCCCAAAATCACATGAAAATTCTCAGAATGGTGAAAAACTGCATGATTTTGAAAGAGGTTTTGGCGGGGGGGGGGTACTTACCATCCTAATGCCTGCTCTACACCATTATTTAAGTTCTCCAGTGCAGATTCAAGGTACCGTTTACTCTTTGTGGATATTCCTGGGTTGACCATGATCCTGTGTAGCCTCCTAGTGACTTCTTGACTCTCATGGTCCAGCTGAGAGTACACATTCACGGAATGGCACTTTAAGAAACACAAAATGAATGAAATCAGAATTATCAACTTCATTTTTTTGATTGATGCCTAGTGGAATATTGCAATATGAGAATAAATTAAATAAACTAGGATTTTCTTTACAAGTTACACAAACTTCCTGGTACTTACTGTAATCATGTGATATTCATCACATCTTATATTTTGACTCCCAAAATATAAAACATCACCATTTGTTGGATTTACACTGAGCTCTAAGACGTCTTGGCCAAAACGTTTTAGTGTTAAAACGTTTTACAAATGTAATGTAAATCCAGATTTTCTCAAGAGCTCTTGGCTAAGAGCGCTTAGCTAAAACGTCTTAGGACCCTAGTCATAGCCAAGACGTTAAAACGTTTTACAAGCGAGTGCAAATCCATCGGTTTTAGCTAAGAGCTCTTAGCCCAGTTTTATGCATTGCGCTGAACGAAAAATTTGAAACTTCCTGATTACATATGTAGCATGTAAATAGGGCTATTGTTATCAACATCATTACATGATAATAGGCATTAGGTCCCATCTGAAAAAATGAGAAAAAACATTCTTATTTGTACATTTGAATTATATGCTTTGAAATAAAAATACAGCAAAATACCGAGATATACAATATATGGGAGTGTAATTGTTAAGACATGAGTAAAGTCACAAGTTTTTGACTTTCCACTTTCAGTATGAGATAACAGTATACCAGGATGTATCTTATTCCAACATTCCAAGATTTTGCTTGATTTATCCAATGAAATTCAGCTTATTGGGTGGAGATGTAAAGAATCGTGCAAAATTCAAATTGTCCTCCACTTTTATTTATAGAACTGGAAGTATCACTTATCCACAAAGGCTCATATTTACAGAGTTTGGTCTGTGTTTTTATGATAAGGTTTTATCTTTACATTCTTCCTTTCTTCAGCTATTTATACCATTTTATTCAGAGGCATTTATTACCATTTAACCTAGCTTTAAAGGCAATTTGAAAATGATGTTTGTTGCATAACTGTATTTTGTTTGATAATAAACATTGATTCTATAAGAGATGACAAACCCTGCTGTAGTCATCTTTGCATGCTCGGTCATCCCTGCTTTCATCAGGACCGACGGGAGCCAAGTGAACGAAGATGGCTGTAGTAGAGTTATGGAATATTAAAATTTTGAAAGCCTCTGTTAGCCAAGTGTCCAACATGTACCACATGATCACATCTGGCTAGGGGCACTGAACAGAGTAATGGATCTTGTAATGCGGTGTTCAAGATCCATGCATGGGGAGTAAGTCACCCCTCTTATATTCTCTATATGTAGAGCATAATAGAGAAGGGGGTGGCTTACTCCCCATGGATCTATGTCTTTAAGAGACTCATTCCTCTCATCTTTAATATTTTTAGGTTTTAGGCTGATGGCAGTAGGGTAGTTCATATGTTACAACAAGGAGGTTAGGCTCCCAGGGTTCCAATTCAATATTCTGCCATCTATGGAAATGTCATGATCACAAAATATGAATTCAAACAAACACCATTTTGTTCAGTTAGAAGTGATCAAGACATTGATTGGAATCTTTTGGACCATTGATTATGAATTTATAGTCAGTGATAATATCAGAAAAGAACAGCATTCTGGCATTTTCATTGTTGGAAAATATTAAGTTGTGTCCCTGGGAGCCATTCTTTTTGTGTTATAAAGAGGACATATAAACAGGTTGACTGCTCCGCCATCTTTTTATGAACACTCTTTCAGTCACCCGACTTGTTATTTTAGGCTTACAAATCCTTTAACACGCTACTTTTCATATTCTCTGTTTTTCAGGCACAGATGAAGCAACAATTATCAATGTCCTTGCGTACAGAAGCAACAGCCAGAGATTGGAGATTGCTAAAGTATTTAAAACTATGTTTGGAAAGGTATGAAGCAAAGTTACATGCTGTAGTGTAGTATGAGGGTTATGATGTAGTTCAACAAGTTAAGACAGGCCTTATTTATTATCTGACGTCTCATAGGTGGCCTGACTAGATAGTGTACGATTTATTTAAAAAATGTCTTCAATTTATTGACATTTTTACGGTGCCTTTTTTGTTTACATATTTTTTGAAAAACAATAAAAAATATAGTATTTATGAAAACAAATTAGGTTGACAAAAGTATTTTGTTTTTAAAATGTAGTTTTTTGAATTTTGAAAATTAAATTTTGAATGATTTGTCTCATAATTACATTGATAAATGTTTGAGGATTTTCTACATGTGATTTATAGGATTTAACGAAGGAATTGAATGGTGAGTTGAGTGGCAATTTCTGCGATATAATGGTTGGGCTTCTACTACATCCTGCTAATTATGACGCCAATGAAATAAGGAAGGCTGTTGAAGTAAGCGTCCACACACAATCATTTATGCTATTTTTACCAACACATCTCTCAAATAAATAATTTCTCAACAGGCAGTTGGTATGTGTAAATATATATTTTTAATCTTGTCTTGTTCATTTTGAATATACCAATACCCACCACAGTTAAGAACACCCCCCCCAATCTTTTTGCCACCACTGCTAGGAATGCTTATATATACCCTCATGGCAATAATAACTTCAAGATGCTACATTGACAACTACCACATTATGTACTTGTACATCCATTATTGTGAATTCACAAAAAGCAACCCAACAAATACATTATTTATTTGATTATATCATTTTTTATTTGATTTATTTCAGGGTTTAGGAACAGATGATGATGTCTTGGTTGAGATACTTTGTACAAGAACAAATAAACAAATTCAGGCCATAAAAGCTGCATACAAAAACTGTAAGTCAAATCCATTTCTAAATTAAGTATAAAAGATCTGGATAAATAGTATAAATAAAGTAAAAAATATTTACATGTCATTGTATTTATCTTAAAATATGTAATAGGTAAAAAAATGTTATTGAATTCCATACCTAAACAATGATCTAATTCATTACGTACGTGTGTACGTGTGTAAATATGTCAAAAACTGTGAATTAAAAATAACTAATCTACTCATTAAGATAGTTAACTGTACATATTGCATGCATTTTATGAATATACAATATAGATGTCAATTATTAATAATTAAATATTCTTAGAATTAAGTACAATAACAATTGGTCCTTTTGTTAAGTTAAGAAAGTGGACTTATTCTTTTTAAACATTTTTAGTGTTCCAAAAAAGCTTGGAGAAGGATGTTAAGGATGATACATCTGGTCATTTCAAGCGTCTCCTAGTGTCTCAGATTCAAGCGAATAGAGATGAGAGTCCAACATTTGATAGGAACCAAGCAAAGGCAGATGCACAGGTTAGTACAGTCCATTTAAAGTGGCACGCTTTTCAAAGTCCAGTTACAATTAATTTTATGTAAATTGAACCTCTGTAAATGGAACACCTCCCATATGGAAAATTATTTTTAAGTACCAAAGGTGTTCCACTAACATGGGTTTTACTGTAAATGGACATTGACGATTATGGTTCTATGTTTGGTGTTCTGCTTATCACAGAATGAAAGATATGACAGTGATACAATTAAAAACAGATGCCCAGCATCTTGAAACACCATGTAAATACATCTAAGTACCTTTTATATATAAATACACATACATCTACATGTTTTGAGGCTTTTATTACAGAGTCACACAAATCAGTTGTGCTGCTACACATCACATTTAAAAGTAACTACATCTTTGTACATTTAGTACATATTCAAATATTAATATGGTTCAAAGCCACAATGTCAAAAAGGTGCTAAACAACCATATTCACATGCTCTGTATTCACTATGTTCAGCAACTGATGATAGCCGAGTGAACAAAATTGTTAAACTATAACTAATGTGTATATTTGGTGTTACAACAGTGTTATATATAATCTATACAGTCAATAGGAACAATGAGATGGATTCAGTCCATATGGCTTTATATTCATATATGATTATCTTGAGTACATAAACAGTATATCAATGAAGAGCCCTAATAGGGAAATAAATCCCATTATCCCGAATGATGATCTACAACATAACATACAAAGAAACAGTGTCTCATGCACCATTAACCCCTACATCCTGGGATATGATCCCAGTCCTACATCCTGGGATACGATCCCAGTTGTAGCATCACGAATATCCTAGATGGTCAATGTCATGTGATCTTGGATTTTGATAGTGGCTCCTGAATGGTGAGGAATGGGGTATAAGACATTGTTTATTTACATGTTAGATGATAGTCTGAGATATTTGGGGTTTGTTTTGCTTCTGACTGTTTTGTATTGTTTGGTCTCCTTAGTCCTTCTCCTTTTGCTCTTACGCATACATATTTATCCTAGTTATTTGCAAATGTTGTATCATTTTTCTAATTTGGGCCTCATAAATTTCAAAATGGCCGCCTTATGTGGGATTTCGCAATAATTTTCTGATCTTTTCAAAATATGGCTATATTATATTCAAATTGAAAGAAAGTTAGGGTAGATCACAAATATGGTATTGTTTTTCTGATTTGTGCATCAGAAAATTCAAAATGGCTGCCTAGCAGGAATTCGTTGTTACTTAGAGATTTCTTTGAAGTATGGTGACGTGATACTTTATTAGATCTGAAATATATTCTTTATTATTTGTGCCTTTGAAACTCTTCAATGGTCACCAAAATACTTGAATCGGTGGAAAATCTGATATATCTCTAATGCATGTATTTTAATATCTACCGATTATGTTTTCAAGGGAAGAGTAGATGGAACATATTACATTGTGACAAATACAGATTCATATATGTTATAGTGTTCGTTGGGATTTGCTACTCTGTGGAGTTGCCGTTTTCTAGTTATGTATAAATGACATCCATTAGTGGAAAAGTAGAGGCAAAGCTATTGCAATTAGTCCTGGATATTTGCCACCAATTTAGATGTGCTTCAAAAGTTTAAGTGCTCAGCTTAGAAATAACATTAACCCCAATTAATACCATTTTATAATGATCCACTTGAGTTACTGATTGAACCATTACATAATATTATTGTGTGAACTTGAAGTCTTATTTCAAATACTTTATTAAATTATGTTGCAAATTATGTTGCAATTAAGCCTAAAAGGTGTTTCAGCTAAAATATGACAAAGCCTTGTTCTTTAGGTGTGGATTATTAGAAAGGATAATATACATGTACGTGTAATTTGTAGATATGCATAAATGGCTAAATTGTTTGATAGACAGACATATATTGTGCCAAATTGTTCACAGACATTGTCAAAAATCACAGGTTTAGATACACAACCTGTGTTGCAGAAATAGCCCCACATAGACTGAACAACGCTGCTGCTATAACAGGAACCATCGTTGTATTTACAGCCTCAATGATCGCCCCCATTGAGCCTGATAGCAACAACTGTGCATAGAACACCATACTACTCACTACAGCGATGTCTGTTCCCAATCCTCGTGTATGTTCCTTTGTAGACTTGCTCTCAGTGTTACTAAACTGAAAATGTAAAACAAATTTGAATCTAGTGTGAGAAAATTGGTGACTTTTTCGCAGTTGTACATGCCATAGTATATAGCCATTTGTTAATGATATTGATATCAATATCACCAAGTAGATTGAAATGATATTCTGAAAAAATCATAGGATGTTCTTATTATCATACATTTAGTGTACTGAATGTATAAATCAACAAGCAGAGTACACAAGAATATCCTCCACATATTGGATTTCAGGAGTATATCAAGGTGATATCCTCTGCATATTGGTTTTCTGAATTATTTTGTAGCGATATCCTCTGGTTAATCATTTTCCCATAGATTTACCAATTTACCAATAGATATCAAATTTATTTTTAATGTCATTATACATTTAGTACACTTAGTGTATTATTCCCAAGCTCTACAATCTCTTGAAGAGATAGATAAAAATTGATGACAGTCTTGGAGTTAATAAAGTCAAAATGTTGAAAAAAGAGTTTTTAGCACTGAACCATAGAAAAAAATAATCACTCTAAAATCTTTGTATTTTTGACTTACCCATTTTTACATGAAGACTGATTGAATTACCTTATTATTAATGTGGTAGTGGGCCACAAGACTGTATGGCATATTGAGTAGCGTTGCGTACATCACCCCTGCAGTTGGTGACAGCACTATAACAGCAATTGGGTGTCTTACTGTCGCCATTACTATCATCCCAACTGTGTAGACCAATTGACTTATCACATACACTGGCTTGGCACCTATTGTAAGAAACTTTAGTATTAGTTGACTATGCCTCAACATTCATGCAGTGGCAAATATCCTTTATACAGAGAAAAGGTGGCATAAATTGTCTTTGTTTGTTTCTATTAGGCTTTAAGTGCCTGTTTCAAGAAAACCCTGAATTACAATAGTTACCTAAATCCACCAAAAGAGGACATTTAAATCTACAATATGTAAAAATATCAAAATTATCTGAAGCAGGCGTAACATACAGTAGACCAATTCAATAAAAGACAAGTCTCGGAAGTTCATCAGTCTACTACGCTGATAACTTTTTTATGAAAAATATAGAAAAACACCCAAATTAAATTATGGATATTCAAAAGAGAACATTTAAATCTACAATATGTAGAAATATCAAAATAGTCCAAAGCAGACGTAACATGCAATAGACCGATGAACTTCGTTCTCCAAACCGTGCCTGGTCTTTGTTAGCTAGATTTTTATTTTGTTATTGCCCTTTGTGATTAATCATTATTACAATCTCTTTTAATTTGTATTGTTTGTTTTGATCAATAATGATTTTTATGGACGTCAGAATAAATGGCACATATAGAAAATATTATGACAAGTGGATTGGCTTTTATAAGAAACAAAGAATTACATTTCAAGCTCTGAGGCCTACCATTGAAATAATATTTTCCTATAAATAATTGCCTGACATCAATTTCCTTTTTTCATCCAAGGACCATTTTTGTGTTGCACATACTTCATCTTTTATAAGTGTAGCTAGTTGAATGAAAGAATAAAATGGACGCGAATATTGCATTAGTACCTCTATTGTCTGTACTGTCCAGACTGACATTGGGAAGTTAAGGTGAACAGTCGGGTGAATGACTTATGAATGAAAGCCAGATTGCATGTTTAAGATCGACTTTAACTTTTACTGTTGACACAAGATAATTCTGCGCCGCAGTTATTAGGTCATTTATTTTATTCAAAAGAATCATTGTTAAGGAATCTAGCATAGATGTTTTAACTAGACTTAAGAGTTTAAGCTTGCTCTTAAACTGAAGGGTTATTGAGTTAGAAAAGTAAATGTAATGTAAATGGGCGCTTGGTATTATACGTTTACGATGAGAAAAACAATGCAAGCTGAAACTCTCCAATATTGGGAAATTACGGAAACCAGAAATCAAAATTTATTCAGAAAATAATGAATGATTTATTCTAAAACATTCTCGTAGGTTTTGTCTGATTCATATAGATTTTCTTTTTTGAGTTTGCCAAATAGGCCTTTCTGATCTGTCTTTGATTGATCTATACATCATTGACTCATTTTAACAACATTGTAAAATGGAAGTTTGATTTGTAAATAATATACTTACTGAATCTTGACCGTGCCTGGTCTTTGTTAGCTAGATTTTTATTTTGTTATTGCCCTTTGTGATTAATCATTATTACAATCTCTTTTAATTTGTATTGTTTGTTTTGATCAATAATGATTTTTATGGACGTCAGAATAAATGGCACATATAGAAAATATTATGACAAGTGGATTGGCTTTTATAAGAAACAAAGAATTACATTTCAAGCTCTGAGGCCTACCATTGAAATAATATTTTCCTATTAATAATTGCCTGACATCAATTTCCTTTTTCCATCCAAGGACCATTTTTGTGTTGCACATACTTCATCTTTTATAAGTGTAGCTAGTTGAATGAAAGAATAAAATGGACACGAATATTGCATTAGTACCTCTATTGTCTGTACTGTCCAGACTGACATTGGGAAGTTAAGGTGAACAGTCGGGTGAATGACTTATGAATGAAAGCCAGATTGCATGTTTAAGATCGACTTTAACTTTTACTGTTGACACAAGATAATTCTGCGCCGCAGTTATTAGGTCATTTATTTTATTCAAAAGAATCATTGTTAAGGAATCTAGCATAGATGTTTTAACTAGACTTAAGAGTTTAAGCTTGCTCTTAAACTGAAGGGTTATTGAGTTAGAAAAGTAAATGTAATGTAAATGGGCGCTTGGTATTATACGTTTACGATGAGAAAAACAATGCAAGCTGAAACTCTCCAATATTGGGAAATTACGGAAACCAGAAATCAAAATTTATTCAGAAAATAATGAATGATTTATTCTAAAACATTCTCGTAGGTTTTGTCTGATTCATATAGATTTTCTTTTTTGAGTTTGCCAAATAGGCCTTTCTGATCTGTCTTTGATTGATCTATACATCATTGACTCATTTTAACAACATTGTAAAATGGAAGTTTGATTTGTAAATAATATACTTACTGAATCTTCTGACCAATTTCTCGATGATAAGAGAGTAGAACGAACAAGAGAGGGAATATAAGGACATCCCCCAGGAGCCTATTTGCACACCTTCCTGATATAGTGCCAGTTTCTCAGATCCCTCCGGGGCAGTCGGGTCCCCCCCATACACACTCTGACCGACAAAGTTTGTGAAGTAGAGAGAATAACTCAGCAATGACATCCAACAGAAAAAATTTGTCAAACAAAGAATGGCAAGTGATTTTGGCATTTTTATAATTGTTTTCAGGTACATTATAAGCGATTGGTCCTCATTTTGTGGTTTATCGATCTCTGAATCAACTTCCCAAGTAGCTTTTGAAATATCATGTTCTGCATTTCTGTTGGTTTCAAATTCTAAAGTAATTCCTGCAGTGTCTGTGATTTTGGTGGAATTTTGTCCATCTAGGTGCCGCGGAATTACTTTAAGAACAATTTCCGATACTTCATTTCCTCCATTTTCCTTGGTCACTTTTGACAATTCTGGTTTTGCATCTTCATCTGGAATAAACGCCTTGTTAATTGCACTTTCAGAACTTTTGATCTTATCATCTTGATATGTAGCTCCATTATCAATAGAGAACACATTGTGGGCTGTATTTTGGTCCACTACTTTTGTGAAAGATTCTACCTCCTCGTGTGGCTTTGCAATCTTATGAGATGATTTAATATTTCTTTTAAAAGGTTTCTCTGGAAAACTTGTCACAGTAACTAAGATGCATGTTATGTAAATAACCAGCACTGCTGCATATACAAATGCAACTTGACCACTGATGAATGACTTGTTTCCCGTTAGTGAACCCCAATCTATACCTCCAATGATATAGCCCAGGGTTCCACCAAGTCCCGCAAATATGGTGAATGTAGATAGTCCTGTTGAATGGTCACCCCCATTTGTGACATCCAGCATGTATGCCCTACATGATGGCTGGGAGGCATCCGCACTGAAGTCTAACAGAACTGCTCCCAGGCTTGTCAGGATTATCCCAGTCAGGTATGGTTTGCCTGTCCTTTGGTCAGACGTTGTGTTGATTGTACCATTGATGGTTATATTGCTGCTTAGGTGTGTTTCATTACCAAGTGGGTCAAAGTATTTGGCTATCGCTTTACCATGGGGCACCAAAATTAAACCACATATAATCCCAATAGATAGGGTTATAATAAATGGTCGCCTTCGTCCTAAAGAGCATGTACATCTGTCACTTATAGATCCTAGTAATGGCACGATAAAGAATCCAAGCAATGGGCTGCAACACCATACTAGCGACATATATGTAATTGGCATACCAATGGAAAGGAGGATTGGAACAACAAAAGCTGACTCTGCTGCATAGCAGAACTCAATCCCACAAACAGCAGCACTCAAGCGCATCAATTGAAGCCTTGTCCTGTGCATTTTATAAACTTGCTTCTTTGGAATCTCTTCAAGTCCCACTAGAGCAGCATCAGAGTTAACTTTGTGCATGGGAGTGTCAGAATGAATTGGAATGGGGTTTGGTGTCTGAAGTATGATAACACTATTTGTAGTTTTCAGATTTTGATCCTGTAAGATGAAAAATGTAAAATACTTTTGAAATATGGCATTCTAAAATATAAATTTTTATCATGGTCATTATTGTATATGTCCAATTTGCATTTTTGACTTTTTTCTTGTTTAGGTGCTAAATTAAATATAATTCAAATAGTTCACAGATGAAATAATTGATGTTTCATATTTATTTAGTTTTATAGAATGAAAGTAAAAAAAACATTTAACTTTAATACTACAAACTGTGTCTCTTGTATTTGTACAGTATGAGTAAAAATCAGAAATCTTTTAATACAATACCTACAAGACCAAACTTTTAACAAACCTGAATTTTGTCTCCAGGACCAATGATTCTAACATCTTCATCCCGCTTTCCTATCTTTACTAATGTGACATTATTTTCCATCTTCTTTACTAAATGTTTGTGTTAAATGAAAAATGGGTCAAACTACTTTTAGTATTCCCTGATAATGTGAAAATTTTTAATCGCATGAATATGACTCCTTGTATTTATTGTCATTTTTTTGTCATTCAATTCTAAATTCATCCGTGTCAATGAACTTGTTACTTCAAAGCATTTTGCAAGTACTACCTGAAATCAAAGTGACCATTTCTTATACACTATGCCAGGGTTGTACCATTTGAACCATCAGTTCATTACATTTCAGATAAAGGAATTAATGAAATGTTCCCAAGCAATCAACATCAAAATCAATATTATACTCCTTGTTTTGTATTATATATCAAATGATATGTGTGTATTTATACATTTATGAAGTCATCAATCTCACTGGTAATTATTAAGAAAATTAAAAATCAAAATTAAAGATTGATGGTTACCAAAGAAAAAGTAAAATGATGCATTGTTAGTTACAGGAAATTTAGGTACTTCTTGATTTTTACCCTGCACTCTGAGTCTAGTTATTAACTACTCTCTGCCTAGTGTAGATTATATTACAGTTTAGCAGCCCCGCCTTGATGACTGGTGCCTGTGACAGCCCGGGTCATAAATCATTTTAAACCTACCACGCTGATTTTTTCTCAACTAATCCATGAACTGGAAGGAACACGTGCTACATGCGAGCTTATTAACTCCACAGTTATGTCAGAGAAAATGACCATATATAGAAAGTCGTTCGTTCGTTCGTTAATGACCTTCTCAAAAAGGTATTTTTTCAACTTGCTTCATATTGACCATTTTTCAAAATCACCTACAATATTATTATGAGCAACTAGGTGGTGAAATTTTGTCATGTTAATGCCTTGTTAAAATTGTCTTCATGAAGATGAAACAATCCATAAAAACGTTTATATCTGTAAATATTGAGAGGGTGAATTATCCAGATGATGCATGAACAAATATAAATCCTTGTATTAGTTTTGTTTCATTTACAGGGTATCTCATAAGGCCATGCGTTGCACTTATACTTGAAAAGTAAATCAGGATATCAATTTTTCCTAGAAGATTTAATGTTCTATATTTAGACATTCAGAAAAATATATTCAGGATGAAAAATATTGAATATATAGAAGTTATTTAATGGGAGGTTTTTGATACTCCTCAGATATAAATTATATTTGCACATGTTAGTTACGATTGTTAAGATTGATCTTGGGCTTGCCACTATAAAACCACAACATGCTTGATGGACTGTCAGGTCCATTACAGCGATCAGTAATGACTCTATTAGAATGGGCTGGAGGAAATCGGGAATTTTAGTCGTTATAGAGTAGAATGACTCCTAATGTTTTAACATTTTTATTGATATTTTAGTTCAAGTATTTATTGTGTTTTTTAATAAATAGAGCACCGTGAAGACTGCATATTCTATTCTATATTCTATCTATAATCATCCTTAGCCACGCCCATTTTGAGTACTGTATAAATGACTTCTGTAAGAAAGGATGGGTATCGATATTGCGAACTTTTTGAACCCACGTTTCTCTTAAACCAGTCATAAAAAAATTCTGAAAATTTTAGACATCGTCAATTAAATGGTCATCTTTTGAATGGTAACAATGTAATTTGAAAAATATATATATACTTTCATCTATGTTGTTTTAGAAAACACATCAAACACTTGTTTTGTTCTTGGTATCCTGTTTCCAGAGTGAAATGAAACATCTTTCCGAACCTCATTGGAACAAAACGACATAAACACAACATGTTTAGGTCTCTCAATATTGTAATTATACAAAGGAAATTTTGGTTGATTTTAAAAAAGTATCTTGTTAATGAAATAAAAGGTTTATCTTGATTTTTATCTATTTTGAGGCGATTTTGTTTTAATTTTTTGAATACTTTTTTAAAATCAACCAAAAATTCCTTTGTATAACTATGATATTGAGAGGTCTAAAACATGTTGTATATACTATTTTGTTCCAACAAGGTTTGGAAAGACATTTTATTTCATTCTCAAGAATTGGTAAAAAGGAGCAAAAACAATTGCACTAAAAAAAAAAAAAAATGTTAACAAAAACAGTTATATAAAATATTTCTAAATAATTTTTGCATTAAATTGTTGTCAATCAGTCAACATTACATGAAATACCGTGTTTTTTACAGAATGTTTTCAATGATTGGTTTAAGAGAAAAACATTGTTGAGTTCAGTTCTCCATATCGATACCAATCCTTTACTTGCTAACATGTGAATCGACCGATCTGGGACCACTACAGTAAACATCAAATTTTCACATGCATTTTAATTTCGCGATTATTGTACACCTCGCTAAAACGCGAAAAATAGATGCATGTGAAATATAAGTGTTATACAGTATAACACTACTAAGTATGGGATAAAACTGATTATCATTCTTTTAGTATGTTGTCTGACATAAATATGGTTCAAGTAGTATATGGTACATCCCCGAAATGATACGGATACATTACTGTTTATTTTCATGCCTTTTCTGAATCATATCATCCTACAATTCATATTAACTCTCGAGAAATATTGATTCTCTAAAGTAAATTATTACCAACCTATGTACTTGGTTACATAGGTAGAATTCTAGTAATTTAAACTGCCTAAACATACACCTTATTATACACATATTGATTGACAATGAACTTTTCAGACTTTGATTCTCTTGTGCAGTGAAAAAAGCTTTCTGCCTTAGGTTGTTGAATAATGCAAACAATTTGTGTATAAGATCAATCCTAAGAGTGTGACCGCATCCTTGAACTTGTTAGAAACCACAATTGTTCCTTTCTAGAAATCTGTGAGTTTAAGATGACTTTGATTTAGCCCATACAGACTATACAGTTTTGCAAAAAATGATGACCAATTTAATCAATTACAGACATCACGTGACCATGTGTATCATGGGAAGGCATAGGCTGCAGTGGGGTTCCACCAATCAGATCACATTAGAGGGCTCTTAAAAGCATATACATGTAATCGAAATCCATCATATAAGTCAAGTTAGGGGTCATTAATAGTGTATAACATTAAATGACTGTGACAAGAGTAGGTTTCAAATGATGTAATATTAATTTGTGCCTCTGAAAATCCAAAATGGCTGCCTTATGTGGGGATTATAGCTATAATTCTGAGGTCCCTTCAAAGTATGGCTTCATATACGGTATATAGTACTCAAATTAGAGATTATTTAGAGATATCAAATATTATATTGTTTTCTGATTTGTGCCATAGGAACTTTTTAAATGGTCACAGTAGAAATTCACAATGATTTTGAGATATCTACAAGGTATGGCTATATTATAATTATTCAAATCTTATGGTATTTTTGAAGGGATCTTAAATAGCATATAGTGTTTCTGAGTTGTGTCTTTGAAAATTAAAAATGGACCTCCAAATTCTTAAATTGGTGGAATTCTGAGATAAATCTCCTATATGTGCCTTTCTATGTGCAAATCAAGGCTATATATGAGCAGATAGTAAACCATTATTATTTTAAATTAATGATTTAAGACTTTGACTCAGTGCAATGTGGAATGACCATTTCTTGAAGGTAATTGCTTTCCAAAATTTGCGCGAGATACTTTGCACGGGGGTAAAGCAGACCCGATGATGCAATGAGCTTGCTCGGCGATATCATGACTGTGTAACGGGTCTGTATGTATAAGTGTGCTCGGCGGTAGGTTCAAACAACGCGGATCCTCAAAGCATGTGCTCATGGTATATTCGTGTTTTAACACCCGTGCTTTGCATCAAGTGTTAATTTTAGGAAGCAACGCCTGAAAGTGAATAATAAAACAAATATTTCATACTATTTGCGTTGAATACCAGCTGAACTTTCAGTGATTCTGCAAGGTGTATTCCCCTGGCCTTTCGTGGAATACACCTTGCTAGAATCTTTGAAAGATGAACAGGTATTCAGCTAACAGCATACAGTAATATTTTATCTTTAGATATTCAAAAAAAGAAAACAAATTAAACATGACTGTTTTTTATTTCAATTTGGAATTACAAGTCCATCTGATATTGTATTTACAGGCTCTATTTGAGGCAGGGGAAAATAAGTGGGGAACGGATGAGTCCAAATTCAACCAGATTTTATCGAGCCGCAGTTTTGCACATTTACGAGCTGTGTTTGAAGAATATGGAACGCTGTCAAAGAAAAGCATGGAAGACGTCATCAAAGCAGAATTTTCGGGAGATATCAAAAATGGCCTGCTTACAATTGGTAAGGATGAAAACCATGTTATCCCTTAGAGGGTGTCTTAACAAGTCACACACCTTACATATTCGACAAAGAACTGTAATTTAACTAATGATTTTGATTCCAAAAATTAAGAAGATATAAATTTTAGAAAAATATTGGGCAATAATAGTTATATCCATCAGTTTAGCAATGTTACAGTCATAACAGTTGTTTGTTGAGGCTTATGTCCCATTATTATGCACCTCATTAAAATACTCAAATCTGACTGGTTAAGCTACAGAGTCTATTGCCATACATGGCAGCAAGATCTCGTTCTATCCAGTATTGAAGCAACGAGATCTCCAACCATCCCGTATGCCAGAATACCTATCCTCGAAAAAAATACTAGGCTCGGCTTCTGTTTTAGTAGACCCATTCTTTAAAATAAAGTATTTCTTGACAATTTAACACCATCTCTTATTTATCTACTAACAGTAAATTAATGGTAGGAATATGATATTAACCAAGGGAGGTGCATAATAAAATTCGGAGAGAAGTCTGTCATTAAGATATAAAAGCATACACAATTATAATTGCAGATGCAAAAAAACCTGCATCAATCATACATATAGCACATATGTCCCAGTCTGCAATCTGGTTAACTTGTATAATTTTTACCCAAAGAAGATGTTCAAATACTCACTACATTGATATATTGTAACTTAAACATTTTGTTCATTTTAACTTTTAATAACAAATACAGGGTATCCCATAAGTAATGATAATTATAAATTGAAATTCACACAAATTAAAGATTTAGATATGAGCTTCATTTTGCTATATTACATATATTTATTATGTAACACAAAAATATTCCATGTCTAATTACAATATCTGTCTAGTCATGCCGCAATAACGAGTCCATTTTTGTTGCAGTGCGTGTCATCCAGAATAAACCCGGATACTTCGCCAAACAGCTACATAAGTCTATGCAGGGACTGGGGACAAATGATGATCTCCTGGTGCGAGTAGTCGTCACACGCTGTGAATGTGACATGGTGCAGATCAAGGAGGAGTTCCAGAAGCAGTACAAAGGCACTCTCGCTGAGTGGATCATTGTAAGTATACTTGGAGTACATTTAATGGTTTGCTAGCCCTCTTGCTATGATCTACAGTATGTTCACCTGTTCACTGCATGTATGTTAAATTACTAATGTACAGGATAAGCCAAATAGATAAATCTTAATAACTCAGTGATCAATTAAACCTTGCTCAATGTTCTTTCATTCCACCAAATTTCATTGGTCTATTCTGGCTACACGCTCGCAGATATCTTGTGTAATGGCTTTCATTTTCCTTCTAATCTCAAGTTGTTAATGTACATATTAGAGAGTTTAAGCTTCCAATATTTTTCACAACAGAATAGTTAACGCAAAGCCAATGAATCCATACAGTAATGTATATAGCGAGCATAGAAAACAAGCGCTACTCAGTCTACTTCAAATACCCAATCAGCTTCAAATATGTGTTTAGAATTGGGAGATTTGCAATTTCACGTTGGTGTCAACAGAAATCATTATACTCATGTCTATTGAATACTATGCTGGCAATTTTGATTTCGATGCACAGTATAATGCTTTCTGAAGAAATTGATGTGTGTCATACATGTTTTAGCCCCAAATATCTTACGAAACGAGCTTGTTTAAAATATGTATCATAGAAAACTAGCTATATAACTACCAATGGCATTTTACACAATGATGTGTAGTCTATGCAACGGACTAATTAAACACTATAACTGAATGATTGTTTATGTGGGAAAACTACATGCATTTGTATAGTGCAACTTGTGCGTACAGGTTGATGTTTCGATTTTTATATGCATTGCTTAAAGTCTCAAATATCTTCGAAATAGCCCTAGTGATAAAATTCTGTGGGTTCACAATGGGCGATTTTGGTATGTTTTGGTATTTTGACCATGTTTTGCAAAGTGGCCATAAAATAGTGACCATTTTGAATAGACCAATGAAACTTACTAGAATGAAATAACAGTAATCAAGGTTCAATTGTGTAAATTAGAGAGCTTTCTTGCAACTTTTACTTTTAAATTACGTTAACACCACTGGGGAGGAAGGTTTCTCAAAGAAACCAGGAAAGAATATTTCATAAGAAAAATTTTCCTCATTTCCTGATCAAGGGAATTGATTTGTGAATATCCCAGCAATGGCAGAATTTATTTCTTCGTTGTAATCATATTTTGAAACTAGAACTCACGAACTACATACTTGCGAAATATTTGTTTTGATTTGAAGGATGAAAGCACCCTATCTTCATTTACAGAGTTCCTCCTCAGTGCTACACCTGACTTGTACAATCATAAATTTGACTATACATATTCCAAATAACTTATATCGAAAGCTCTCTGATATCATTTTAAACCCATACAGGATGACTGAGTTACTAAGATTTATTTGGGTTACCTTCTTTGGCTGACCCTGTGTATTTAGACCTAACTGAGAGGCAGAACTGTTTCATCAATTATTTCCTAGTCTAGCCACAAACCCTTGTAACCCCCCTCCCCCTGTTTGGGTGAAGAAGATATGGGGATGAGTCCAGAAACTCAAAGCAAGACTTGTTTCTCTCTAGCGCTATGAAAAAAATGATTCATAAAAAAAAGTTTGGACTCGAAACCAGCCCAAGGCCATATTATTAATGAACCACTCTCATATGCAAATGAAATTTTGTTTCAATGCAATTCGATTTAAAAAGAAATTACTCAAAACATCAAGGTATGTAGTGATTTGGCATACAATTAATTGCCTATTCATTATAGTTCAATCACCCGGAACTTATTTAACTATGTAACCTTGAATTTCTTTTTATTATTGTTTCCAAAGCTGGGCAATTATTTATTTACCAAATGAAGTAATGAACGTTTTTTGTATTTTAATGGACTAATTATACATAAAGCTTTATCATTAACTTCAATTGATCCAGTGATGCCATTAACCATATACTGACATTGGGCAACTACTTTATTAATTACTGTATTGACCTTCATTTAGCTCAAAATAGTTTTCATTTTAGACATCTCATTTTTGCTGTATGTCATTACCCCGTTCCTTTTTAGCCTTGTTTGTTCATTTACCCTGAGCCTTGTTCAAACAAAATGTCCTGCTTGCTTAAATACTTCAACTTTTCTATTGGAGTAATATTTAGTTTGTACTGTGAACATAACACCAAACCCAGTTTACATACCAGTCATTCTTTTTATCCAAGCACTGAAAGTGTGCAACTAAGCCCCCTATCACACCAAACTAGTTCTTACCCATTCTTGCCAGTCCAACGAAAACGTTGTAAAACGGGCTCAATCTGGCTGTGGTCGGGAAATATATCTAAAATAATTAGCTTCTTCGTTCTTAAACAGTCTTCAATACGTCCATCTCGTTTGCAGTTCGTTCAGGTCGCACCACGTCGGTGTGCAACGTCGTAGAACGCGTCCCTTAGTCTAGAAGGTCAACATGACCTGATTACAGAACGGTATGGTCGCCATCGAATTTTGAATCGATTCAAAATTCTAAAATCACATTCCCATCTGAGAACGTTCATAAAGTTCGTAAATAGACCTTAGAAAGTTGCAGCTACGTTCATTCTGTTCGCACACAGTTTCAAACCAGTTTTGAAGAACGCAGTGGCAACTTGTTTGGTGTGATAGCTATATTTTTGCTAACTCGTTCATAAGCAGTGTTAAATACGTTCTTAATCAGTTTAAACCCGTTTGCAATTAGTTCTACCTCGTTCTCAACACGTCCTCAGACAGTTCAACTCGTTGTTAAAACGTCCCTAGTAGGATTGAAGTACGACGGTTCCGTTCGTAGTACGTCCAGCTCGTCGTTAGAACGTTGTCACTCGTTTTAATTGTAGAACGTGACGACCACGAGAACATTTTGAGCATTGTCTAAGTTCTAGAGGACCTACCCGTTCGAGTACGTTCGATGAAGCTTGTAAATAGATCCCAAACGGTTCTTAGTAGGTCCAGTCCGTTCGTACACAGTTGAAGCCCGTTTTCGAGAACGTAGTGAGAACTAGTTTGGTGTGATAGTAGGGTAATATAATTACATGTATTATAAAACACACAATACATTTATTTACAGGGTGTGTCATACAAGTGTCCAATTAAAAATTTCTAAGACTTTTCAAAAGTGTAAATCTTTTCCTGTATTGAAGCCAGTAATTTTTGGGTAACCTGAAATTGTGGTCTAGTTGGACACCTTTGCCAACCCATTGTACTAAATAAATAAATAAATAAATAAATAAATAAATAAAAACAATGTTCATGTATTATATACTGTGTTTTGTTAACATCATGAGATAACCTTCAGGGATTTTGGATACATATATAATTAAATTGCCGCCAATTGAAATCAATATCCCAGATGCGAGTAGAAATAATCTTGATTTACGTCATTAAAAATTCAGTCAAACTGATATCATATTTGGAATCTACATGTAAAATTACATTTGGAAATGTGATTTTGAAAAGAGTTTATCAACTTTGAAAATTTAATTTTCTTTGAAAATGTGACTTCTAGGTCGGGGAGATTCCCCATAGACCCCATGTTGTAAAACCACAAAAAGTGAAATATCTTTTCATGTGTTGGGTAGATAATATTTTCTTTTACTGGACATATTTTAATTTGTATAACTATCAGATACATAAAGGTAATATGAAAAGTGAACCACTAAAACTGATGCATATTCAAGTTTAAGAGAATCTTGTAATACCCTGCCATGTTAATTCCCCCGAATCAGCCACCTGGTGGCAGAACTGGTAACTACCTACTCGCATCTGAGTAATTGTACTTGTTTATATAAGAAATAAATTGATAACATGAAAAAAAAATAGAAAAGACTGTTTTGTAGGATGATACATCTGGAGATTACAAAGAGACTCTGTTAGCCTTGATAGGAGAGAGGGCATGTAAGCCTCCTGCTAAAGCTGCTGACCCTTACGATGTAGTAGTTGGAGAACCTGAGCCTGAGATGGAGCAAGATCTATATGAGGTATTAGAGCACAAAACATCTTTTGGATGTGACATATGAATAGTGTAGCTCCAAAAGCCATAAAGTTTTGATCTGGGGCAGTTGATTTCTCTCCGACATAAAGAAAAGTTATGTTGAATGAAAACAACCTTTCTTCATTCTTGCCCAAATAAAAACCTCCCAAGTTGGCCTTTATTGGCATATTTCACATTATAGTAACATAACCTTCTTAACTTTAGCTCTTCTTTCCCCTGTTTACTTTATTCCTTATTTCCTTTTATGACCATGATCTATCATTCTGAGGCCCAACTCAATAATTATTTTACAGGAAGAAGGTGTTGTTGGCCCAATTGAAAACTTCCAGGCTGAGAAGGACTGTGAAGTTCTACGTAAAGCTATGAAAGGGTTTGGAACTGATGAGAAGGCCATAATTGGTGTAATCCCTGCTAGAAGCAATGATCAAAGACAACAGCTCTTGACGCAATACAAAACCATGTATGGGAAGGTAGGGCATGAATGTACCTAAAACTAAATTCTCCACTTTTTTGAGTAAACTTTTATTTCATATCATGTATTTCTTAAATAAAGTTTACCCTGTCATCATGATTCATCTACCTACAAATGTTGAGCAATTCTTGTGACAATCAGTGGTAAATGTAATTTCCTCAATCCACCATGAGAGGGATAAAATCATTGTATACAAAACAATATGGTTACCATGAGATTTTTTTAGCTTTTTGATAGAAAATGAATACCTGAATAATACATGACAAAAATCGTGTAAGACACAATTGTTCATTAGATGCAGTACATCACCCCATGCAACTGTTTATGTTCTAGGACCTTATCAAAGAACTAAAGGGTGAACTGGGAGGTAGCCTCAAAGACACAGTGGTTGGCTTGATGAAGACTAGTACTGATTTCTCAGCCTCAGAGCTTCACAAAGCAATGAAGGTATGTAAATGTTTCATTTATAGAACATTTCTTTGCACTAAATTCAAATCGTCCATGTTACAAGGGTATCAGATACAGCTACATGGGCTGACCTTGCATGCTGCCTGCTAGTATCAAGCATGATTCATTTTTTGGAAATTATCATTACTTATTTTTTACTTTTTGTTCAGTTGTACAGAACAGTTGGTATCCTGAGAAGTGTATGTTGCAACTATTGTATGTCCTTTTAAAAGCTGTATATTGCAAATACATTTTATTCTAATGTGCCATTACAGGGAGATCGTGGCGAAACGGTGGGTGGTATTTAAATGTGTCTCATAGTCAGAATAGTTCTCAGAAATTTCAGAAATTAGAGTTTATTTTCAATTTGAAAATGATGATATTTTATTTGGATTTAAGGTAGCCCAAGTGCATTGAGTATAACATGGACCTTTAGCATGTGTACACTGTCATCATGTGCAAATGCAAATCCATCTCACTAGGCACACCTTAACATAGGGCCCACATAGGGCATTTGATAAATTATGAATGAAAGCTTACTTTTGTACTTTTGAGAAAATTTTGAGGCTTTTTGAGAAATATCTGACTTTGGCTCACTGCTTTGTTTTAATAGATGCACATTTTACATTCATATGTTCTTTATTTTGATTATTTTGTAACAATCTTATCACATTTGAAGCAGAGGATTTGGAGGAATCTGAAAGTAGCAAATTGCCTTAAAAAAGCTTGTATGCATTGTTTCAAAGTGCTTGTGTGATATTCTGTTTGAAAATAGAAGATTATAGTCTAGTAAAAATGCTTCTAGTAAAGTGAGTGTCTGAGTAAGGTACCTGTGTTAAACATAGGACAAAATTAGATGTTGTTGGTCAATTACTATGATCATACATTAAACACAGTTCTGTCACAGTGCATGCTTTGAATTCACTAAAATTGTATCTTTTGAGAAATGTAGTACGTAGAGATTTGAGGTCTAACTGAGTATGGCACCATTATAGTGACACATACTATTTTAGATAATATATGAGTACTTCGTCATATTACCAGAAACATGATAGCCAAGGGTATGCTACTTGAAAATTCCCTTATAGAGAAACATTATGTTTTTATCATTATTTGTCTAATATTATTTGGAAAAGGCATTTGAAGAAGAAAAGATGTAATGTGTAAAACTACAAGCTATCAAGGCATTCATATTACAGTTCAGACCCTAAGAGCATTGGAAGTAAGCAGTGAAATGGAACATCTTGCCATCTGATATTTAACTGAAAATCATTACATTCTATTTTAGGGCCTTGGTACAGATGAAGATGTCCTCATTGAGCAGATATGTACCAAGAGTAATGCAGAGCTGGCAGCTGTTAAAGCAGCATACAGAAGATGTAAGTTCACAGTGACATCTATATATGTTTCTATATAATCTTCATTTTCTACCATTATTACCATTTATTTAACATTTCAGCCCCTTTGAATGTTGTAAAAGTTACATTGGTGACCATTGAGATCTTATCGGCATTAAAACTGTTTCTAGTATTCAAAATTGTCTTATTTTTCAAAGTTCAATGCCAAGAGTAAAAAGTGGTTGCCATTAGCAGCCACCAGGCAACTGTGAGTTTTAAACTAAAGTAACATCCTCGCTGTAACTTTTTTGATAACAGAAAATTGCATCATAAGAGATAATGTTTTTTTGTCACTACCACAAGTGGTGACATACTGTTATAGTCTCCAACTTTTTGTGACAGTGTTCAGCAATCGGGGGGTTGGCGTTTGGCATCTGTAACAAATGGTAGGTTATGGCATTAATCGTAGAGACCATTGCATTTTAATGATAATTTCTTTTTATTTTAGTATTCAGTGCAGACCTTGAGAAGGACATTGTGTCAGAAACATCGGGTCATTTCAAACGCTTGCTTGTCTCATGTTTACAAGCTAACCGCAACGAGAACAGAGAATTTGATCGTGCAAAAGCCAGAGCAGATGCTGAGGTTCTTTATAAGGCTGGGGAGAAGAAATGGGGGACGGATGAATCACGATTTAATGTGATTCTCTGTTCAAGGAGCTATGGACACCTCAGAGCGATGTTTGAGGAATACAAGAAATTCTCTAAGAAAGACATTGAAGATGCTATCAAGAGTGAGATGTCTGGGGACTTGGAGAAGGGCATGCTTACAACAAGTAAGGATATTCTGTTCAAAAAGGCTAAGTTTTGAAAAGCTTCTTTAAACATATTAAAGCAGTATGAAAGTATGTTAACTATATCTTTTATGATATCATTTATGTATCATGATATCATAAATCCAACAAATTATTTTTTGATTCTTCACTAACTAGGAAGATAACATTTCACTCAGTTCACTTCTGGTGGCTTCTACATATACTCCACCATGCATTACAAAGCAAGAAAAACTAAATACACATGTCCATTTATTTCTTTGCTTCCAGTCCGTGTTGTGCGAAACAAAGCTGCGTATTTTGCCAAATTGCTACATGATTCAATGAAAGGATTAGGGACAGATGATGACACACTGATCCGCGTAATGGTCTCTAGGTGTGAAGTTGACATGGTACAGGTCAAGCAGGAGTTCCTGAGATTATATAAGCAGTCTCTAGATGCATTTGTTGCTGTAAGTTGCTGTTGATAATGTTTTCTGGGAAGATTCTTGAACTTCTTATAACTTAATTTTAAAGCCATTTTAGCTCAAAATTCATAAAAATAAAGAATTTAGAGACATTTATGGATATACCTATTGATACTCTTAGAGCCCATCTGGTTATAAATGTTTGTGACCTGTTCAACCTTTGAATTTTGGGGCTAGCACTCATACCTAATTTTTTTTCACTCTATCCCTCTCAGTCTTCCTTTCTTACGCTTTGATGGTAACAACTTATTACATTATTAACCAAGTTGTACATTTGAGCTGTATTTCATTTAATTGTATCTTTTCGGTTCTTCAGTTTCTTTGCATTCAACAATAATTTAAATACATGAATGTAAGAAGGGTAAAAAACTTAAAAGGAAGCATGTAAATGTACATATGGAATCTCAATATATTTTATGATATATTTTTACTGTAGCTACTTGTAGCTACTTAATATCCATAAATATTTTTCAGGATTTTTTTTTTATTAATCATTTTTATTTCAAGTTCATATATTATAACATTTAATTTCATACAATGAAAATTCAACAAGGTTAATCAATTTAACATTTGTGTTGAACTTCGCAGTAAATATACCATACACTTATATGCAATACAAATTTGTTACAATTATTCGTAACTATTCATATATAAACAAAAAGGAAAAAGTACAATTAAAGCTGATATTGGAATGCTTTACAAAAAAGGTGTGCAGTGGTGTAAATTATGGGATGGTGTAATATACATGTTAGTCAATCTTGGTTGCTTGTAGGAATTTGAAAGTTGCTTTCAGCAGAAGTGTATTATCTTCATTACTAAGTTCACTGTTACCATGCAAGAGCATATTTACTTTGCTAACAGAGTTAGCATCTAAGAATTTTTCTAAACAACCAGTAATATGGAGATCTATAAGTAGTTGGATTCTATCATTTACAAATTGAGGGCATTTGAGGAAAAAATGAGTAGGGGTTTCATTTTCATGACCACAGTTACAGGCTGGTGAGTCAATGTTTGTAAAGTGATGAGCAAATAATTGACTTTTTAGAAATAGGTCCACTTTTAACCTGTTAAATATAATTTCAGTTTTTCTAGTGATATCAAGTGATGCTATTATATTTATACATTTTTCATTCCCGAAATGCTTTCTAAGTTTGCCTTTAAAAGTTGATATTCTATTACAATTTCTTAAATCATTAGGCAGACCATTCCATTCTTCAATCGCAGCAAAATATGTAGTTTTTCTAAATGAAATGCTGATATTTAGAGGCACAATATACTCTCTGACAGCCCTTAGAATTCTATTTGGTTCATGTAAGTATTTATTAAATAATTCAGTGACATATGAAGCTGATAAATTGATTCTACTTTTAAATAGAAATGAGCAAAGATGGCTTCTTCTTCTCTCAGACAAAGTAATCCAATTTAATGTCTTCAAGACCTTATAGGTGCTTGAACCATGCAGAGCACCGGAAATTAGACAAGCTGCATTATAATGCAGTCTTTCAAGTTTGCTGGTAGCTATATTTGGAGCACTAATGTAAATTATATCAGCATAATCAATTTTACTTAGAATAAAAGAATTATATATGGTTTCCAAATGATTCGAACGAAGAATGTGAGTTAATTGTTTAAATGGATTTAAGATTGTCTGTAATTCCTTGGTGAGCTCATTAACATGTTCCTTGAAATTAAGCTTTTGATCTAAAATAACACCAAGGTGTTTATGACTAATAGTTTTAGGAATGGGGTCACCTCCCAAATAGAGTATAGGTTCATTAACAGGGTTTGTTAAAGGTGATGTAAAAGTCAGGTCAGCACTTTTTGATGCCTTAAATTTCATTTGCCAGGTATCAGCCCAGGTTTTAATTGTATTTAGGTCCATTTGCAGATTTTGAGAGAGTAAAGGGCTTTTCTTAGAGTAAGGAAGGAAGATTGATGTATCATCTGCATAAATGAAAGTCTTACAATTTAGGTTATCAGGTAGATCATTTATATACATTAAAAACATAAGCAGCCCTAATACACTGCCTTGTGGCACACCAGCATTGATAAAATCAGGTTCTGACCATTTCGAGAAAGAATTATTTACTTTAACCTTCACTTGTCTTTGTGACAGATATGAATTCATTAAAAGTAAGAGATTATTGTTGATGCCATAAGATCTCATCTTTTGTAATAGTAATTGATGCGGAACGACGTCAAAAGCTGACGCTAAATCAAGAAAGATAGTTCTTACATTGTTTCCATTATTCAATTCTTCTTGAATGCAATGAATAATATATGAAAGTTGGGAAGTGGTATTATGCTTAGGAAGAAATCCTGACTGAAAACTGTAAAAGAGGTTATTTTGGATCATGTGATTGAAAATTCTATCATAAATAATCTTTTCCAGAACTTTAGATAAGGCATTTAACAATGTGACTGGTCTATAATTGACAACTTTAGATCTATCTCCTTTCTTGTGTAATGGAACAATAATACCCTCTTTCCAAATCTTTGGGAAACAATGAGATGTAAAAATTTTGTTAAAAAGCAAACTCAATGGTTCACATATCGTCTCAGCTGATAAAATTAGCATTCTATTATTTATTTTATCTGTCCCCTCCCCCTTTGATGCATCAAGTTGTTGAAGTAGTTTTAAAACCTCATTCTTATCAGTAAAAATATCTTCCAAGTTTAGATTACACCTTAATGGAAAATTTGGTAATGGTTCGTGTATTTGATCTACGTTGTTCTTCTGGATAAAATATTTAAGAAAAAGTTCAGCTTTCTCAGAAGAAGATCCCGCAGATAGTTTAGGATTATCTAAATGTAAATAAGGCAGTGACACATTAAATGACTTTCCAAGTAGCTTCTTCAAAAGTATCCAGTAATCTGTTGAGTTTCTATTTAAATCTGATAAAGTTCCACATGTTGATTCTATATGTTTACGCTTAGCTTCATTTATCATATTTACAACACATAAGCTTTGTTCTTTGTATTTTTGAAGAAAGGTTAAATCATTTGAATGTTTAAATTTATGATGAAGTCAATCTCGTTTATTAATTTGCTTCTTTATATCAGAATTGAACCAAGGCTGATCGTTTTCTTTTATTAAAACCTCTTTATGCGGAATTGTTTCCTTAAAAATGTTGAACAAAGTATCAACAAACCTATGAGTGGAAATATGAACATTTTGAAGTTCTAAGATCTCTCCCCAGTTTGAATTAAGTATTCTTTGATTCAATATTGTTTTATTAAGTTTATCATATTGCCAAATGATTTTCTTGGTTGGAGTTTCTTTAATAATGTTCATTTTTAGGTATGTTAACAAAGTGCAATGATCAGTATTTCCTACTGGTGGTAGAACTTTATGATTAGATATTATATTAATATTATCTGTAAAAGACAAGTCTATACATGATTTAGTAATAAAGTTGTTACGAGACTGCACTCTTGTTGGTTCATCTATAAGTTGTATAAAATTAAGATCAAATAAGATGTTGTGCAAGTTAGTCCCTGCTTCATCAACTTTATCATCTTTCCACCAAAAAGAATTACGTGCATTAAAATCTCCATTTACTACAGTTGATCCAGGAAGTTTCTGAGCATCCTCAAGGTTTTTACCAAGTAATTTGAAATAGTCTAGTCTACTTATTTTATCTTGTGAAGGTGATCTATAAAATACTCCATAATTGAATAGTTTACCACTTACTTTAAGATTTAACCAAATATTTCCTAGTGTATCATTCATTAGTTCATGAATTATTTCAGCTTCTAATGAATTATGAACATATAGTATAAGACCTCGATTATTTGATCTGTAATGTTTAAGTTCAAAATTGTCAATTTTAAGATCTTTTTGTATGTCACTATTTGTCAAATTTCCCACCTCACATAGAGCAATAACTTTAATTTGTTGCTCTTTTACTTTGAACTTTAGTGCTTCAAAACGTGCTAAACTATTTGCTTTGAGACTATTAATATTAGAAAATAATATGGGTAATTCTGATATAGGACCTGGATTTTTTTCAATGTCACCAGATAAATATAATAATTGAGAGCAATCATATAAGCAATCGAGTAAAGGTGAGCCAGGAAATATCAGCAATATTAAAAGTAATTTAAATATTCTAATTAAAATCTTGAAGTATGACGTATTTGATGTAAAAGAAATATAACCGATGCAATAGTAGACAATTAAAATGATCATACTTTGATATTTTTCAGGATGACCTATCAGGTGATTACAAGAAGATCATAGTTGCTCTGGTAAATGGTAATGGCTGTGGAGTGAAGTCATCCAGTGGGCAGACAGAGAATGTCTTCAAACCAGATGGTGTGTGGCAACTAGATTCTCTCTAAGAATGGTCAAAGAAAAAAATGGATATTTTTTAATCTTTTTGGTTCATTTCACCAAATCATGATTATCATTGTCAAAGTAACCCTGTACCAAAGTAACAATCATCTGTGTACAGAACAGAAAATGTTTTTAACCAGACTTGTTTTGTTTCAATAAAAACAGTTTAAAAAGAATGCTAATGACTTCTATGTATGTTTTTCTGCAGATGCAGCCAGTGGGGATGAAGAGGACTAGGGATCTCTCCAATGGCCAGTTTTCCAGATACTGTGCATCATAAGAAATTGGAACCTCTTGGTTAAAGTGAACAACTGATGAACATGTCAAATTAATTTGAAATATGCACAGAAACACTATTTGGCTGTGAGGCTCTGTGAGACTGTTTGTTGTTCCCTACCTGCGAATGAGCTATCAAGACATGAACGCTGGTAGAATCAGGGTTGAAACGTCAGGGAAATTCAGAATTTCTTTAAAAGTGGCTAAAATGATCTGGAAATTTTCAAATTCTTTGAATAGTCGGTAGAGCTCAAGTGATTGAAGTTTTGAGACAAACTAAAGAGAAAAAACTAAAAGATAACTACCTAGATAAAATCATGTAGTTGCAGTCAGTGCCCTTGTAATTGTTTCTTTTATGTACTTTATTTTTCTTTAATACTTTTACATTTAGATATAAATTATAAAATTTGCAATATGCCATATCTATTTACAATGTTGCTTATGCTGGCATACAGTGTGTTTATGATATTTTGTGTAAAAAATAGGAAAGATAATATAGCCTATATGCTGTTGTACTATATACATTTTATTGTATAGATATTTAGTATATTTAGTATATACAAAATGTATATGTAAATTGTGTACAAAATTGGAATCATGCTTTATGTTACCACTTCAAGAGTAAAAATGGCAGGTGGTGACATTTGCATGTTAATGTCTTGTTACAGTATGGCTTAATAAAGAGGGTGGTAGTTTGAGTTGCTTCAAAGTATAAGCTTGAGATCAAAACATTCCAGTTCATGGTGTGTGTCATAAGATTTTAAGATTAAGTGGTTAAAATTGGATTTTACATACCAGTATATAGGCTGGAATTATTATCGTGTCTAAAGTTCACTGGTAACTGTTCCAGTGCTTACTTTTTCCATAAAATGCACTTATGTTTCTTAAAGAGCTGTGCCGTCCAACATTGTTGCAATATTTTATCTATACAGTATACACTTTATTCCTACATGTATATACACAGTGACAGTTTACTGCACACTCTGTGAAGTTTATCTTACATTTTATTTTTAATCTACATGTATATATTATACATAATTATGACAAGTTCTTTTTTATATAAAAAGCTTGATTTTATGTTTAGAGTTGTAATATAGGAATTCTGTATTGTGCATTCAGTATGAAGCATCAACAACAATGAATAGACATCATAAAATCAATTGATCTAAGTGCTGATTGGTTTAGATTTACTTTCCACAAATTATTTGTCTTCCCTCACAAGTTCTCAGAATCAAAATTCCCAAAATATATCCATTATATGTACTGTCATCCGTCCATGCATGTTTTTTGTAAAAGTATGCCTTTAGTACTATATTCACTTATTTAAAAATAGATTGCAAATAGGAACAAAGCTATTTTGAAGTACTTCATTGGGATATTTTTTTTTATTTGAAAGGATGATTGTACAGTTTAGCTCAATAAGTAAAGCTAATTTTGCTTTAAAACTTTTATTTTGCAATATCTATATCAAATTTACATAGCAGTAGCATTATGCATTTCACAAACCATCCTGAAAGGTTGGCAAAAGTATGCTGATATTTGGCACTGTAGTGGTTGTCATAGTAACTTGAAGTAGGGTTCAACGGAGCAAATCATAACCAATAAAAACTTGGCTATAAATATTCAATGCAAAATATTTTTAGAGCAGAATTAGCTTTACTTATTGAACAACCTGTAAATTGTTTTTGTTATTTTGTAGAATTTTAGATTAGTTCAAAATATATATTGATGTTACAAAGTACATTTGTTTGTTTTCTTGTGAATTGAATTGAATTGTGATGGGCACTACACCATGGTATGTAGTGGTAGCCACTACACCATGGTAACACAATATTTCAAAAGAAAACATATTCAAGGCAAAGACTTGAATGATAAAGCTTGACATTCACTATTTATGTCTCAGCAATAAACCATTGACAAACCATTGAACGACCTATTTCAACAAAGTTGCATCTATATGTTATTTAAAGCAGCAGAATTCTCAGCTTTAAGCCCTGACTGCAAAGCAAAATGGGTTTGGGAGATAGTTTCAGTAATCAATTGGGGAAAGATCAATTTTTATTTTTATAGACAAGATATATGGATCATATGCTTACAATGTATTGTCAGGCCTGTAGCCAGGGGATTCCCCCCCCACCTCCCTGGCCAAAAAATCTTTCAAAGTCATGCTCATTCTGAGCACTTTTTAAGTGATTTTGGCCATTTTTTGATCAAAATTGTCACAAGTGAAGCCCCCCCTGGAATTTTTCAAAAAGTGAACGTCCCCTTGGCAAATCCTGGCTACGGGCCTGATTGTCATTATCTGAATGTATATTTCAGTTTGTTATATTTATATGATATGGTGCACTTGGCTATCGCAACCATGGCTCACAACCCATGTGCCACTGAGAGCAATAAATAAATGAAAAAATAAAACAATGAGTTACCATCTTGGAGAATGCCAAAGCTCACTATTCTTCAACTTGTATTAACTAAATCAGTATTACAAAACTTATCTCTATGCTCATTTCAAAACTAACAAACATCCAGCATTATCTATCTGTTGATAGGACTTCAGAATCACTGTGGATCCATTTATATCAGAACATTGCCGTCAAATTAAACACGTGCTTCTGTTTACAAACAAACAAATTGACCAATAAGAGCTCTTCCTTTTTTTAACCGCGGGACAGGTTTGTTGAAAAATGGCGTCCATAACTGCACCAGTTTCTCCAGTTTTTCAAACTAATATCGACAATTACTTCAATACTACAGGAGGAAATGTTGCCGAAATGAATCTCCACGATGCATTAGATATCGAGGAAGACGGAGAGTTTGTGAAGGGTGCACAATTTGCTGGGAAACAGGAATTTCGAGACAAGAAAGGAAAATGTGTTAGAATTTCGCCGCTGCTCGTTGATTTCCGAAGATTGCTAGGCTCAAAATTATCGGCGGAAGTCATTGAAGGGGTATGCACGTTGTTTGAGGATAATTTCATTTATACTTTTTTATGCTTGCTCTATTGACTTCATTTTCTTTCTAGAGTCCATTTCATTGTTTAACTGCGTCAGTAAAAGCTAAAAAATAAGAAATCAAAATATCATTTTGCAATAAGACTTATATAGGGGAAATGGTCCTATCACCGCACGGGTATGGAATTGTATGAAATTCTTCAAATTACAAGACGGCACAGGGTTATTCAATGCACAAAAAAACTAAAAAATCTGAAATATACAAATGTCATTCATGTACATTATGAATATACTTTTCCATATATTATTGCACAATGGTCTCCCAATTTCTTATTTTTGCCGTTCTACTGACGCAATGAAGCAGTGAAATGGACTCTAGACGAATTCCTGTGGATGGGGCAGCAGCTTACAGCTAGAATATCTACCTTTAGAGTCAAGTCTTGTTTTAACATTAGCTTAAAGGATGTATAAAACTATCAAGAGCTTGAAAAACGATAAAAATGAGTTTTTTTAAGAATACCATCAATTAAATTCAATTTCATCAATTAAATGCAATAACTACGCTTTCGCTTAGATAATCAAATGTGAAAGTGCTCTAATAACGAAAGTGAAAGTATTGGGCCATTGTAAGGAATTCCCCAAAACAACTATCACAATGATTGTCTGCATATTACCTAACGCATATTGATGTTGTCATACTCGTGGCCTGCTTTTTGGGAAATCCAATGTAATGTGATGTCATTACCCTAAGAACGATAGCTTTCGAGAAACCCCCTAACTGTTATTGGATAACTAGAGTGCAATAAACATTCTATCATATTGCAATCAATTCCTCATATTAATACAACTATATGATAATAATAGCGCATCATGCTTTTAAGAAATAAGCCTAAAAACGTCAGTGTTATTGTAATTGAATTAAGGTGGGCCCCCCACTGAACGAAACATTCTTGTTTAAAGTGGGGTTCATTGTAACAGCTCACACTCCGTCAATATTTTATCAATTTCTGTTTTCTTTATATGGAATGAAAGATGGGTATCCACTACAATAGTAAAAACAGTATTATAAATGCACTGCAACATGCTGTATTGAGGCTTTGAAAAGGAGTGAAAATCACTTTAATAGTTATATACAACTTGTAACATTTGAATGTGGTGCCAGGGAGCCCTACTTAAGAATTGAATGCTTAAAATCCCTCAGTATTATGTGTGATTGTCCAGTCCCATTCCCTACTACTATTCTACTACTATGCAGGTTTTACATTTTACCAATCTTACACAATATACAATGACTGAATAAACTTTGCGAAACTGGTGTAAAACTCCCATTTACCTTTGCATGTATGAAAATGATAAAGGTATAAATGTTTTACATTTAGGTATCTAACAGAGAGCTGTTGCATGCTGTGATAGGCCTGTATGATGTTTCGTTGAGTGAGATGACACCTGAGGTCTTATATGGAACTGTCTGCGAGAAATGGGCAAGAACAGCTATCCTACTACGTGATACTAAAGGTACAGTGATTTACAAAGATAACATTTTCACTTCATTATAGTTACTGTGATATGAACTTGTAAATATTCCTATTATTAGCTCCTACTCCCTTATAATTGCCTGCACCACCTTTGCAATCTATTAAGGATGATGTGAAGAATGTCAAGGGAATATCTGTATTAAAGATAATGAGCATTTTATAGTTACGAACTAATACACACAATGTATTACTAAAACCTATATATTCCTTGAGAAAAAGCTTTTGGACTCTCCATGGACCATTCATGAGCTCCTTGTCCCATTTTTTGAATCTGAACTCAACCACCTGATCCAATGGAAAATCATTTAAACATCAATATTGAATTTTTTGTACACACACCCATAATTCGAAACTCTTTTGAAATGCCCTACACACTTAACATTTTATATTTTCTAGATGTTTTGGAGGAGTTTGAAAGAAAACGAGCTAAAAAAGCAAAAAACACTGAAGCACCATCACCAAAAAGCATTCCAAATGAAACAACACCACTACAAAGCAATGAAGACATTAAAGTGATTGACCTTGAAGACAATAATCAATCCCAATCCCCAGTGACCACCCCAACCCCTCAAACTGCATCCTCCACAGAGGAAACACCTACTAGTCAAATCACCAAAGATCTCAATGCTCAAGTAAAGCAAAATGAAAATACCTCTTCTGATAATGATCTGATTACATATGAAGATATAGCTGCTGAGATAATGCAGGATATAGAAGATGCTGTCAATGATAAAGGATCTGATATTCTTGAGCCTGAAGAAACTAAACCGTGCAAGTTTGCTAATTGTTATAGTGATACTGAAGATGAGGATGAAGATGATGACAGGTGAGATGGGGAACACTTAGATAACAAAACAGGAAATGATTTTAATTTCCAACCCTACAAAATTATTTATTTAGTAATTTATAAATGATAAGCTATGTGCCATATTTGGGATTCATTGAAAGAATTCAGAAAATGTGAATATGACATAAAATATTGTGAATATAGAAAAAATTAATTTTGAAATGTTTACACTTTGTCCTTTTCTGGGATTTATGTGAAGTACACAAAGGTTGAATTCTCTTTTTATGAATGATTTTTTTCAGTGAAGATGATGAAGAAGATTTCAGTAAGGGCATCAATACATTTCTAGAATGTGTGCGCGAACGTCGTCAAATAAGAGACAACCATGTTGGCCCTTTCACTAGCAAACATGTAGGGATAGAAAATAGGGTTGTGGCTGCTGCTACCTTTGAAAAGGCATTTTGTGGGTAAGATTGATAGACCAGTTGAACTGTAATATGAACACTATTTGGTCTGTCTAAGAGGACAAATCATAATAGTATAAGTCAATATAACCTCAAAGTCATTAGTTTTCATTCTTAAAACACTTGACAAAATCAATAAATGCTCAAGTTTATTTTTGGGTCTGAAGTGTTTTTTTCGATTTTCGGCTAACATCAAATATTGACCTGGTCTCTATAGGTGTTCATTTATGTGGTGTTCATAATTCAGGATAGGTTGATAGGACAGACTTGCAGTTCAGGGAAATAGAAAATTTTAATATTTTTATAATGTTCACATAATGATCGTATCACATTTTGGAAAATGCTTGTCAAATGTGATACAAGAAGGTATTCTACATTTGTATGTTATATTTAAACAAAATATTTGTGACATTATCAAGTGCCATATATCATAATCATGTACCTGCATATTTTCTTTTTTTCCAGGAAACGTAGTGAAAAAGTCAATCATTTAACTGTAATAGCTGTGAGGAAACGCTACCAAAAATGGGGAATAGGCAGATATTTATTATCAGTAAGTATGAATACTTTAATATATCACAGGTACTAAACAAAACTCAATATGCAATAAGTGTTTTAATCTCCTGGTTAAGCTGATGATACTGCGAAGTTCACTTATACAATCACTTGCCTCAGCTAGGAAACTGCTGAGCAAATTCAGAGAATAATGAAGCCTGTGTGTACCCGTGTGTTCTCTTCAATAGAAAATTATGTTCACGCTTTAATCACATTTTCTTCATGTTTGAAATATAGCATACATGTCTGTTCATTCTCAGTTCTACATTTATTCACTGAATCAATCATTTTCAGCAATTAAAGAATCCTCAAGTCATTGGGCAGTATGATGTCATTGTGGTGCACGCTGATAACTCCGCCATTGATTTCTTTGAGCGTTATGGTTTTACAGATGATGTAGTTCTTAATAGTAAATGGAGGTTTGTGTAGGGATCATGTCAGTTCAAACCATTTTGACACCTCCTTTTCACTTAAAACCAAAACTTATCATTGATAAGCTAAAAGTTAAAACAATGTTTTCAACAGAATTGAACTGGTTATTGGCTGTAAATTGTTAAATCATCTTATCTGATTTCGAATAATTCATGAATTATATAAAAAGGAATGTTTTTAAACTTATAGATAACTGATATTAATTTGTTCATAGAGATGGCAACTTTATACATACATATTTACAGGTTATGACAGTTTACATATAAGGAAAGTGTTGTGCTATATTTATAAGTTATATGTATAACAGTTTATAAAAGGGAAGTGGGTATTTTATTAGATATATTCTATATGTTGTATTTCCAGTGAGTTAGCAGATCAATACACAAACTGCACTTTGATGTGTTACATGCCTCCTTTCACAGGTATGTAGCATAATCACATTTTGATTACTTAAAGTGGCAGTAAAGACTAGAGAGTGTAAAATGTTGGGAGCAATGTTTTCAAAAAGCAATGTCGAAGTCACCCTCATGATTGTTATTTCAGTATCTAAATGATGCACTGAAATTTCTGAGAAAATATGGAAGTTATTGAAGATTTACGATGCAGACATGTCCAAATATGTCCTTTTTCAGTTTTTCGCCTGAAGCATTACCCTAAAATAAAGTCAGAATTACAGTATTGGACTTTGTAGGAAATAACCTTGACATGGAATCTTATGTTGAGACCATTTTAAAATGTTTTAAAAGTTACTTACAACTTATCTCTAGTCTTTTGTGCTCCTTTAATATATCTCTTATACCTGTAGGACTTATATATCTAATCTTGGAGAAAGCTGTAATTTTTAGCCATACATTCAGGGGCAAAAGTTGCACTTTTGAGATGTTGGTAAAATATTGGACACAATGATGGTTTGTAGTAAGTTGTGATTACAACATAAATAAATATCAACTAACTTGGTTATATAAGATCAGTTTTATATTTTTTATGCTCTCACCTGTTCCATTTCCAGGTCAGAGTATTTTGGGCAAGTCGGACCCTGCTCTTGATATTGTAGCAATGGAGAAAGAACTTGCATCATGGTGAGTAGTTTAGGTTATATTAAAAAGAAATTTTCTTTTACAGTAAAACCTGAACACATAATGAGCTGATGGGAATATTGCTAAAAGACTTCACACTTTATGAGGTCTTTAAATGTTGATACTTTTACTTGGAATCTTAGTCTTTTACGCCCGCTTTTACGTTTACTCCACTCATTTAAATGTTTACATATATTGATAATGTCCAAATACCATTTTCTTGGGTCTGCATTCCTTCAATATTTATTTCATTGGTCACTTTCAAGAAAAGAAAGCTATGAATATTTTTGATTGACTTGCAGGAGGAACAAGAACCTAGAAGCTTACCAGGCCCAGGCATCTTGCTTACAGAGAATGAGGCATGAGATAATACACCTTAGAGCATTGGTATGTAACATCATTTATCCCATAATCACGACAATATTAATAAATAAAGTTACATGAATATAAAAGTTCACACTTTGAATACTCAGGTTGATATCAGAAAATACATTGGTTATATCATCTCAATATTTTCATCTACATTCCCTTGGCGGATATCACATACCCTCCTTTAATACTATGTGTCCAGAGGATAAATTCTTATTTATCTCTTATTTAGTAGGCTTAAAGGGAAATAACAGCAGGACATATATACTTTCTAATTGCCAATTTGCTCATTTAGTACATTTCTCGTTTGAACTTTTCAATACCTTTCATTTGGTGCAAATCTCATCAAAATTGGGGAAACGTAGAAACAAGAGATGTCAGATTTCATAATTTACTCTTTAGGCGTGGTTTAGGACACTGATGCCATTACCATAGCAACCTTATAGGAAAAATTCAGACGTATTTCTTCATAAGGATTCCAAAAATGTATAACAAGTATGTTTACTCAATGTCCCTTATTGAATCATTTTCTGCCCAGATCTGCCTGCATAAAAAATTAAAAACATATAGATGAAACAAAATTTTTGCTGTTGTCAAAGCCATATGTTCTCATTGATAAATCGTCCTGGATGTGCATCAAAGGTTTGAATCTGGTATCTGCGTCTGTCAAGCATTCTTCCCTGAATGCATTAATCAACTAAAGACTTGATATGATCAATTAAATTAAATACAATCAAACTTGTTTTGATAACAAAATACCTAGCACATATCTCTCGTGTTCTATTTAAAATAACATAAAATAGGCCCATTTAGTCTAATTTGCCTTTCGTTTTTAAGTAAAGTAGAAAGTGAACATTTTTAATCTATTTTCTCATCATCTTTCTAAAAGAGCAAAAATAATGTTGATTACGGATTTTACTTTCTTAAACTTTACTTTTCTAAGAAAAAAATTATTGAATAGATGGTGTATGTACATGCTGAATAATTTCTGAGCAAATGTCAATGAAGTTGAACTCAGGCTATGATGACTGACTTCAATAATTCAAGAATTTATTAAAGACACTCTAATTAGGTACTTTATGTACTCCCCAGGTAAAGGAATCTGAGATTGTTTTATTTCAATAAAACATGCAAATAACATTATCACATATATCCTGACTGGCAGATGATATTACTGGGATTATTTTTCAAAGTCCTGCTTGTATTTTGAAAATCAAATATATAAAGGATAACCTATTTTCATGAAATATGTATGCAACAAGTGTTAAAATGGGAAAAGGAAAAGAATAAGTGGTGTAGATAAGTACTCACATAGTCATTGAATCGTATCGCCAAGGTGTTATAGAATTTGTCTCGATTAGAAGTTCAGATTTTGCAAATTATTCAAAGAGTCTGAGATTCGCGAATTTGTATTCTCATTCGCGATTCAACAGTGAATCCTGACGTCAGATGCATTGTTTTTTCTCACAAACAGTGTCAAACTATGTACAAAATGATTGTTCCATGTATTATTTGTTTGAATGAATATGAGTAATAAATCTGATTTGAAAAGTGACAAAACTGCCATGTCTGTGAAAATCAAAATAATTTGGATTTCCATGAACTACGCTTTTGCATCCATCGAACACAGGCCTCCAGAACTCGCACCTCCTTCAGAATGAAAATAGTCAGAATTTCATCAGTCCAATAGCAACATCCATGTCCAAATATTTTACATATAATTTTTCATTGGAAATCATAGCAAATATTTTCATTCCTAATTTATTTAATTAGACTTAAGGTACTTTTAAGTATTATTATCACAGCACTTCTTGTGATTTGTCTTTGACCTATGACTGCTGACCTATACCGGCGATTACTAGAGTGCTGCTAACTCGATAAAAGGCTGGCGCTGGCCAGAATTGTCTATGGTTCTAGCAAGGATAAAGATACCAGTTCTTCACCTCGACAATGGGAAGAACTGCTCTACCTTAGTGACTAATATGTCATGATATGACATCTAAAGAGTCAATAAAAGATATATATCATCTATTTTGTCTTAATTGTTTAAAGGACAACTGAAATAGGTTTTCTCAACTTGCAGCTACAAAAATGCGATTTTCTTCATTGTATTAGCCCAGAATTGAACCAAGGCTGATCGTTTTCTTTTATTAAAACCTCTTTATGCGGAATTGTTTCCTTAAAAATGTTGAACAAAGTATCAACAAACCTATGAGTGGAAATATGAACATTTTGAAGTTCTAAGATCTCTCCCCAGTTTGAATTAAGTATTCTTTGATTCAATATTGTTTTATTAAGTTTATCATATTGCCAAATGATTTTCTTGGTTGGAGTTTCTTTAATAATGTTCATTTTTAGGTATGTTAACAAAGTGCAATGATCAGTATTTCCTACTGGTGGTAGAACTTTATGATTAGATATTATATTAATATTATCTGTAAAAGACAAGTCTATACATGATTTAGTAATAAAGTTGTTACGAGACTGCACTCTTGTTGGTTCATCTATAAGTTGTATAAAATTAAGATCAAATAAGATGTTGTGCAAGTTAGTCCCTGCTTCATCAACTTTATCATCTTTCCACCAAAAAGAATTACGTGCATTAAAATCTCCATTTACTACAGTTGATCCAGGAAGTTTCTGAGCATCCTCAAGGTTTTTACCAAGTAATTTGAAATAGTCTAGTCTACTTATTTTATCTTGTGAAGGTGATCTATAAAATACTCCATAATTGAATAGTTTACCACTTACTTTAAGATTTAACCAAATATTTCCTAGTGTATCATTCATTAGTTCATGAATTATTTCAGCTTCTAATGAATTATGAACATATAGTATAAGACCTCGATTATTTGATCTGTAATGTTTAAGTTCAAAATTGTCAATTTTAAGATCTTTTTGTATGTCACTATTTGTCAAATTTCCCACCTCACATAGAGCAATAACTTTAATTTGTTGCTCTTTTACTTTGAACTTTAGTGCTTCAAAACGTGCTAAACTATTTGCTTTGAGACTATTAATATTAGAAAATAATATGGGTAATTCTGATATAGGACCTGGATTTTTTTCAATGTCACCAGATAAATATAATAATTGAGAGCAATCATATAAGCAATCGAGT